TATATATATATATATATATATATATATATATATATATATATATAAAAAGATAAATAAATATAAACTGCTTTTAAATCCAATCATGTAGAAAACTGCATGTCGATGGCAGAATGTTTAGTCTCATGAGCAACATCTGACAAAATCCAGTTCTTTTAAGCTTCTTCATAATATTACACACATGGTGACCACAAATATTTCTCTCTTTGTACTTTTTTTTCTTGAGTTCATCAGACAAGGCAAGGAGGAGAACATTTTGCCACTTTTTATTCTCTTTTTTTAATTTTTTATAGAGGATGCAGCGCTATCAACATCACATTTCCTTAGCGGTCTGAGAAGAGTTCTAGATCAGTGAGTCCTTTTAAAGCCGTCCCCAGTGTCTGATGCCTCCCGTCTGTGTGTTTGTTTCAGGTGGAGTGGATACAACAGCAGGTGGTGAAGAGGAGGATCAAGAGGGATTACAAACCCGCACCACCTCTTTCCCAGACAAGCCCAACCCACAGCCAAAACAGCATATTCTATAATGATGCCAAGTGGAGCAGTATGTGGTACATTGTAAGTAAACTGTCATCTTTGACTGTTCTCGGGACATTTATCCAATCGTACGGGTCTGTTGAGGCTCTGATATGGTCCTGGTTACTTCGGTCTAAGTGGAGCTCAAGACTTGTTTGCATGTTCTTTGACTAAAAGAGCTAAGTTTCACATAGTGATACATTTTAACCCTGCCGTGATTTGTAAGTGTTGACGTTCCGGTCAAAATTAGAAGTATTTTTCCTAGAGAAGTCCTCACAAGTGTTCATGTTCCTTCATTCAGAAGCCCCACACTCAGGCTGACACACATAAAATCAATGCGTCAGACTCGCAGTGCTGGCAATTTAGACCTTATCGCATCTGTTTGGATACACCATCGCTGCTCCTTCAGTTTGTGCTTTCCTGTGTTTTTTTTGCTTGTGTCCTCAGCTCTGTCAATTGTTAACTTGATGCAGATAACGCCTGATACTTTGACCAGAGATTTTTTCTCTGCATTTCAAACTCCCCGAACATGGCATCCATGTTTTCAGTATTGCATAAAAATCGCTTCATCTGATCACCTCCAACAAATCTTCTTTTTGGCACTTCAGTTAAACATTGAACACAGCTCTTCCTGCTTGCTCACCTCTATTTTCAAAACTAGTTAAAACTTTTTTTTATCATGACCTGAAATGATGAAAAACTGTGAGATCCTCTGCTGAGATTACAGTTAAGTGAAAGATCCAATTGGTGGATTGACATTCCATAGTGACCCACAAGAAACACTTTTCATAATTTTTCCCTTTTCTAAAGTCAGCAGAGACCTTAGAAAAATTAAATGGGCCTGACAGTAAGCATGTTTGGACTTGTTTATAGTAGATTATGCAACAAAAGTCCTTATGCAAGCTGTCAGCTCATGTGTATACTCTCTTAAACTAATGCTGATCATCTTCCAAACCCTCCTCACATGGTTTTCTCTCTGTCCACCTGCTCTCTCCTCGACCTCTGCAGCACTGCAACGACGATGTCCACAACTGCCAGTCGGACATGAACATCATGGGGGCGTGGAAGAGGGGCTACACGGGGAAAGACGTGGTGGTGACCATACTAGATGACGGCATCGAGAGGAACCACCCAGACCTTTTTCAGAACTACGTGAGTGTGTATGTATGTATGTGTGTGTGGGGCGGCAAAGAGCGAAGCATCCTAAAAACAAGCGCGAGTCCAGCCCGTACGTTTTTGTCTGTGGCGTCGTATTTTATGTGCCCTCAAAGCCATCTCTAACCCTGAGACCAAGGTTATATAGAGAAAGTAACATTTTGACGTGAGGCAGCAGGTAAGCAGCCATGCCGATCAAATGAGTCACGCCCTGTTTGACAGACCCTCTCTGAGGTTATTAGCATTTCTAAATAGCAGGTCTTGTTTATGCCGAAGGCTGAGCAGAGTGACAGCTTGGTTTGGCTTCCATTGCATTTGATTTACTAAACTTTTGTGAGTGGCGCTAAAGTGAACTGCTCTGACTGACTGAGCTTTTTGATGATGCTACATTGAAACAACCTGCCCAGGACCGTGTTGTTGTTTGCCATGTCACCAGAATGACTCGCACCCATAAGCATAATTAAATAATACCCAGAGAACTTCTACTTCAGCAACAGATTTTTATGATCCTCTCGGTTCTCTGTGTGGGACTGTGGTTGAAGTTTTTCCAGCTTGGGTGTAGAACAGAATTACTGCCTTTGCTTAATCGTGTGCACTTGGGACCATTTTTCAAAAGTTTTTGAGGGGGGCGGCAGTGTACATTCCTCTGCTGGAGTATTAGATAGGGAGGAATCAGGTCCACTTGGTCTTAATCTGCTTTAAATATGCCAGAATCCAAACTTTCTTGGTGTCCAATTGTTGATCCATCTCTGCAGTTATTTATATCTTTAATTTATTGCTGTTTGCTGTGTACACACAAGCTGTTGAACTTAATTATGAATCCATCTATTAATCTCCCATTCTCCCTTTAAACATTATTGTCTTGTTTTTTGTTTGTTTGATGTATTTGATTTCACCTCTTTATCCCATCTAGGACCCTCAAGCCAGCTATGATGTCAACAGCAATGACCCGGATCCCATGCCTCGATATGACTCGACCAATGAAAACAAGTAAGCAGAAGCGAGACAGTCAAGTCTGCCTCATTTTTAATAGCTTCAACGTCTTTTTAAAATGAAAATGTAAGGATGTGGCTGCTGCCTTTGTTACGTGTACCAAGTGTTTTATCACAGCGTTTTTCAGACTGGTTTGTACCAGAAGCTCTGTGCTTCAGCATGTTTGTCTTGACTCTGTTGTGGTTGCGATGAGTTGCATTAGTGAATGTGATTGTGACGTTTGTGGCCAGGCTGTGGTTATTCTGTTTGGAAGATCATTTGTGTGTTTGTAAGAAAGAAGGGGTAAAAAAAAAGAAAAAAGTAGCATGTCCATGCACTTGTCTTCTGCCAGCTCGGCTTTGGCTCAGCGAGTGATTTTAGAGTGTGTGTTTGGCTGCAGCAACCCGAGTGCCGTGGCAGTGGCTCAGTCCCTGCTGGTAATGCATTGTCTTAAAGAGACATGAGGCCCACAGATGCCGCTTAATGAGCGAGTTGCCTTTTAGGGGGGGATTCATAGTTTACTGTGATGTTATAGGTGTAGACAGACATATGGTGTACTATTTTACATCTCGGATTACTGTAACAAATGACAGATTGTTTTAGTTTAAGCCATCCTTTTTTTGTGGTCACATCTTGTAGTGGGAGCTAAATGAATATGAAAAGTTTATGTGAGGTGGCTGGCTGATCACCATGCCTGAGAGGTGAAAAACACAAAGACAGACGTGGAGCTGACTTCATCTGCCAGTTTGTGTTGTATATCAGCAAGAATTGGGTAAATGTTCTGGATATAAATATGTTGACTACACAAGAGCTGTGGTTTGAAAGACAGCATGAGGGAGCCTGTCTCTGTTTTGATATCCACTTGAGCTCTCTGAAGGAAAAGTATTTGATGCATTGTCTGTCTTTAATTGGAAACCTCCCTGTCTTCCAACTTCTGAATATTCTCAACAAATTGTATTCCTTTTTACCCCAAAAAAACAATAGGAGCCTGTTTTATGTGCTGGTGTCTTGCAAAGATGGAAAGAAACATAAATTCTCTTTTTATGTTAAAACAGATAGATTGACACCTTCTACTGCAGCTAAATCTTTTGCGTTATGGGACTCTGGGACTGTCAATTTCCATATTGCACAGATTGGTCTAGGTGGCCACAGCTGGAATTCAGGGACTGGGAAAATCAGAGCATGTCATATAGATTACAAACCAAATTTACAGAAAGATTGGGAAATTCAAAAATGCAATTTTCACACATGAACAAGGGAGATTTTCAATAGGATAAAGTTGGTCTGTGAGTCCACTGGTATTTTTACACCTTTAACAAAGATTTAAATGCAAATAAACATATTGAGGTATTTGAGGGAAAACCTCTGAAATCGAGGTTTGTTGAGTTGTCATTAAACAAACATAACCCACCGCAATGCACTGTTCTGAAGCGCAGGACGGTGTGGTTCTGGTTCTTCAGGGAGGTCCATGAGGGACTGTAACACAGATGTGAAGAAAATGGAAAGTGCAGGGAAATAAATGACTGGAAAGATGGCCAGACAGATGATTTTGTGGATTATTGAAGTGAAGTGAATAGGGACGTTACTTGTGAAGCGTTTTCAAAGAAGGAGCCTGCAGTTGGGTCATTAACTTTGATAAAGGGTCCTATCGTACACGGGCTGCATTTGGATGCTTCACTCCTGCCTTCAAAGCTCCAGAGACGGCGAACAGCCCCGCCGTTTAAAAGGACTTTATATATTACGTGCCTTTGATTCTGGGAGATGGGGATTCTGAAGTGTTTTTTACCTTTTAATGAGGGTGTTAGAATAATGTTGTCTTGAGGTAACCAGGTCACTGTGACACACAGTCTTTGCTCTCAGTGCTTCCCTGCACTCTTTCCTGGGGGCTTGTATAACTAAATGCTGGGCTTCCATAGCAGCAGTTAGAGCTGTTTCTGGGGGGGAGGGTTGGGATACAGATGTTCTCTGCTGGAGGTGAATGTGTATTTGAGTGTGTTTGTGCAGATCGAAAAAGTTGTGTTTTTGAGCAGGCAGCGGATATAAACATGCTATGTTTGTTTGCGCTGGTCCCTGACCCGGGGTGATTGTCACCACTGGTGGAATGTTACCCTGTCGCGTGTGTGTCTGTGTGTGTTTTGGATTATTCAGGAAATATCGGTTATCAACCATACTCCTTTTTAGAATATTTTATCAATGCGTCAGCGTGTTTGTTGCCTTTAGAAAATACTATGGCAGGATCAATTTAAATGCGTGTCAGGACCTTCTTCACATTAGCACAAAGTGACTTACAAATCCCCAAATGTTAAAAAATGAAAAGATTTTTTGTTTGCTTCACCTATAACTGTTAAGCCACTTTGTTAAGAGTTGTAACAGCAGTGTACACATCTGATGAAAAATGTTTTTCTATGTGTGTCCAGAAGACCTATTTGTCTGTACTCCTTGAAAAACTAAGGAAAACGGACATAGTCCTTGTCGCATTCTCCAACTTCGATACAATTTAAGTGTGTTTAGATTTGTGTGTTTAACTCTCCATTCTTGCTCTTTCCTCAGACACGGTACACGATGTGCGGGTGAAGTCGCTGCAGCTGCAAACAACTCTCACTGCATTGTGGGAATTGCCTATAACGCCAGAATAGGGGGTGAGTAATGATTTTATATGCATTTGTCAACTTTTTCTACATATCTATGTTGTTTCAGCGGTTTGTGCATGTTGGTATAAATAAGCCTTCATAAAATCATTAAAAAAGCCTTTGATTATATTGTCTGACAGGAGTGGTCAGATGATCTGATTAGATTTCAATATCTTGATGTTAATATAACATATTTCTGAATTTATCTCTTCATCGCTGTCATTCATTGTTATTCTGAAGTTCCAGTGGCTTCATACTAAACATTACTGGCAGGTTTACTGACGGGAGTTGGCCTTCTTCCTGTGTTCAGGTGTGCGGATGCTGGATGGAGACGTAACGGACATGGTGGAGGCCAGGTCGCTGAGTCTTCACCCGCAGCACATTGACATCTACAGTGCCAGCTGGGGACCTGATGACGACGGCAAGACTGTTGACGGACCAGCATCTCTGGCCAGGCAGGCCTTTGAAAACGGCATCCGCACGGTAAGCTCACTTTAACATTTCCATGTTTGCAGAAAATATGTGCAAATCAATCTGTGCCTCATTTACAGCAAAGATTGACATCTATGTTCTAATGGCAAGAAAACAGATGTGTTCCTCATACCAACACAGATTCTTCTCTGGCTGTTTCTATCTTTGAAGCTCATCCTCACATTGATTACCATCTGTTCATTTCCATATTCATCACCTTTTTACTGTTGGCTATGTTGTGCTGTCATGTTGACAGAGGTGTGCAAAAAAGCTGAAGCAAAGAACAAAAAGGCGGAAATCACTAACAAGTCGAAAATCCCCTAAACATTTACCTACACATTAACAAAGCTTTTTACAACTGGTTTCCATTTGGTGAAACAAATGTACAACTCTGAAGTAGGGAAATGTGGGAATCTGTCCAGCTGAGCCATCAGAGTGACCCCCCCCCCCAACAGAGTGGTGGTTGTAAATGGAGATGGCATACATCATGAAAATCATGTCATATGTGACATCTCCTTAAAAGTCTTTCTTGATGATGATTACTTTCAGTTTCCAGTTGTTCGTCGCACTCCTCTTCAGCTTTCCACCTCCCTCATTTTTAGGTCCACCCCCCTTTCTTTTGCTAATTGCCCTTATAAGCTCTCATCATTTCTCCCATTTGTCAGTATGTTCTCATGTGTGATCCTCCTCTCACTTATACCCTGCCAGTATCCATAGTTTGTAAAAACTCAGCTCTAGCTTTTATTGCCCTGTACTTGCGCGTGTTTTGATCAGCAGTGTGAATCACAGTGTCAGTCAGCTTGTCAGATGTCTTTTTAGCTGACTTCTGGCTGAACTTTAGCTTCATGAGTCAGTCTGACCTCACCAAAGCTGCAACACCCTCTGTTTTTCTCTTCTAGGTCTGGTGTTTAGATCATAATCAGATTTAGACGAATCTAGAAGAAGTAGACTACCTGAGTTAGTCAGTCAGAAATGGTGTTGAAAGATACGTGATTTCAGAAGACCCTGTGATTACATCTGGGAGTTATTTTTTTTCTCCCCTTTAAAGTCTTATCTCAACATGAAGCAGCTAAATTGGGTAATTATTTTCATTATTATTGTTTTTTTAATGGGGTAATTCTAAGAAAAACATCCATTTCAACAACAGATGGAGATTTTGGAAAAGATTCAGCTTCAAAAACAGGCCTACATTTATTTTATTTATCTTTTTTTTTTATTTGAGAAAATTCCAACTTGACATCCACTAAATTCTGTTGTAGCCCTTTATGTAGACGTAAAAAAAATCTTTGAAAGTGCAAACTGTCCATCTTTCAATGCTCTAAATGTAGCATTTTGCTTCTTTTCATGACAGGGGAGAAAGGGCCGTGGCTCTATCTTTGTTTGGGCTTCAGGCAACGGCGGGCGCAGCAGAGATCACTGCTCCTGTGATGGCTACACCAATTCCATCTACACCATCTCCATCTCCAGCACAGCTGAGAGTGGACGCAAGCCCTGGTACCTGGAGGAATGCTCGTCCACTCTGACCACCACGTACAGCAGCGGGGAGAACTACGACCGAAAAATTGTAAGTATTGTATCGGCTTTGCCCGTATGCGTGTGAATGTAGACTTTGACAACTGGGTCTTTAGGCGGGTGCAGTTGGACCATTTCCACTGGTCAGGAGCCAGGGCCTAATTTAGGAACGATTCATACTGTTTTGACTGCCAAAGCTCTGGCTTCAGCACACACACGCACGCACACACGCACGCACACACGCAGACACACAAAAAATGGACACAACTGCACATGCTCTCTGCCTGTCCACAACAATGAACTGCCCATCAGGGGTGGTGATTTAAGGGATTTCAGGGTTATGAACACCATTCAGGCCAGCTAATACTTTGAGAGCACCTTGTTTAAACTAGAGCCAGCAGAGTGTCTAGTCTGCTTAATTCAGGAGAAAAAAAATAAAACGAGTGTCTTGATTCATGCAAGGTTGAGACGGCAGCATAAGCACATGAACTCGGAGTTCCATTCATTTTACTGCTGACTGACCTTTGCGGCTTGTTTGTAACCTTTTTTATATAGATGGTGAGTGCTCTTGATATTACAAGCTAGTAGTTATTGATCTTCCTTTAAGCAACATGTATAAATCCTGGTGACGGAGCATGTGCATTGAAAAATATTTCGCATCAAACCTTTTGAAAAGCAGACAAAAACGTAGAACGTTTTACTAAGTGTGGCAGCAGCAGGGGAAGCTCTCCTGCTCTGGGGACACTTTGCACGTCTTGAATTGCAGCACAGAACACAACAGATACATCTTTGAAAGTTAAAAAAAAAACGTTTTGTGTGTTTGTACTTGCTTGTGGGTACACTGCGTTTGACCCAGATCGACCACATCACTCTGATGACCTACTGGGATGGTTGGCCACTTTGAGCTGACTTGTCTGCCAGTATCTTGCTACATTCCGCATATTGATGCTACACACTGGCACACACACACAGCACTGTCTTGACAGTTTACCTACAACTTGGCACTAATGATAATAGAACTTGATACATCAGAATTTGGATCAGTCGACTGCAGCACTCTCTGCACTAATTTTAGTTTCTTATAAAATCATTTTAGATTTCCTGTTTGTGTGTGTTTTTAGATAATCCCTCAAACTTTTCTGCCCAGAAAAGGTCCTTTGATGAGGTTTCAGACTGGAAGCTGGCCAAGCTTTTCTCGGCTGACTGACTGTCAAGCTTTCTGACTAGTTGGGTGATTAAAGTCCATACAATCAAAGCAAACATACGCCTCTTTGATAACTTGTTTTATCACCCCGTATTGGCTAATAGACTCTGATCCTTGTTTCTCTTTTGGAACAAACCAATTCCGTGCAGAGCATATTTTGGGTGTGTTTGTGTGCGTGTGTGTTTGTGGACTTTGTGTTATCTCATGCACAGCAGCAAATCAAAGCTGGAATGTGTGTTTTTGGAGCTTTAGGTGTATCTAAATTCTGCTGATCCTCATGACTTTAGTGTCCCCCCAGGCTCCTTAAACCTCACTTACTGGAGTTTTTCTCTGTGTTGCTCCCCCCTGTCATTCCTGTGCTTCCTCTACATCTGTCTTACCCTCTCCTTCCTCTCTGTATACAGATAACCACAGATCTCAGACACCGGTGTACAGACAGTCACACGGGGACATCGGCCTCGGCTCCCATGGCCGCTGCCATCATTGCTCTGGCCTTGGAGGCAAAGTAAGATCCACTTAACCTTATCCTGTCACTTCATCCTTTTGCCCCTCGCTTAACCTCTAATTCTCTTTTGTCCTCTGGCCATGAGGGCAACATGTGAGACATTTATTTTCGCACTGCCGCCATGAGAAGCCGGTTGTAAAAGTGCCTTTATAGGCAAGGAGGAGCTGGACAATTTGGGCAGGTGATGTAAGGTTTTGGAATATGTTGCAGTTTTGGTGGGAAACTGGCCTACAGGCACTCGTATCAGCCTCTTGTTTTCAGTGAAGCAGGGCAACAGATGTCATGCAAATGTACCGCTGAGGGCTGGGCTGCAGTGTAACACAACATACACTTATGTGAGGATCTCTGGATTTACCTTGGCAGAGGTGTTAAAGGAACTGCTTTGATACATGGATTTGAGTAGAGGAAGTATTGATTAAATCACTATATGTGGTGCAAGTAATGAAGGCAGAAAGGCTGGTGAGAGAGAAGTAAGCGCATGTGAGTCTCTGGCAGACTGGAACAGCCAGTGGGAAGCATGTTGATGACCAACAGTTTTGACTTCCTTCTGTTTTTTTTCCTTCTAAGGTAAAACTGCAGAGATAAAACACTGCTGCGTTATATCCTTCACAGGCGTAAATACATTTTCATTTATTTTTATTTGGTTTACACTGGACTGTTGTCGTGTTCTGTATTGTGACCTCTATATGGTACTATATTTTAAGCTTATTATCATCTCTTTAATAAAACTGAATACAATTAATTGATTCAGAATATAGATAAATGTTCATAAGACAAAAAAAAATCCCATTGAAGATTAGTTTTACATTCATACCGAAACTAGGTATCATGATTACTATTTTTGTTCTATTGACGAAAAAGCAGTTTTAATTGATAAAATCCCTTTGTCTTGATTAATTTGGAAAGTTAGCGATTTGTCCTGATGCCAAAGAAGTTCACTAGGACATAAAAAAGTCAAAGTTCGTGTAAGAAATGGCTCAAGAGGTATTGATTTTTTAGCTTGGCTTGGGTGTCCTGTCTTCATGCCTTCTAGAAGCATGACCTTTTTGGATGTGGATCAGCAAGCGTTGGCCAGCTCCTCTGCAAGATCTGTGAGGGGGCTCAATTTTCAATAAACTCGTGAAGTGGACACTGTTCGCTGCAGGTACAGAGACTCTGAATTAGGCCCATCACATGTTGAGCAGCTCAGATAGTTGAGGTCACATAGATTAGCCTGGATAATCCAATCCAAATCCTCCCTATAGAAAAATATTCTCAGTTTCCAGGCAGTGCTAGGCACATAAGCCTGTTTCCTCAACAGGATTATCACACACGTTTGCTGCCTGCTTTCTAGTCATCTGCTGGTTCTCACTTGTGCTTGCTTGGTCATTTTAGCTGTGCCTCCGCCACTGTGCTCTGTGTTAGCTGCTCCAAGGCAAACTTGCTGCTTTCTCTTCTTTTCTTTTCTTTTCTTTCATTTAGTCATTCATTTTTTGCATGCATGCACATGCAGTCATATAGTTCAGGATGAAAGAGAGGCCGGAAAACGGTTTAGACAAGCTGGTGCACTACTGATAACATCTGCTCTTATCAGGTAAATGAGGGTGAGCAAACTCTCTGCCATAAACATGTCACAACGCCATTGACCTGGACTCTGCTAAACTATCTTTTGCAGATTTTTTTCTTGGTTTGAAGCACATTGCAATTTTCTTTAAAAAAAACTTTTCCCACTTTTTTGTTATTTTTTGGCCAAGTTTAAGATGCTGTAGAAGTTGATACACGATGAATCTAGATTTAGGAGATTCAGTGTTTTTAATTTTTGTGTAAAAATGAAGAAATGCAAGCTTGGGCATCAGAGAGGAATTAACAAAATGAGAGAAGTGACCTGCCATAAAAGTTTTCCCTATTTAAAATAGGTCTAAAAAATGACAGTTTTTTCTTTGTCTGCTTTAAAACTCAGTCTACACAGTCAGATCCATGCGTTAAAAAAATAATATTCACAAACCTCAATTAAGCGGGTATTTCACGGTATTTATTAAACCAAAAGGAAGTGCAGATTAAATCTCATCTTCTTCTCTCATTCTCCTTCCAGTTTACCCTTGGGTGTTTCCACCATAATTACGCTTGAGAGAGATCCCAAGAAACTTATATTAGACTTCTTATTTGCTTCTGGTTTTTCCTTTTCTGTGAGCTTCTCCATTAATTAGTATTGGTTTGTTTATGAGAAGGCGGTCATGGCCTACATAGCGATGCCAAAGTCACTTTTAATTAATGACCATAAAACATTAATGGGGCCATAATTACACAGTGGCAGCTAAGCCTATTAATATTGATGTAACCATTAATTATTCTGACTTCTCACAGGACTGATCTGCATTACTATTCTTTAATTTAAATTATTTTATTTTTGTGCCATTAATGTTTGAAGTGTTGGATATAATAATGTGTGATTGTCGACAGCGATAGCTAACAGCATTTTAATATTTTTACTTTTGGTGCATTTAAAGGGTTCCAGTGATATGATCATGTGGTTTTCATTAAGTAAAGACTTTATTTACTTAAATTATCTTGTTTTCCATTACTGGTATGAACTGATCACTATTGAAAGAGTTCTGGTAGAAAAGTGTAATTCATAAAAAGCTTTCCCAAACATATTTTTAAATCTTTCTCACTACAAAAGCAAATGAATTATATAAATCTGTTGTAAATATACATAAAATGTTATACTAAACACAAATAAACGTTTAACTGTTCATCAGCGATGTCTACTAACTAGTTAGAATACGATTATGGAGCTTTCCCGGGTAAGGAGTAAAACACCCATCTCTACATAGATATTTGAAGACACCATTGTTGGCCTCAAATATCCATATCACCAAGGGATTCCTTTTTTCTTACCAGCATATATGTATTTTTCCACTACGACACATAACGGTATGAACATTACTTAATGGGACCCCCCCCCCAACCAGATGTTCACAATTTTAAACAAAACTCCTCTTATGCAACCTCCACAACTGGGAAAGGTCTTTTGCCCTCCGTCTTATAATACCTGTGCCATTCCTTACCTTCTAAAAAAACACTTGCTGGATTACAAACTAAGAAAATAACTTTTAGTCTAAACACTTTAAAGTGCTGCCAATTTTAGAGGCAGTGACATGAGGGGAGGGAACAGAGCATCTGGCCAACATATGAGATGGAAGGGAATCCCTGGAAACTTGGTGACCCACTTCTTCCTGGTTTTTCCTTTAATGTAGTGTTAGGACATCAAAAGACTCAAGACACATGGCTGCCATCCTGTAATGGATCTCACATGCCATCTGAAAAAAGTTATGAGTGGATGAACAAGCATAAACACTTTGTATCTATGTCTACCATAATTTTCCACTGAATAATCGTTATGTTGTCTTTCTACCCCTTTCCCCTTTAATTTTTAATTCTACACCTCAGGTTATTTTTCTTTATTTAAGATATGTTTCATATGATTAAGATTGTGATGCATTGTTAATTTGACTTTTCTGCTTGTTTGATTCCTCTTTTAGTGCTCTTCTAACTTGGAGAGATGTCCAACACATCATTGTAAAGACCTCCAGAGCTGGACATCTTAGTGCTCCTGATTGGAAGACCAATGCTGCTGGTTACAACGGTACACACACAAACAAACCTCCTGCTCGGAACACTCATACACACGAGTCTGTTGTCAATGGCACAGATGTTCTGGAAAACCCTGCAGGTGTTGTGAACCTTAAAGCAGAAAAAAACGGATGGTGCATCCATCACGCTTGTATACTTTCCTGCCGTAGTGACAGAATGTCCTATGAACAATGCTACAAAACAGGACGAATCAGTAATCCATTTCAGTTCCTTTCTTTTCCCAGCATCACAAAAATGATGAGCTTATACAACAATGTACAACAATAATTTTCCAAATTGGGCGATGGACTGGGAATCATACGATTGCTGCAAAAAATGAATAAATCTGGAAGGAAAAAGAAAAATGGAAGAAATCTATACAGAAATAAATGAGGAAATAAAAGACAGAGTAAATGAAAGTGGAAATATGACAACAAAACACAAAAGAACATTTTAAAGCATTTTCATTTATTTTCAACTATTTGTTCATTTAGTTATGTTTGTTTTCATTTTTTAGATAATATTTTTTATTTCTGGTATGTAAGTTGCTCCATTTATTTACATTTTTAAAATGTTTTCCTGTTTAATTCACATTATATATTTATTTTTGCCTTTTTTCCTTTTATTTGTGATTGTTTATTTTCTCATTGCTTCATATCCAGTTAGTTTGATTGTTTTCCATCAAGATTACTCTGAGCCAATCAGATTTTAGCCCACAGTTGGCCTCAACCCCCTCATCTTATGGACCAATGAGCTGTACCCCAGCTTTGGCATGAGAAGATTACTTAAGCGGTTTCCCCTTGATTTCTAACAAAATCTGTCTTTATTTTGAGGTCAGAAATAAACACCAGTTTCAGGATCTTTAATCGTATTATGTTTCTAAGGCCTTGGTTTGGACCAATCTATCTTAGACTTTAACATTAGAATTTGTAGAAATATGGACACATAATGTGATATTTAATTGACTGTTTTGTCCAAAACGGTTAATTAGGCCTTTAGTAAATATTTGGCGGCTGTAGAGTTAAGTTCTCAGCTCGGGTGTGGTCACAAATGGATGCGATAGACTGTCAAAGTAGTGACAAATGAAGTAGTCCCACTAAACACTTCCGTTCTGACACAGGAAGTGGCTCAAACCTGACTGGCTCAGATCTAAAAGCTGATGGAAAAATAACAGATTGTTGTCTTATTATAAAAGAGCAATGAGAAATGTAAAAAAAAAAAGCAAAATGGAAAACAATTTGTAAATACTGAGTAAATGACACGTTTAAAAATAAAGGAGACAAAGAAACATGCAAATAAAAATGGAGCAACTTTCATACAAGGGATAGAAATTTTTATCTCAATAAAATGAAATAAAAAATATGAACAAATAAACATGAAAATAAAAATGAAAATACTTTCTTTTCTTTTCTGTTTTATCATTAGAAAATATATATTTCCAAACTTATTCTTTCATGTATTTGTCTTTATCTTTCCACATTTATTAATATATTTCTGTATATATTTCCTCATTTATTTTCTTATTCTTTTACAGATTTATTCTTTTTTGTGGCACCTCTATCATTCCATACAGAGGAGGGGTGATGAGCTGTTTCCAAAAATGTTTAGTTCTTGCTTGCTAACTACTGCGCCGCCAGCTGCCATCTGTCAGGGTCCATGTGGTGGGTGCTATTTTGTAACTTTGAGTGTGTTATAAATGCGTACCTGCATGTGTGTGTGTTATGAATGTGAGCGTGTGTTGGAGAGAAACCAAGAGAATGAAAACTAAGGGTCAGCCAGGCTGCAGGCTCAGTGTACCTGGAGATCTTCCAAGTGACAAAACAGAGAAAGGGGGTGGAGAAGTATGTCAGGAACTCATATTTTATTCGTTGTACCCATAAAATAAGTTGAGCAAGTTGAACTTGATTTGTCATTCTACTAACATTTTGACCGACTAATTCGATTCTAATGAACCAGAATATTACTGATGCTTACTTTGACTCGTTCGTTCATGTGATCGATTGAAGTGAGTTTAGTCGGCAAATCGCACAATCTTTCCTAGAGCTTTAAGGGCGATAAATCATCGCTTTGCAAAACACTAGAGTCAGCAAAGGAGTGGTCTGATCACTTGTGACCTTCCACTGTTTGACTGTTTCTGCAGTCAGCCACCTGTACGGCTTTGGGCTGATGGACGCTGAGGCGATGGTGAAAGAGGCCGAGGGATGGAAGCAAGTCCCAGCTCAGCACATCTGTGTGGAGAGTGCTGACCGGCAAATCAGGTACAACACGGACCCGAACCCAAACAAGCCATCCAACTTTCTTATACACGCCGATTCTTTGTTAGAATCGATCCGCTGACATTATGACTCCATTTTTTTGCTAAACATCTTAACAAAAAAGTCATTGGCGCTCATCTGCTACTGGATACTTTGGGTAAAACATTGCTTTTGCCTTTGGGATTTTGCTCTCTTTCCCAAAGGCAAAAGAAATTCGACATGTCAAATTAGACATGTTTAGGTTATTGTCTCTGATCCAGTCCATCCCACATGATGACCAACACAGCTGAGATCAGGGCTCTGTTGAGGCCTGATCAACAAATTTGGAGAATCATTGAGTTGGTCTCACATGTGCACATATAAATTTAATTCCTTGGACTCCTATTGCATAACTGGAAGCTTTCTTTCCTGAAATGTTATTGCTTACTGGAGCTTATCTATCTCTCCTCTTTTAACTCTTGAACTAACTTTTGAACTGAGGTGCGCTCTACAAGGAAACAGGTGTAAAATTATACTGATAGGTTAAACGCAACCCTTCTTAGGGGCCGTTGTGTCGGCATAGCATGAATGTGCTATCTATAGTGTATGTTATTAATTTGCATAAATCTGTAGTAAAGTTTAACCAGTAAATATCTCTTACGATTCTTTACACCAAACCTTGACGCATTTCTTTGTTTGAATCTACTTTCTTAACTGTGTTGCACCATCTTTCTTTTCTTATTTCTTCTGTCACTGATGTTTTGCACTGGCATGTATTTGAGTTTGGTTGTGCAAGCTGTACCTTGACAGGGGCCAAGCATTAGTTCTGGCAGGGTGGTTCTCGTTCTCACATAAGACCTTTCCTATGCACATACTCACACGAGCACTCTTACACACACATAGGCCCGGGGCTTCACAGATAGTTGTTCTTGATACAGCCGGAAGCCCGAGTGCTACTCTGCACAAGGCTGGCTGAACTTGGGCCCTGAACTGGTTTGCCTTCAGTCAAAAGGCTCAGTGGCCAGCAGCGGCAGCATTATCGGTGTCATTCTGTCTGTTCTGCTTTAGTGCACAAGTCAGCCCATATGAGGCTTATGTAAAGTCTGGCTCATGTCAGAGGCAGCTGTCCTGAGGCCTCTGTACTCATGTAAAGCACGATATGAATACAACTGCCCTGTCATTTTTTTTTTTAAATTCTTGTTGTTTTCCTATGTAAAATGTATCTGTTTGAACAAATAGCACAAGGAATGAAAAGATTTAATTTTATTGAATTGCTAGGATTGTTAGAACGGAGTCATGAGATGTAAAAGAGTGTGAATCCTTGTTCGTGTCCCAAAAGGTTTGCGGCTGTCCTGTACTGTAAAGCTTGATGTGATGCGTGTCAGTTTGCCTTTGTGTGTGTGGTGCTTCTGATGTAACTTTTGCCACGCACCTCATGACTGTGCTCCCTCACCCCCGCTAGCTGGGCCTTGCTGCTTGTCCGCAGCTCTTCTCTGGCTTCCATTCGGAATATGAAACAGGAAAAGTACATGTGCAATCACGCTGGTGGTAATAGGCTGTAGTTCTGTTCTGCTCCATCCGCATGCGGCTCAGTTATCTGAGCTGTGTAATAGAGAGGCCAAAGCTGTTATTGTAGCTATGGACTCCCCAGACAGCCATCAACAAAGACCGCCGTTCATACCATACTTTGCACTTGTGTTAAAGCTCTCAGCTTTTATTCTAAATAGTTCACATTAACCTTCGGTCCCTCAGTTTGGTCAAGCTCTAAATTAAAAAATCATCATCATTAAAAAGTCGAACAGCAAACTGAGAAATTGGCTATTTGCAGCTTGGAATAATAAACCTCTCTGTGGCCTTTCAAACAAACTGGTTGACCTCGTAATGAGCTCGATTCAAGCCATTGTTGGCTATGTTAAGCAGCATTTGTGAGTGGCAATTATTAGTTTAGCTGTAATGGCCTTTCACTTAACAAATTCATGTCATTACTTTGAATAACATAACTTGGTAATTGGACCAATAATGGAGCTCCATCATGTGCTCAGAGTGATGCTCTAAATGCATTGCCCCAACATAGTTACTGCCTGACAGATAAACATCTGTGTTGTGTCACTTTGTCCCCAAAACAACATCGCTGTGATCATCACCAAGAGTGAATTAATGAAACGGTATCTAATACATAATGATAAGCACATGTCACCGGCAAAAAATTATGCTGGTAAACATTTAAAAGTCAATTTGCAAGCTTGTGTAATACACCCACTCTGTTATAGTTTGCACTGAGTAAACCGAGTAGTCCAGTTCATGCAACAGGGTGCGTGTGCAACACCATGTGACCCTTTTTGCTGGCTAGATGATATTCATTGTTTCCTTTTCTGGAATGGTCCCTGCTCTTTGGTGTTGTGTTGCTATTGTATTAGATCATTCCACAGATGTTATTCAAGGGGGCCATTAGGTGTTTGTGTTGGCCGTTCGGAGGTCTTTCTGCCGCTGAGCTGTGCATAGCAGACAGAGTAAATAATGCTCTTTGTCTTTCTTATCAGCGTCTTTGGCAAGTGGAAAAGTTTTATCATGAACTTTTCCTACGTGATCTGGTTTAAGGGTGGATTGATATTGAGCCGTATGTCAGTCACTTTTCTTCCAGAGCAGGCTGAGCTGAATGTCTCTGGGGAATGAGCCAACCACAGCCTTAAGATCTCAGCTACAGATCAGGTGTACAATGGCTGAGAGGGAATTGACCAGAAAATCCCCAATGATGGCCTGATTAAGTATCCTCAGTTAAAGTCTATAAATGTACTCTTCCAACTGTTTCTAAGCGCAGCTGTCAATCGTGTTTCATACGGCCTGAACTTTGCTGCAAAAATGTCTTCCATCCTATGCATGGACTCATGGAGCTGTCACGAATAACAAACCACCGCTATAAGTTTTTTGCTTGCATCTGTGCAAAATGATAACTGCTTAACTATCTGCCATCCTGTCCTGCAGAACCATCCGTCCGGAGCACGTTGTGCGTTCTGTGTACAAGGCAACAGGATGCACCGACAACTCAAACAACCACGTCATCTATCTGGAGCATGTGGTTGTACGCATCACAATTACACACCCCCGGCGTGGAGACCTGTCAATCAACCTGACTTCACCCTCAGGGACCAAGTCTCAGCTGCTTGCCAACAGGTACAAAAATAAGTGCAGCCAGTTTTATCCTCAAGGTCAAATGATATTGACAGAATGAAACGGGTTTCTGCTTGGAAATGAGAATTGAGTATTTGATACAATGACAATGGCATTTTGCCGCAGCCAAATAAGTGGAGTGTTGAGCGCAGAGGTCCTTATTGAATGGGATATTAGGGACTTGTGTGGTTTTATATTCAGATAGAATTGTAAGATTATTAACATATTCTATGAGTTACAATCCTTTAAACTTTCTAAAGCTTGTTGAGACTAAATGGACGTGACTGAACAAAAATATTCTCCAATCATCTAATGTTGGTCTTACTCACCTATCTGAAGCTCATATTATAAGAATGTAAACTGTTATGATATATGTTAATCAGGACTGATTAATGGTATTTACAGTTCTAAAGTCGCCCCCCCCCCCACTCGGATATGACTGTGTGATTTGTGTGTTTTCTACATTGGTGTTTATGTGGTGTTTACTTAATATATAGGTTGTTTGATCACTCCATGGAGGGTTTCAAGAACTGGGAGTTCATGACCACCCACTGCTGGGGAGAGAAGGCAGCAGGCGACTGGGTCTTAGAGATCTATGACTCACCTTCTCAACTTCGCAGCCAAAAAGTGCCGGGTAATAATTTTTATAATCCTTTTGATCAAGTAAATTTACCATAGAAACTGGTATTAGATGGATGTATTTTTTTATGTTGAAGACTTGTTTGAATAAACAAAAATCAGTTAAACAGAGAAGAAATTGCCAACACAGTGTATCATGTGGCTCTGGAGGCAATCACCTAAATGACTAGAATAACCCACTAATTTAAAGTCTCAAACCGAGAGCAGTGGTTTCAGCAGTCACTTTAATTCCATGTAACTTGCCTCATTTTCTTTTCGGTAACATTGAACCTGTCCCATGATATAATCTGCTTTTAAATAGCTGAGGCTCACTTTCCACAATGTCAGCTTAAATGGATATATTCAATTTTCTTTGATTTAAGTAAAGTCTCACAAAATCCTGAAATGCACATAAAAAGAAAGTCTATAAAGATTTTAAGTTGAGATATGTTGGCATTCCACATGATTTTGAAAGGAATTTGCTTGTCCAGGCAAGCTGAAGGAGTGGTCCTTGGTCCTGTACGGCACCTCTGTCCACCCATACTCGTCTCAGCACATCGATAAGGCCCGCTTTGCAGAGCCGCCCATTGACGAAGAGTTCACCGAGGAGTACAACGGTGAGTGGAGGCAGTAGGGGCTCTGCAAACTGAGCTTCACTGCGGAAATGTGATACTGAACTGATTTAACACAGCATTGCTGTACTTTAGAGTTTTACCACTGAGCCGTTCTATGTGTGTGTGTGTGTGTTTGTGTGTCTCCAGGCCCCTGTGACTCAGAATGCAGTGACAACGAGTGCGAGGGTCCCGGGCCCCACCATTGCATTAACTGCCTCCACTACTTCCTCAAGTTTAAAAACAACACAAGGTCAGATTTCTCAATTTTTTCGGTTCTTATTTGGATGTTTAACCAATAAAGTTTAACAACAAAGAGGCTTAAGCAAAAGGACAAATAATGAATGGATGCAAAAAACAGATGCCAAAAAACATTTGATAGATAAATAGATTTATTTCTGGTTAAGTGGTTGATGGCTTTTTTTTTTTTAAATAGTGAGGTTGTTTTGTTTTCCCACTTTTGGGCACCCACTTTCAAAGTGGTATTCTGAAAATTTTATTTCAGAATAAAGTTTAAGAATCAGAGAGTTTTCAAACAAAAGGCCACGTTTCACCTGTCACCCCTTCTTTGATATATAAGTGATTCCAAAAAATAGATGTGAATGCATTTTATGCACTTTAAACCTCTGACAGATGTATGAAAATGCATATCTGAGAGCTGTGGGTTAGTTTTGCTGCTGTAGAAATGCTTTTACCCCGTGTCCCAAAACGTTTCCCATTTTCCATAGTTTCCACAGTTTTGTTGGCTGCAGATTTCTGCAGATGGTGACCGGATCGCTTTCATTATGACAGTCTGATAATGGAGACGATGTTTTCTCAGTCGTGTCGCGTTTGTCTTGTTTCACTCTTTGCTTTGTAAGTCACAGTTTGTGGAGTGTGTGTGAAGGTAAATTTGCATCTGTGCACATTTGCGCGCACCCATAGGATCCCATTAGGATCAAAGTCTGTAGTAATTGCCTTTGTGTCAGCTTGTCTCTGTGCTAATAAAAGGCAGCCTGATGCAGGTGCACGAGAACATGCAGGCTTAGCTGCAACTTATCATTACTCCACTTTAGAGGTGCGCTGCCCTTTTCTGCCTCCACTGGGAGCAATTGATGGATGAAGATTGTGAGAACAGTGGGAGAAGGAGGTGGGGTGGCAGTTGTGGGTAATGTTCAGATAATTACAACGCTATGTGTTGTTTGATGGTCTGCACTTGCCAAAAGGTGCAAATGTCTTTGAAACTTCAAAGATGTGCACTGCAAGTACACCAACAGTTGGAAGCTAGGCTTAAAATTCAAGCTAAACACTTTTTATATATAATTACTACATTTGAGTCTAGTTGTAGTGCCTTTTCAGTTGTTTTAGAAGTGTGAAATCTTGTAAGGGAGTGTACATTTAATTTCTTTTTAGGCCCCTCACATCTGTGTCTATAATTCTTTTTTTTCTCGCAGCTCCTGCCTTTGTCTGATGGCTCCATTAAAGTTGTGTGATCCCCAGTGTTTGTTGGTTGTTCATCCTATACAAATAGATGTGGGAAAAAATTAAAAAGTTTGAAGAAGCATGTGTTGTCAGTCAGTTGTTTGTGCTGGGCGTGTGGTCAGGAGGGTACTGTTTAATGTTCCCATTCAGGTGTGCCGTTTTCTATGATGATGAATGAATCAAATCTGCATTGCAGAAAAAAGCAGGTGCTGAAGTTTCATGACAAACGCGTTGGTAATGTGTTCTTTCACACATGGATTATGTGTCTCACAAGTGCCATATGTGTTTCTTGGCAGAAAATCCTGCCGTGTGCGAATGAAGCTTAAAGAGTGTGCATGTTTTGTGCTCTTGAGGATTTTGAAGGTCTTTTTTTTACCTTAGGAATGGAGCCTCGGGGTGAAATGTGGAAGTGACAAGGGGTTGTGAAGTTATCCAGCAGATGTTGGCCTGCACGCACACAGCTCAGCCCTGTCTGCCCTGAATCTGTGTATCTCATCTCATTAAGAGATTTTTGCGATAACAACCATGGTTATTACCGCTTCAGTTTAATGAGGATAGAGCTTGTTTACACCAGCATCGTGTTCATATTACATAAAAAGGACATTAACATGTGTGATGTCTTCACTGAGGGGAGAATCCTAAGAAAATGGCAATGATGAGGATGATAATGATAATCATAATGATAATATACAAACTTATACCATTTAAATGCATAACCTGTTCCTCCTCCTCTCCTTATAATCGATTGTCACTGCAGGATGTGCGTCTCCGAGTGCCCGAGCGGTTTTTTCCGGGATGACAGGAAACGCTGCAAGAAGTGCTCCTCGTTGTGCGAGACCTGCGTGGGTAGTCGTAGCGACCAATGCACCGCATGCAGGACTGGTTTCCACCTGAACGAGGGCTCCAACACATGTGTTGCCAACTGTGCAGATGGCTTCTACCTCGATAACAGTGAGTCTTCCTTCTGCCCACGCTGGAGCAGTCAGTTTCCAGACACTTGGGTTGATCCCAGCTTTTTTTCAAATAACTATTTTTTTTTTCTGTTTTCTTAAACTTCAACAGTTCTCATCAAATACAATTAAACTTAATGTTTGTGTAATAAAGAGGTATTCGCTAATGACCTCTTTGTCTTGATTGTTCTGGAAGGTCTTTTGTTAATTTGGTGTGCAATAATCAAATTATCAAGACTTGATAAAGTTACAGTGAAATTAACTAAAGATGGAGAAGGTTATCCACAAATTAGGTGGCAGACTGAACTGTTATGAACATGTGTCTGCCACCTGCTCTCCAACAAAATAAAAAAACAACAAAGAGCTTTCACTCACCGCCCCAGAATGATGCCATTGTATCGTTGATGTAATGTCTAGCCGACGGTTTATTTTCTTACTCTTGCTGAATTGAAAAGTACTTACTTGCCTGCTGCTCAGCTGTTTTCCTCCCCTCCCATACCGAAGTGAAATTAAACCTGAAATAAAACAGATCCAAGAGAAAACAGTCTTTACATTCTGTTAAACCAAATTCGTCATGTTTTCTCTTTAACTCATCCATGCACCATACTAAGAAAGAAGTGAAAGCTTCAGTCTGAAATTATGACAACACGCCAACTAACTTGGTTAAAATCATGCACACGAGATAGATGGAGTCTGGCAGCCCAAATTCACTCATAATATTGTGACATATATTTTTTTAAATGAAAATCTTCATTTTATTTCCCCTTTTGATTTGTTTAGTTGTAAATAGCATTTTTGTCTTACCACTGATGACCTAGAGATAAAAATTAAAGGTCTGTCAATATAATGTACTGTCAACTGAATCTAATGTGTTATTTGACCTTAAAGTGGAATCTAATTTAAGCAAGTTTAATATAATGTCTACTTACGGTGATTTAACAGTTGGCATACCCTTGGTAATATTTCTTATTTTATGGTTTGCTTTGAAATTTATGGCAAATCTGAAAGAATTTCCCACAGCCTGTAGTCTGCTGTCTGTAAAACCTTTTTTTAACAGATGTCCAGAAATACTGAGCACATTATAAAGATAGAAAACCTTATGCTTTGATATAAATCAGTTAATTTAAAATGGGTGCTAATCTTGACGACCAGATCAGTTCTTGGTTGGTCCACAATCTTTATCCACCCCACTCTTCTTTTTTTCACTTCCCTATCATTCTTTCCACTTCCCTTCTACCTTTCATTCTTATCTCCTTCTCTTTGCTCTGATTGAATCACAAAAAAAACGTTTTAAATTGTAGAAACAAAATGAATAATTTATAATCATTGCTGATTCTTTGGCTCCACAGGAACTATAGAGTAAAACAGTCCAATCACTTTTTTTGGCGGATTTTCATGTCTACTAGGGCTGTGTCCCCGCCTTCAATCTGCCTTCTGAAATATTCATCTACAACCCTGTTTCCCCAAATGAAAAAATGTCATTTTAAAAAACACAGCAGTTTGCAAATCTTTGAAGCCGTTTAACTGAAAAAAAGCAAAATATCAAATCTTGGATTAAATAAACATGATCGTACTTTTGATGATATATTAGAACAGCAGATAAATGAGCTGCATTTGTCCACTATTTCACTCTTCACTCCATTTGTTGATCTTATTGTATTGTCGTCCATTTTATCCACAGACTTCCTCACTTATTTCTTCTCATACGTACTTAATCAGTGTCTCTTCTTCTTTCCTTCGGTTTTCCTCCAGATCATACCAGGCCTCTGGTTCACGTTAACCACTATTTATGATGGACTCTCTCTGTGTCTTTCAGATTCCAACATTTGCAGGAGATGTCTAGAGAACTGTAAGAAGTGTACAACCTCTACCATCTGCACAGAATGTAAACCTGGGATGAGGTAAGCAGCTGGGAGACTTTTTAAGCATTAATGATTTTGTTGTTTGGGAAGCAGCCGAGTTTAGTGGAATCATTCAGATTGTTAAAAAAAAAACAATTGAAATAAAAGGGTCCCGAAAATCTTTCCGACTTTGCTCCGAGTGGACTTTTGCTGTTGCTTGCCTGTCACATTCACAGATTTGTGTCTTAATTTGTACACACTTAAAGGGACAAGGACCAAACTGCTTTATCCCCTGCATGTACTCGCAAAGCCTCATGATAAGCAGATATCTGCCTGGATGCAAACTTTGCTTCCAAGAATCTCTAATCTATATTTTTGTCCATTTCCACTACACTTGACCTGAGAAAGGTCCTTACAAAAAGAAGCGCTTGCAGTGTTTCAGAGTTGCTAAAGTCTTGCTGCTGACTAAGAGTTCAGTTTAGCCAGAGGTGGAGGTGGGGACACTCGAAGGCCATAATTTCCCCAGAACGCCTTCAAAATCACAGTGAGACACATTTTCACACACTAGTACACACACACTCACCCTTCGCTCCCCCATTTAGTCTAGCATTAATGCTCTGTCAGGAGCCAGGGAGGAAGAGGGGACCAGATCGTTTCTGGGAAACTTAAGCTAACGCAGACCAGCTGTCTTTCAGCTCAGCGCAGCATGCTCACCAACCTGTCCTCGCTGTGACTTCACAGGACTGACTTTCTAACCTTCCAACCTGCTTCCTAACCGAGTGCTCTTCTTTCATGTGGGACCACCGAAGTCACAACAATAGCAAAATTCCCAAAGTGATATATTACCTGAATATTTGTCAAAGTATGACAAAAGGCCAGTCTCTGTTGTTATAAAAAAAGAAAAACTATATGTGTTTTTGTTCTTTTCTTATTTCAAGACCATTGTTTAAAAGTTGAACCCTAGCACAAGCTAGCATTCACAATGTTTTCTACATCTTTTGACTGTCTCCACTTTCCAGTCTCCAAGGGAACAAGTGTCAAATGACCTGTGACCCTGGAACTTATTACAATGGACACAGAAGGACTTGTGAGATTTGTCATCGGGCCTGTGCCACCTGCGCAGGTAGGACAACCCAAGAAATTTAAAAGCACACCCTCACCCCCCCCCAGGCTTGACCACTGTACTGTGGTCAATATTCCAAGAATATTTTTGTTGATTATATGAAGTGAGACTTTCAGAAAATTGTATTTTCATGTGTTTTTCAGGCACAGGCATTGAGGCATGCACCAAGTGTGCAGACGGCTACTTTCTGGAGGACTGGCGATGTGTGTTAACTTGCAGCACTGGCTACTACTTTTCAGAGCAGACCTCAGACAACGGGCAGGTCCAGAGGTCCTGCAAGAAGTGAGTCAGCATGCCTCAACACACCTCTATACAACACCGTCAAAAGAGAGCACGACTTAGCCCAAGAGCGTGAGGTTCAAGCAAAAATCCCTTTTCACCCCAGGTCAAAAACATCTGGAATTCTGAGAGGAATGTGAAAGTGATTAATCACCATTCAGTTCCATGTTCACGACTGTGGTAGTCATGGGAATGTATGCTCACGTCCATGCTAATCTTCACCAAAGATGGTGAGATCAGGACACCAGTCACCTTTTCTTTAGAGAAACGCGTTTATCCGCTGTAACGTCTGGCACGGAGGCTCTGAAACTGACAGCCAGTGCTCCTGATGAATAGCTGCAGACAGCTGGCAGACGACTTTCTGTCCTGCTTTGTAGTGCTGATGTCTGTCACGTATAACAAACCAGCCTTACTTTTTTCAGAGTTCTGTAAATCCGGAATTTGGATCCGACCAGCCCTTAATGACAAGGCGTAATGCCACAACTTCATGATGTCTTTGTTCACAGGCGTGTTCCCTTGAAAGATAGAGGTATATAGAATTGATAAGTTATTGCTCTGAGGCATTGTGGGTAAGCATACTTCTACAGGAAGGATTTGCAGATGTTTTTAGCAGGTATACCCCCATTTGAAAATCTCAATAAACTCTTATGTTTTCTGTCAAAACGGCAGTCATGCATGCCCTGATTAACTTCCTAACCTCTCGTGTTGCACACTTACCGGCACCGCCCTTAAAGTAATTATAATGAATATCCAAGAACCAGATGACATCAAAGTCTTTCATAACGTTTGGAGTCAATGTCACTTCTTCCTTCAAACAGAAAGGCATTGCAGACTCCCGTCTCCTCCTCAGGCTTTTTATACTGACAACTGGTTTTGTGCAGAACACACAGAGCTGACTCTAATCAGACTATAAGACGCATGTTGCAAATTCATGTAAATTACATTAATATTCCGAACACACTGTATACATGTGTTTATATTTAGTGTTCTAAAATTATGTCTCACGTCTTCAACTGCTACATTTGGTACCAAAAAATGTTAAATAACATGCTGTTTGTATAAACAGGATCAGTTTCAGAATAATGTCCTTTTCAGAGCAATTATTGGTTATTGGTGTGCATATCAAAGAAGTAGTTTATAGTTTAGAAATGTAACATAACTCTTTGTCCTCATTAAATTAAAATTTGTATGTATTTATTCAACTTTAAAACTGAACAGCTGCAGTCGTAGCTGTTATTTAGTTTTTTCCACACCGTTCAGTTCGCTCTCTAATGTTGACCAGAGAAAGACATGTCAACATGTTTGTTTTACTGCTGATGACAGTCTGATGACCAGTTTGTCGTCCATCACAGTCGGACTCGTCCACAGAGTCGGACACTTGGTCGTTCTGCTTTCGCCACCACCCTGAGACTTCACTCTCTCACCTTGAGTTATTCATTGCGGATTTGACCCTTCATTCGATCTCAACGTTCCACCTTGTCTTGGGGACTTATTTTTAAAAAATAGTTTTCTATGAAAAAACCTTTCCCACTGGCAGTAAGGTAGATGTCACATGTTACCAGGATTTAATTTCTCATCTATTTTCTTTATTATAAAAAGACTGGGTTTATTATATCATCTTAAAACCCTTAGATGTAAATGAAATGCACGATAAATAATAAATGATAAAATAAATTATAAGAACTAAAGGATTGAACTACAATTTGAAAGAAGCTTTTGAAACGCAAGAACTATATTTAGACACTTTTAGTTTAAGGTGAGCCATTATGAAGTAAAATTACTGATACACACACATTCTTTGGTATAGAGAATGGAAAAAAAGTGATTATTTCAATCTACACTTTAGAACAGCAGTACACCAGTATGGTTGTTTTAAAGAGTACTGTGATGTGCCTACACATGGACCGATTAATGCAATGGTAATAAAGTGAAAAGATGTTGGTTATTTTAGAATACTATAATATTTTTTTTTAGCTCTGTGGTATGCTGAGATTAAATTACGTGAATGATCCACATGCGATCAAAGGCTGCTGCAGATTAGTGGAGTACTGTCTGTAACTCTCACCTTTGACAGGTGTGATGTGAGCTGCTCTGAGTGCTTGGGGCCCGGAGAAAGAAACTGCAGCAACTGTGTCAGTGGCTACAATCTGGAGTCCGGAGTCTGCGTGGTGAGCACCATCTGCAAAGATGGTGAGTTGTCAGCTTTCTTACAATTTATTTGACATTTTGTTTACAGCATGCATTCACAGAAATGCCATTAAGAAACTTTCTCCATTTAAATAATAGCATTACTGAAGGAGGAAAGTATATTTTGGAATAAGAAGCTGAAGGTTTCATGCAAAATGACAGAAATTGTGGTCTAAACACACTAAGCAAATCATAATAACCAAAGATAGACAGACAGATAGCAGAGAAAAATAAATACCTTGCTACTTCTTATTAAGTAAAGCAAATAATTACCTTGTGGTAAATTATTTATCTCTGGCTTTGCACTAACACTTTGCATTAAATTCCTCACTTTTGCTTTTGTACAACTTATCTAAGGTGGAGCTCTTGTTCATGTTCTTAATATTTCTAAAATACCGACTCTTTCTGGGAATATACACTCCCTCGTTCCTGGTGTTTAATTCTAACACGAAGCAACAACATGCCTATTTGTTTTCGCTCTTCTTTGCTACTCCACATAGGCTGAAAGGATTCTTGACTACTTTCTCTTTTTGCATTCATATTTTCTTAAAGCCATTTTCCGGTTTGTTCTTTGTCTTGAGTCATTTCTATATTCTATGCTTATGCTCCAGTCTTTATCCCCCCCGAGAATTATGCATGTTTAGTTTATTTGCTGCTTTAGCAAAGACCTTATAGTTGATATGAACCCTTGGCCATGTGACAAGATAAAGCTGTGAGGAGAAAATGCCTTTGCTGTGTGACCTTTCTGTTGACGTTTGCTTAAAGTGCACCATCAATCTGTTGACATTCTTTGTGGATAGTTGTATTGGCAGTTTAGGTGAATTGCTAGTCTAATGATAAATATAAAAGTTGGTTTGTGGATTGCACAGAATGGTGGTTTACTTTAATTTTTATATATATTATAAAATGAAACCAGGTTTACAAAAAAAACTGAAATTTACTAATTGTGTGACTTTTTTTTCTTTCCTCTCTGTTTTTTTTTCTCTCCCAAATCTGTTTTTCCTGATTTCTGACATGGATGCAATCAACTCCTCAACTCCGCTGGACTACGATTATTTTCCACCTCGATGAACATCGTCTGTGATTGGATCAAAAACCTCTTCCTGTTACCTGAACCCCTTCCTGACCAATCACATGGCTCTACCTGTCATTCAAACATTGCTAATGTTTCATCCTTGTATATATACATATATATATGTGTGTGTGTGTGTGTGTGTTTGCGTCTGTGCGATTGTGTCCCTCTTTCCACTTCTTTCAAACTCTCTTCTTCCTGGTCTGTGGAAAGCAAATGAAGAATCTTGGGCGGAAGGCAGTTTCTGCGTGCTTGTTAAAAAGAACAATCTTTGCCAGCGGAGAGTGCTGCAGCAACTGTGCTGCAGAACGTGCTCACAAAAAGGGTGACGGGGTGCTCTGTCACTGGGCGAAATGGGAGTGCGGGGGGAGACGTGGGGGCACAGGGGGCACCCCTCCTTCTCCAACCCCCTACCCGCGTATTCACAGTCACATAATTTATAAGAGAATCTGTGCCTCTTAAAGGGACTGCATCGGAGGTGCGATGACAGGACTACAACAAACCTACCTTTATTCTGTACTGGGACACACACACGTGGTCAGGGTGTAAAGCGACTGGGACTTACTTCAAGAACAAATGAGCAAATGAAAACAAACGTGAAAACAAACAAAATAGTAAAAGTGTCGGTATTTTGTGACCAAAGCATTGATGCCAAAATAATTGAACCTTCTTTTTTTGTTGCCAGTGTATGAAGCATAGCTAAAAACAGAAGCCACTCAGCCTGTGAATCTCTGAATACGTCTGTGTGCATTTTTGTTTTGGCTCCTCTTCCTCTTCTCTTTCCAGTGTTAACCATAAGCAGATGGAAAGGGAACATACAGTAGGAAAGGCCATGGATCTCTGCCTGTAAATATATGTCAAAGTCATAAAAAAAGCTCACTCAGTAATGTGAAAATAATGCGTGTCTGGGCTGACTTTGGTTGTTTGGGTGAAAGAGGACAAATCCACACTTTTATAGATACCACACACGCAGCAGCGCACAGATGCATATATACCACACACACGCACTTATAAACACGAACACAGACACATAACTCAGCCACCACTTGAAGTTACAGATGCTACATTGTCATCTTCTGCCAAGCCTGTTGCTTGTTACTGACCAGAATCACCTCATTTCATTTAGTTCAAACATGAACCTGCCCTCTGAATAGTGTGTTTGTCTTTACTTGTGTGTCTAGCTGGATGCCATTAATTCTTGATGTAAGCCCAGACAGCATTGATTCATTCAAGACGAGTTGATAGTCATACCTCCCAGAGCTTTCTATAGGGAGGGAAATTCTGCAGTAAATGTTACAATGAATTTGTGGTACTAGGGATGTACCGATGTCAACATTTCACTCACGGTATGAAACTTTGGCCCAAACATGAGTATTGACTCGCTTCTCTTTTTATTTGGTTGGATAAAGTACAACTCAGACTTGTTACAGGGATCAGAAATTCTTTTATATGTTGGTTTGATTTTTTCCACATGCCATTTGTAACCCCGCAGAAGGGAACTTTGTCCAGTAACGGTATTTTATCTGTATCGGTGCATCCCTACATGTTACTGTTCTCAAATAAAATAGTTTTAGAAAGCTCTGCTCCTGTCATTCCATTACAATGACAACGCATACCATCTGAAGTGCCCCTTTACACTTTGGACACAGAATGTCAACAAGTGGCACAGAAAATATTTTGTCCGCGTTTCATCTGCCGGAAAAGGTTCCAGACAGGCAGCAAACTGACGGGGTGCAAGTCAGAGCTGTAACAGGAAGACTGCTATTTTGAATTATTTCAGAAAGGACGACCAATGAAGATTCACAAACTTTAGAAACACCCAAATTGGGAGGAAAACAAGGCGATTGATTTTTTTTTTCTCTCCCCATACTTACATTCTGGTTGTTAAAAGCTGAATGTGAACTGACAGCCTGACCATGCAAGTAGGAGCTGCGTCACAAATTCAAATCATGTTTGGCCAGAAATCTGATTTGTGCTAAAAAGGCCAGTAGATCTCAGATGCATGCTTTATCCTCCTGCATGTCTCTGAACTTGACTTGAAGCAGCTCAAACATGCTGGCTTTTGATGGAGGAAAAAAATAAAAAATAAACATTCAAGACATTTTGTGTTGGGTTGTCACACCTGCAGCTTAAACATTTACAGTATTAGATGCATTGTTGTACTGTCAACTGTTTATGGTTCAAGATGATTTGTAATAAAGATGGATGAATCCCCTGCTTTGGTTAACAAAATCTTAATCTTGGTCATTGTTTAAGATGACTTGCACCTGTGTGTTGTATTAGACACGCACACACCCACACTTATATAAAGTGTTTTTATTGTGTACTTGTGGCATATCTGTGACAATGCATTATTAATGTTACTCAAAGTCCTAGTTTTGAAATTTTTTTACTTAAATGTTCTTATTAAAATGTTTAATCTGTTCATGTTTTCGTTGTTTCTTCAGTTCTCATCGGTCACATTTTTTTTCATCTCGTTAATTTGAATGATTTTAACCATTAGCATTTTTTCAAATTAATTTTCACTTTCCATATAATTCGGTCCCATTTTTTCACCTTCTTTTATGCTTCTCATGATTTTTTTTTTTACAGCACTTCATTGTGATTATTAATGCGTGCAGAAAACTGAAAATGATGTGTGCAGTCAGTGACAGCGAGGTAGAGAATGAGACATTTGATCCGTCTTCATGTTAGTTTGTGTTGTTGATTGTGAATGAGTTTAGATTTATTTTTTCCCTTCTTAGTATGGTTTATAAACATAAATTGCTGAATTTACAGTATTAAAAAAATGGTAAAAGATCACATCTGTGGTGTGAGCAGATGATGTAATTCTTTAATCTTTGGAATCCATATATGCAGTGGGCAGTCCTCCTCTTCACCCTCTTTAGTGCTTTGTATTTTGGTTCCATTTGTGTTTTTTCTAACTTGGGAAAATGTGTAAAATCAGGAATGTGAAGGACTGGATCTTTAATCATCCATTGTGCTGCCAATACGGCTCTGACCCCGGGGAAAACGGACACCCAACCTCTGCGGTTGGACTGTGGTTGATTCTGGAGCGTGGTCTTTAGCAGCCTATCTCATAAAGGCTCCCTCTGAGCTTTTGGATCTCACATTTGGTTCTCTGAAAAACTCTTAAACCTAATTGCATTCAAGGTTTTAGCAGCCAGTGAAGTAAAACCTTCTGTTTTCCCGCTCAGAAAGTACAGAAGAGGTTAATAATATGAGTCTGATGTCAGTCAAGAAGTCCTCAATAGCAGATAAACAAAGTAGAAGATATTATCCAGATGACCCGCAGGGCTGAAGAAAGTTATTCTCTTTCTGTTTTCCTGGACCAAGTATGTGCAGGGTTGAGGAAATTGTTATTCGGAACTAAGTGTGGGTGATGTCAGTGGGATACCTGGCAACACAATTATCTCCCCCGACATAGACTGCTGTATCTCCTCAAGGTCAGCGTAGTCCATAAAGGAGGAGAAGTTGAACTCCCCTGAGTGACAGCCTCTCTTTCTTCCTCGCTCCATTCCTCTCCCATCTGGCAGGGCGAGTCCAAAGTGTCTATTTCTGATGAGTGAAGCTGCACGGCTTTCCGTCCCCCGAGAAATTGGCTCACTGTTTGTTTGTTAGGGTGAGCGAAGGGAAGACAAATGGAAAAACAGGGAAACAATTTGTGTGTGTGAGGAAGAGTGACGGCGTTCATTCGGGGGCCGTTTGAATGGTTTCTGCAGAGCTCAGCTGAATGGGATGCCACTGCCTGTTGTGTTTGTACACAAAGAAGCTCTTTTGTTTTTCAAAGAAACAATTGAGCTTTTCACAGGAAGCCAGAGAGGACAGACAACCTCGCCGCTGCCTTGAAGGATGCTCTAACACACACACACACACACAAACACACAGCTTCATCCTTAGGTTTGAACCAGTGTCTGTCACCTTTGTCTTATACCAAAGTGGGATAGTCGACAATGTTTATGCCTCTTTTGTTATGGCTGTTTCAATGCGGCCAAGTGTGAAACTGAAGATCGTAGAAGATTTTTGGAAACTTAATTCTCTGACAGCAGCCAATAACATGGTTTACATTTATTTTCTGTGGAAGCAGAGTTTTTTTTGCCCCCGAAAGAGAAAACAATGACTACATTCCACTGCTACACAGTGTAGATGGAAAAATTACATATACACCTGGAGTGTGATAATATTTTCAATCAGTGAAGTGATTCAAAAAATGACTCTGCCAGGTGTGGAGATTTCTGGCATCCAGAGTCAATTTCCAGACTGTTCTCTGCCTACGCACATTTTCAGCATTTCCAGCGGCGGATAATGTGACCGGGGAGCTGGAGGAAAGGTGGTATATGGTCCTGCTAATTTCTTTTCTAATTTGTTTCTCCTCCAGAGGCCTGCTGATGCGTCCATTACCTGGTCACAAAAACTAAACAGAGGAGAACGGCTCCACGGCACCCCTATGGTTTACCTCTGAATAGTCATTTTCAACCCTTTTTCCTTGGGAATAGAAAATAGATGGGGGATTTGTTTTTGGTCACCAAATAAAACGATCTAAATGCAATTTACAACACACAGTGAGGGAAAAAGTAAAGAGTTTGTGTGAAATTGTTGCCAAATAAGAAAATATTGGGTCTTGCATTTGACAGAAGGCATGAGAAACTAGGTGGGCATTTTGATAATGTAAAAACAGTAGCAAGAGCCATTCATCATTCAAATGGTTTTAAAAAAGCAAACATACCAACATGGAAAACAATTTAAGAAAAGCATGAGGCAACCAGAATGCTTCCACTCGATGAGCGTGACGCAGGAGTCGTGCGGTGTTATTCATCCTAGCCCTCTGTCCACAGGAGAGTACATGAGTCCACACGGGAAGTGCCACCTGTGTGATGCGACCTGTCAGCAGTGCACAGGTCCAGAGAGTGAGGACTGCACCAGCTGCCCTGCACCAAGGTGACAGCCCATGACATGCAAGCACTGATGGCTCAGGTTTAAGGGTTTTCTACGTCCGGTTAATTTCAAAATGGTTTTGGGTCTCTTGTTTTCCATGTGAAACACTACGGGACAACCAGATTTGTTAGTAATTTAGACCAAACAAGCAAAGCATCCAACTTGAAAAGTTGGATGGTGTGGAAAATCTGGTATAATTGCCATGAATTGGGCCCCAACTCCACACAGAAATGTAGATTTTACTTATTTATTCGGGTTCATAAATCAAATGTGTTGTTCCATTCAGTGAAATGTAGTTCATATGCAGCAGTTCGATCTGATTGTTCACATCGGCTGTGAATCGCACCCTCCTGCAGGTTGTTTGATGAAGGACGCTGTGTTATCCGTTGCCAAGCTGGCCATTATCCAATGGGAGGACGATGCAACCTCTGTCATCACACCTGCCAGGAGTGTACTGATGAGGGGCCGGACAAATGCACCAGCTGTGACACAGGTATCTGACCCGGCTTCAGGGCATGGATCAGGCTAAGGCTCATTTGTGTCTGCCACCAACAATCCATTCTCTGAAAGCAGATGGATGTAATTCAGCGATAATGCATCTATTAACTGTTGATAGTTACAGGTATGTGTTGCATCCTGGTACTGATACCATCAAACAACTTTAAGGATTATGTTTCAGTGGAAGAACTTTGTCTACATGTGATTTTGTCTTATATTAAGGAAAGAAGCACACCTCTATATTGTTAGAAACTCTGAAGTCATTGTTGGACCCCAGCTGAAGAAATATCAGCCTGATAATGGCAAGAAAAACTGTGTTTATCACACAGTTTCAGACAGTATTATGGCTGTGAGAAAGAAAGCATTTACACTGGGGCTATACTGTTACACTCTTACCTACACACACACACACACACACACACACACACACACTTGTAGATACCAGACAGCCAAGAGAAAATTAACACCAGATTTTCTCTTCAAACACACCTTCATTTAAGCACACACACTCTCAATTACCAGGAAAGTTTGTCAAACTCTGTTTGTAAATGTGGTTCCATTTAAATGCAGCTCTGTCTGAGTCTCAATGAGACATAACAATAACAGCGTGAACAGACTCTATCTGTCTCTCTCCGTGCCATTTCTTTCTCAAAACAACTGCTCTTATCTCGGCCGGTCTCTCTCTCACACACACACACTCCGTTGCAGAAGAAACTCCCATACTGAGCAGAAAATACGTGATACTAACCTGTGATGCTTTGCTCTCCTGCAACCACAACAAAATGAAAAGTGGAGAAGGCAGCAGGGCAAACTCCAATTAGATCAAATAAAATTTAAAAAAGAAGGAAAGATGGACAGTCAAAGAATATGACAGCATCAAAACACACAAAAATCCAGGCTGGAATTAAAATTAAAGTCACACACATTTATTTGAACCTTTATGTTTAATTTCCATTAAACATAAATGGAATGGTACACACGGAGGCCTGAATTTAATCGCCGGCTTTGTAATGTAATCACAACTGACAATATTTTTTAGTATGATATTTTGATTTGGAAAAGCATTAAGGTGGTTTAGATGCTCTTTAATTGAACTTCCATTTTGTAGCAAAAAGTTAAACAAAAATAAAAATGTGCTTTTATGAAATTCAAGCCCTTTTCGGTGAACTGACTCAGAACCTAAAAGATCGACCTGATCAGAGAAAAATGGGTCAAGTTTTTTAGATGTAAAACCTAAACAGTTTCTTTGTCTTTTTAGCTTATTACAATCCAGTGATTTTTAAATTGGACACAACTGGATACAAAATTCTATTGATGTTACGCATTAGCAGAATTTGAATGTTTTCGTTTGTACTTTGCTTCTCCACATAGATACATTTGGTGTGGCCCGATACCTTTTTCAGAGTCAATGTCGGGAAACCTGTCCGGAGAAGTTCTTCCACTCTGGGAGGATGCGGTGTGAAGCCTGTCCGGAAGACTGCATCATCTGTGCTGCAGCCAATCACTGCCTCCGCTGCAGCCCCGGACACAAGCTGAAAGAAGGCCACTGCGTGCCACTGGAGTGTGACAAAGGTGAGGGTTCCTCGTAAAGTCACAAGACCATTAACTGAGGAGGAAAGGAAATGGTAGATATTTGTTTTAGTTAATGAAGATGCATATACCAACCTCAGTCATGATTTTTAAATATATACGGTGTGATTTTAAACATTTAAGCAGAATAGTATTTATGTCTTCATGGAAAGATGGATGGTTAGAGTTTAATAAAAATATATCTAACCTAAGGCTAATACTTTATCAGTATCATACTTTCTGCATGTTGTGGCCTCTCTAGTGTGTCCATTATGTTAAAACATCTGGTGTTCACAAACAGACGATGTTAAACATCTTGCTTGAAACATCAAGGTCTGAATCTTTTAAAGAATCTAAATTCAGAAACTAAAATTCACAAACGGCCTGAGTGTTGCATTTTCAGTATCTATTGTCCGAATCAATGGTTTCTGTTGACCTCCTCTGACTCCTCAGACTATTTCTGGTCCTCCTAACAGCCACAATCTTTAGCTGAAGAACAGGTCAACCTGTTCCCTGTACTCAGCCTCCTCTAAAATCTTCAAGTAATACTTTGAGACCTTTTAAAAAACCCTGCTGAAGCGGATTCATCTCTTCCTTCTTTGTTATTTTAACAGTTACATAGCACAATTGCTTGAGAAGAGAAGCAGAAACTAGAAACACATCTTTTCTATATTGATTAATTTGTCTATAGGGTGTAAATGATTTTAGATTGGATTTACTATTTCTGCTTTTTTGGATTGGACACGTGGTTTTCACGATGTCCGTTTTACTTCATGAAGAAAACCAACAAAAGAAAAAAAAAGGGGTTTAAAAAAGGAAAATGATCCCTTGTCAAATGAATGCAGTCAGACATTGTGATGACGTCGACCTATCAGTGCCTGGTGCAGATGTGTTCTTACTCATACTTTCTGCTTTCCGTAGTTTATTTTCTTCTTTGGAGACATCCCGAAAAATAAGGTCATTGCTCTTTATCTGAAAGAATAAGATCACATTTGAATTTTGTCCAAAGGAGGATTGAGAGAGAACTGGAATGATTTGAGTGAGATGTTCTGATTCCAATCTATATGAGATAGAAACAAGAGGTGCAGCATAACCATGATGAGCGATGATGACAGTTCGCGAGAAAATTAAGCTTTCAGACTGCGGAATAAGAGCAAATATTTCTCATTTATGGAGGGCAAGTTTGAACTGGTCCCATAGACAGCTGGAAATCTGTGATGTGGAGGATGGAGGTAATTTGTGTTGCCCTCTCTTCACTTCTCTGCTTGTTTTTCTACTTTTCTTCAAACAGAATGAACAAAAACATCCAAAATCAAGTAAACTGACACTCTTTATAAAGAAAGTATTTTTATGCTTTGCTTTATTTTATAGAATTGGCTTTGACTTAAAAGCTGTTGCTGTCGGTGTTAATTGACTTTAACTCAAATGTCTTTGGTGGGAAAATAAGATCTGTTTTTTTAATGTGTTTGATGCCACTAATCAACAGCTTCTTTCCTTCATCAGATGAGGTTTCAGACGCAGAAAATGAAGGCTGCCTCCACTGTGATGAAGGATGTGAGAAATGTAAACGCAGTAAGTGGAATTTGTCTCCGTTTAATGAGCTCTAACTCTCTGATTAACAAAAAGAAAAACTCTACCCTTCCCTCAGAAACAGAAGCAATCCCATAGCACACCACAATCAATGAAATCTATTTCTCTCTGCTCTTCAGAGGAGTCAAGGACTTTTAGTAATATGGCTCTCAACAATAAGATGCACTCAGAAAAGCCTGCAATCAGAACACGTGGATCTATTTCTTCGATGTGTTGCACAGTGCTGCTGAGACGCATTCGCTAATGAAGCTGCTTGTTGTTGCACCTCACGCTCTGTTACTGCAGAGAAATCTCCAAACTCAAACTGAACTTTGTTTTGAAAGTTAAGGCTGTTGGTGCGCAGTTAGTGAAGACTGTCCCTTACACAGAAAAACAAGCCCTGGCTTTTTCATCGCAGCACGTTAATGAGCCACAAAGTAAAAGTCGGCCCGAAATCTGAAGCTGCACGCTTTAAAATCTCACCCTCATTTCAAGCCACATGCAGGCGAAAAGACTTCCTTCTCTCAGAGATGATTATTGCATACCATTGAAAGTTATTATTGTGAACTGAACTAGACTGAGGTTTAGACGGGCTGTTATTATGTCATTATGCATTCTGGCTGGAATATCTTTCTTCACTCTTGCTCAGAGTACAGCCTCCCTGCCACCCAGACACCATAAACAAGTCACACTAAACAAGTCAGCAGATGAGAGATTTGAGATGATTGGCCTTGTGACGTGATGCTGCAGGCTAAAATGAGGATGAAACAGTGTCTGGGACTTGGACAGTGTCTGACATGTTTTTGTGCATGCTTATACTCGATGCCATCGTGCAGCAGAGTTTGTATGTGGAAAAGATTTTTGGTGGTTTTGTCAAGTTCTTTATTTTCTGTGTGTGTTTTTAGAATACAAGTTTTAAAATTTGAACGTTATAAATGTGAGGATTGCGTCATGCACGACCAAACACCCAAACAGCTTGTTGGTTCTCCAGACATGTTCTGAAACCCGCTGTACTGTTTAGATTTAGTCTGTAGACTAATAGAATAGTTATAGAATAGGTACTGTAGGTCAGTTGTAAGGAGCTGCTTTATAAGATCCTATCATTGAAATGAATCAGTCTGACGATATGTGATATAGGACTACAGCTTCCTGAAAGTCCGGTTAGCTACATCAAACTTATATCAACACTTCCTTTAATTCAGGACTACTAGCATACTTTTTTATACTTCTTTATCACCAACTGAAGTCCACCATTGAATGCATTTGTCATGTTTCTCGGTCTGTGTCATTTCAGGAATGATTCTGATCATCATGTTATGCACAGCCGATCGATAAGAGCTCCGTCAAGCTCCAAATGATACATTTCAGAAGGGATTAGATATTTAATCTTGGTGTTCTCACTCTTAGCTCATGTCTTTCGGGACAGCATACTTCCAAATGAAAAACCTGAGACCTTGACCCCTCATAACGACATCCAGCGGCTCTTCGGGGGCGGGCGCTTGGCTTTTTGTAAATTATAAAAAAGTAAAGATTTATCAGCTTTACTTATACTGATTGAGCATTTCAGTACTGGGAGAGGTCTCTTCCAGGATGACAATGCTCTCAGTCATAAACCAAAAGCAGTCTCTGCAGAGCTACACAAGTATGACAAATATTAAAAATGTTATGATCTTTATAGCCACCAAGTCCGAGGCCATTGGAACACCAGGTGAAATGTTTAAATAAAATGTGATATAACTCTCCCTTCCACAATTATTGAAAACGTACAAGAGGGTGTTTGGAGAGAATAATGTATCATCCCTCCAGCCAAAGACTTCTAGAATGAAAGCCAAGTCGAAGAAAAGTTGTTTTGGCTGCTTATGGAAATCCAATATCAATGGATGTTTTTTTCCATGCTTGCAAGTGTTGCTGAATTCATTAACATAACATAAGAGTAAACAATGGCATAGTGCAATTTAATTTTCTGTGCTTTTCTCTTGCTGAGATTTACGGCCCTCGATAAGAGCAGTGCTAAAGGAGCTTCTTCACTGTTCAGTTTTCTTTTTGCTGGTTGGAGACTGTTAAGGTCATGTCACCTGCAGTGCCCAGCAGGTCTTGAACAGGGCAGCTCATTCTGTGCTCCTTTTCATTGTTTGTATCCATGTAACTATTCTTCTTCTGCCACGTCATACATGTTTGGAATTTGTTGATGGACAAGTCAACTCAATGTATTCAGTTCAAGTGAAGATTTGAGATAACGAGTTCCCCCACTGGCACTTTTGAATATAGTCAACTTTACCTTTAATGTAACTGAATCCCCTTAAAGTGAAATGACGTGCAAGCACATAATGTGTGTCCCATAAATCCTGGCATATTTAACCATATTTAGGCACATCTTTTTTTGCACAGTCCACAAGTGAATACTTCGGTATGTGCATAGCAGCTGAATTCCCCCTCCTCTGGCTCGCACAGTTAATATTTATGCGGGCACTATTTTCTCTCTCATAGACAGAGCCCGGAGGCATGATTTCCGGCTCCTCAGTCGAGCTCTCTTCCTTTATACCTCCGTCCCTCTCTCCTTCCTTTCTTCCAGCCTCTCTCTGTATGAGTAATTGCTTTCACAGGTAGTGGCTTGTCGACAGCACTGAAGCGCAAAGCCCAGTGCACTGTCAAGTTGTGGGTGCTGGGAGGAGAAAACAAGAGGAATGGGGTGTGGGGGTCAGGGAAGACTTTCTCTGTGAGGATAAATGTCCCAAGGGAAATCCTGCAGATGCGTCTTTTTCAGCCATCCTTTACCTCCTGTACCTCCTGTCTAATCCTTTATTTCTTCTACACCTCACCACACTGCTTGCTGTCTCTGTCCTTGGACATCATTGGACAATGGAATGATAACTTTGTTTTTTTTAAACCAGTAGCATGGCTTTGATTGATAACAGGACTTAATTAGTTTAAAGGAAATTAGCTTCACCATTTGATGTATGTGTCAAAATCCCACACTAACCTGAATTAGTTACAAGTATCCACTCTGTATTCAGTTGTCCTATAAGAGAAAAAATGCAAAATAACAAAAAGAAGTGTCTTAAACTCTCACATTTGACTTATTTGTAAACTGAGTGAATGTAAGCCTGCACGGTAAGGAGAATAAACAGCACACACACAGCAACTGACCTGGTTAAGAAAAGTTTCAGATATAAAATTAAACAGTTTTGAAGACTTTCATTCATCGGAGGGCTTCTATGCTTGATTATTATCTTTTTTTTGGTGATCACACAGAACTGATGATTGATCTCAGCATGGCAGCATGTTGAACAGCAAACTCATGACATTATTAAATGTGTTGTCAGAGTGCCTCCTGCTGGTGCTAAAATATACTGCATGCTTCGTGATGTAAATCTAGAAATCTTTAATACATGGCTAAATGTTACGAATAAATTGCTTTGATGTGGAAAAAATTTAAATGATAACTAATCCAATAAAAAAGAAGACATGTAAGGCAACAATAGCATCTTACATAATGGATGTCAGTAAATGGATGACGTCTACCAGCAACAAGTTAAAGAAAAAAATTATATTCAAATATGAAAAGTTGCTGAAAATATTTTAAACCTACCACTTTGTTTATGTCCTAATCTATGAGTGCATTCTTTGCTTGTCCCCACAGAGGATTCACAAGATCAGGAGCAGAAAACCGTTTGCCTTAAATGTGAAGATGGTTATTATCAGTAAGTAATTTCATATGAATGATTGGTTTAATCAGTGCACTGTGGTGTTGTTAATGATATTCGTTTCTTACTACAGGTTAGACACTGACTGTCATAAGTCCTGTCCAGATAGGACCTACAGTGTGACCAGCACAATGCTTTGTGCACCATGTGAAGATAAAAATTGTGCAATCTGTGACCAGTCCCAGTGCCACTGGTGTATCGAAGGATTCTCCGTCTTTGGTAAAATTTTAATATTACCATGAATTGTTTTTGCTTAAATGATTCTCTCCAGTAAGTATGCATGCCAGGTATTGAGATGATGATAAGAAGAAGATCAATTGGAAGATGGAGCTACAGGGTCCTGAGGAGAAAGGTGTAGTGAATGTGAATGACATTCCCACCTCTGGACTCTCCGGCAACAACACTGTATAGTGTAGTCGGATGCTAACAAAGGAAAGGTAGTTAGTACCGAGGAGCTCTGCTACCAGAGGGCAACATTTCAGACATTGAGGACAGGTACAAGTACCTTGCCAGTCTGCCGCACTGGGCAGGTGCAGGCTGTGCAAAGAATCCACGGAGACAATCCAGTACATCCATCCAGGCAGAGCAGACATGGAATCCCATAACCAAGCAACCGCTATAGTATACAAGAATATCTGTGCAAGCCCCCAAATGAAAAAAATGGGATAAGCCCCGCTGGGTAGTTGAGAATTACAAGGCTCAGCTCCTGTGGGACTTCCAGGTACGGAACTAACAAACTTGTGATATACCAAGGTAAGGGGGGACAGTGGTCCCTGTGGTCATTTGAACACTTGAACACAGTGCAGGACCATCAAAAGGATCCAAGCTTGAAGGATAATGACCGTCCTGGAAGTCGAGTGAGGAATTAATTTTTAAAATATATATATATGTGTTTGTATGTATAATCTGTGCATTTTTACTTCCCAGAGGGACAATGTGTGGATCATTGTGAGGAAGGTTTCTTTATGGATGAAGACAGCGGTGAGTGTGAGTCTTGCCACCACAGCTGTCGCAGCTGTGGAGGACCACGAAATGAAGACTGTGACTCCTGCGAGGACGGGCTCTCTCTGATCAACGGGGAGTGCTTAGAGGGCACACAACTCGCTGCTTGTCCCGAGAACCAATACCGTAACAGTATGGACCATGTCAATTTTACTTTAGTATTAAAAGCTATCAGTATTTAATGATCTGTCTTGATTTGTACCCAAAATATTGATCATAGTGATATGTACATATGTATGTATGTGTATGTATAATGTCTTGACGTGATCATTTGTGCTGATTTCTGTTCTATTTTCCTGTCAGGTAAGAAGGAATGTGAGCAGTGCCACTCTTCCTGTAAGACCTGCTTTGCAGCAGAGAAAGATGCCTGCAGCAGCTGCCACACAGGTATATTTCTTCCATCTATGGGCTATGTTAAAGAACCATGGAAACTAGAAATGGTTTAGTCTTGTCATAAATTGCTGGAAAGAATTCCATCCCAGCACAAACATCTTTATCAGACGGTGGTGGTGTGAGTATTGTAAGAAAGATGGTCATACCTTCATTGCATGTCATGACAGTTGCTAAATTCTGAAAATCTGCCTATTCAACTTTTCCTTCTTCCCGGATCACTGTTGTGATTCTCCTTTCTGTTTTTTTGGTTTTAGATCGATTTTTGACTGCTAAACAGACTTGTCTGTCTCACTGTCCATCTGGTACATTTGGCAACAAGACGTCTGGCAAGTGTGAGGACTGCTTGAAGGGGTGTGTCATATGCCAGGATGCCAAAGTGTGTCAACAGTGTGGACATGGACTTTATCTGCAAGAGGGAGTGTGTGTAGTTGAATGTCAAAGGTGCATCTCATGCTATTTCATTTCCAAATTAGCTCATAAACACACACCACGCACATCAGTGCTGATGCTTCTCTCTGCCTTGTTTAAAGAGCGTTTCCAAAAGATGGTGTGTGCCAACCATGTGCCCCAGAGTGTGAATCCTGCATGGAAAGTCCCTCTCACTGCCTGAGCTGTGAGAAACCATTGCTCCTGTGGGACCACTCCTGCAAATCTAAATGTCCAAAAGGCTATTATGGAAACAACACAGAATGCCATCAATGCTCAGAGCACTGTAGCAAGTGCAATAAGGACGGCTTGTGTCAGAGTAAGTGATCCCAGGACAGAATTGAAGTGTAAAATGATGGAGGGTGTAACGATGAAATTTGAAGAGACACAGATTTGAAATGATGGAAATGTGTGATTTAGACTTGAAATGGCTGAACAGCTGAGGAACATGACGACATGATGCACAAGAGACATAACCAGGATGTGCAGAAAGATGATTTCTTACTCTGTTTTCTGCGAGTTGTTAAAAAAAAAAAGCAAAAGTGGGACAGATAAGAAGAACCACAGCAAAGCCGTTTAGGAAAAAATAAAAGACAAACATAAATGGCAAATTAATACAAAATATATAAATCACAATACGCATGCATAGCTATTAAATAAAGGCTCAGTTCTCTCAGCACAGACAATTCACAAATGTAAAAAGTATAAAAATATAAATGCTAAAAAAAGATAAGTCAGCTTAAGACTGTTGTAGAAATTAGTGCACAAGATGTGCCTTGAAGCACTCAGTAGTTGCTGAAGGGGATTAGTTGTTTCTGAGTCTGTTTGTCTTTAACTTGAAGTATCTGCCTGAATCTATTATTTGTTAGGACTAGAGTATTTTCAAAGGGTGTACCTTTGTGTGTATTTGCTGAATAGTCACGTTATGTTTTATACATTTAAACCCCTTATGTAAGTGAATGCATATTCAGTGGGGTTACTGATTATATACCACTAATTAATTGTCATATCATAAGCGAGGTGGAACTTTCAAGTTTAGAAAAAGAACAGGGAAAAGCTTGTGTATGACAAAAATTCAATCACATATATCAAAATAGCCAAGTTTACAATATGTCTTTAGTTTGGGTGGATGATAAAACCCTTTCATCTATAGAATATTAAAAGGTCCAGTTGTGAAGTGCTCAATTACAAAGCTCAGGTTCATACTGTTGACTCAGCTCTCTGTTATTATCCATAATTTTCTCTCTCAGTGTGTTCAGAATACTACTTCCTCCATGATGATAAGTGCGTGGATGATTGTCCTGCCGGATACTTTGCCAGTGAGAAGCAACAGGAGTGTGTAAGGTGTCATGCTGATTGTGCATCATGTGACGGCCCAGACATCGATGACTGCGACGTGTGTCGCAACCCAAAAGCCGTCCGTTACAACGGAGAGTGCCTGCCCACGTGTCCCAACAACACCTTTCACGACAAGAGCACCAACGAATGCAGAGGTATGGAACCTCTAAAAATCATAACACGATAATGATCACAATGTTGAAAAGATCTATGTTTTCTGTTTAAAAAAAAGGTTTCTTATTTCTCGTAGACTGTGACAAGTCATGTTTGAGCTGCTCTGGACACGGCCCTTCGAACTGCCTCACCTGTGATCCCAAAAGACGGAAAGATGCCAGCGGGCACTGTGTGTGGTACAGCCAGTGCTCCCTGAATACGTACATGAGTCCGAATGGGGAATGCAAGCAGTGTCACACACTCTGTGATCGCTGCTCTGGGCCTGGAGAAAAACGCTGTCTCAGCTGCAAAGAGCCACGCTTCCTAATGAGTGAGTCACTTAACAAAAAAAAGAAGAAGCCGGGGTTGTCGTTTGTGTACATTAAAGTGTGTTTCCAAGACTGTGACTCTGTGTCTGCGTCCGTCAGACAACACCTGTGTGAAAGAGTGTCCGGTGGGTTACTACGCTGAGGACAGAGATGAGCGCCGGTGTGAGCGCTGCCACTACAGCTGCCAGTCCTGTGTGGGCCATCACAGTGTCCAGTGCGACACCTGTAAACCTGGGTTCTTCAAGCAGGGCAGCAGCTGCGTGGAAACCTGCTCCGAGAGGTTAGGGGACCCCGCTGCCGACTGGAAGAAAAAAAGCATCCACGCCACTAAACTCACACCCATCCACTAAACGGGTTTTCTTCCCTTTTAGTCACTTTGGCGACCCGGCCACCATGGTCTGCGAGCGCTGTGACCCATCCTGCGGCCAGTGTTCCGGCAGCGGTAACGGAAACTGCCTGAGCTGTAGGGAGGGCTACGTCTACCTGGAGCAGTGGGGCCAGTGTCTGAAGAAGTGCCCTGCAGGCTACTACAAAGGCAGGCAGTCCACCACCTGTCGCAAGTGTCACCCCACCTGCAAGACCTGCAGTGGTAAAAGAAGCTCCCTATCGTTCCCCTGTGATTATAATGATGATGATTGATAGTAGTTAACTAGCTTAACCAGTATTTTTATATCATAAGACAGCAATGAGAAGTTTCACTTTACTGTAAATTAAAAAAAAAGTATTAAAGTACACCTCTCTGTACTCATGTAATATGCCTTATGTTAATGATAGAAAAAGAGCTTTTCACCGATCATATAATGTTGCTCAGTTGGGCTTTTTTGATTGAACTAAGGTGCTTCTTATTTGGATGTCTTACTCAGTCATGGAGCTGGGGGGCTTTCTGTGGGGAGTTTGCATGTCCTCTCTGTGTATGTGTGGAATTGGCTACAGATGTTCCCCTGTCATGTGTTCAGATGTTCTTCTTTGTGTTATAACCCTTTCCTAACAGGTGGGGGTGCTCTGTTCTGCCTCTCCTGTCACAATGGCTATGTCTTTAACAGCGGCATCTGTTACAACCCCTGTTTTGTGGGCTTCTATGCTGCATCGCAGGTTAGCTACCATTTCTCTTTATACACAATAGGAATTGGCATATTCCATCACAGATTTGAACAGCACTGATAAGCATATGCAGGTCAGCTGTGGGTCGAATGTGGAGCTATAGTCTCATCTGTAGTCTCCTCTGGTTTCAGGATTCAGAGAGTGAGAAACCAAAGTGTGAAGCTTGTGACCCTTCCTGTGAGGGCTGCCATGGTCCCAGCATGCGGGACTGCACTTTGTGCCCTGCTGGCCAGATCTTGTCTGATGATGGCCGTTGCTTGAGCTGCTGTGGAAATGTGACTCTGCCCAATGACAAGCCATTATCCAGAGAGTGCTGTGATTGCAAGTCATCAACAGGTAAACAGGCAGGATCACTGTAAGGTGCAATAACTCATAATGTGGTATTACTTATTGCAGATGCCTAATGGTACAAATACATAATCATGGAAACATATTTTTGTGTGATATAACAAAGCACAAAAAGCATGGCATTGTCTTTAGCCTTAAAATGTGTTGGTCACTCTCAGCATGGTTCCAAGATGTAACCCCATATTGTGCTTTTTCTTCTTTTCAGTTGAGTGCAAGCTCAGTGTCAACTTTGTGATGACGACAGCTGAGAATTTAGGCAGAACCGCTAGGCTTTTTTCCGTGTCTTGTGTTCTAGTCATCATCTCCGTGGGAGTGGGAGTCTTCTTCGTGCTCAGCGTTCGATCTAAAGTGCGTGCTCTCACACCGAAAATCGGAAGCAGAGGCTATGAGAGAGTAGACACCGGTGAGAAACCAGTGCCACAAGTCACCACCTCTACGTATGGGGAGTACAATGACAAAATAACTGAATCTGTGGATAAGGAGGAAGATGATGATGAGGATATTGTATACATGACAAAAGATGGAACAGTGTATCGGAAATTTAAGTATGGGCTGTTGGATGAGGATGACACGGAGCTAGAGTATGATGATGAGAGCTACTCCTTCAGGTGAAAAGAAAAGAAAAAACAAACAAACTTCCTACTTTCACACATTCTGCTCCAATTTTCTTAAGACTTGATTTACATTTTTGATAGAAACACATCACAAATACATTTTACAATATGTAATACAAGTTTTTGTCTATAAAACGATGTAAAACACATTCATGAAAACAGACATTTCAGTCCTACAGTCGACATAAAGACTTCTTGACATCTTCCTAGATTTGAACTTGTTATACGGTAAATGTATTACTTGATTGTATTATGAGTTATTAATGTTGTACGTTCATTTGTTCTTCATTTAATGCTGTTTAAAGTTGGGTTCTAATGAACCTTTGGCACATTCCCGGGTGGATACAAGGTTCTTTTGTATTTATCTTCGTACTATGGCTTAAACTAACCTTTGTCCTCCTTATTAAGGTCACAATCTGTCCTCCATACTGCCTTTACAGACATAGTACTCTGTGCACGGAGAGTGTTTTGGTTACTTCTGAAGGCTCTTCTCACCACAGAGTTGGATACATCCCAGGCCAAACTTTATTACACTGGTTTAGTGCTAAATGTGCTCAAATAAATCCCTCCCAACATGATTATTCCCAGAAATCAAATGATAAATAAATTGAAAAAGTCAAAGTTGAATCTAGTTCCAAAAGTGTTGGTGTGTTTGTTTCATTGGATTTTGGTTGTTTACTTGTTGGCTTCTCGGGGCACAGGTAAAACAGTAAGAGGTCGAAAATCACAATTCACTTTTTTTTTTCTCAAGCTAAAAATTTTCCAATGATTTAATGTGTACCACTTACACTAATTCAAGTTGTCTAATCCTTATGAATGCCCATATTCAATAGATAACTTTTTTTTTTCCAATTAGATTTCTGGCTTCTTAAAAAACTATTTTTATCTGTACTCAAAATTTCTGGGGCACTTCAGTAACTGCTCTGTAAGAAATGCGTCTGTAGAAGATCTTGCTTATATTATTTTAAATGGCTTCGTCTGCCTAAATTTGACATGTCTGGGTTATGTAAATCAGAATCTGTTTATTCTCATATAAAACATGTGAAACACACATTGATTAGCTTGTGCTGATGAAAGGTAAACAACGTCATCTGTATCTGTTTTGTTTACAACTTTAACGAACATGAAGTGAGGTCTTATAAGACAATTTCCATGTGATTTTTATGTAACGTTTTAAATATATGGATTAGAGTTTATATTAGTGTAAATCTGAAGAAGCTAAATTGTAATAATAATCCCAAAACATGAAGGTAATTAATGGAAAAAGCTTTTCTTATCTGTTATTAAAGCATAGTTTGCATGTGTGCATGTAGAAAAATTAAAAATGACCTTTAAATACATTTGATCAAATCTTTATTTAATAAAATGATGTAAAACATAAATGATAACAGAGCATTCAGTCTACGCGCAGTAACCCTGGTCCCTGTGCAAACAATTAATTATTATTCCAACAAATGGGACTGGAAGACAGCAGCGTTTCTGCAAGAACACAGCAAAGCCAGATCTAAAGAAGGAGGGAATTTAAATCTCTGACAAAGTACCACATATGATTATTTAGCTTTCATTTGACTGTCATGAAGGTGTTGAAAAGAAGATAAACAAACACAGAAGAATAAAAACTATCAGCAGTAACAGCTAAGTGCTTCTGGCTGGATTGCAACCCCTGTTGCACGACTGAGCCAACATTCATAAACCGCCGTCGCCTCTTTCAACGCTTAATTAACACTTTAATAAACAAAAATAATCAATCTAACAGACTTCCAATTCAAAATGCAAACAAACTTAAATATTTTGTCACTCAACACCATTTTTTTTAAAAAGGGGGTTCAAATAACTGCTGAGACTTGTGTTTGATGATTTCATGCCATCTCTCAGTCACACACACACACACTTGAAACACACCCTTTGGAGATACTCCTCCTCCAGGGTTTCGCCGGCTGTTTTGGAATACATTTGTTAAGGGCTTGGAAAGTCTTGCTGAATGGATGCTTTATCTTCTATATAAACTGGTAAAATCATTACTCTTCATACACTTTGCGGATTGTTGTCTGACTGGATTTGAGTGTTTTTTTTAAATAATCTACTAATACCTCAATAGATCTATGATTTAAGTGTCTCCACTCCAGCAAAGCAATGTACAGAAACAATTCAAATATATATATATTTTTTCCTTTCAGTAAATAAGTAGCCACCCAAACAGTTACCAAATCAATCCCTGCTTATTGTGAAAGAGAAATAAAATCTATTGTCCAATGAGGAGTTTTGAGGCAAAAAATAATGAGGGCTCTAAACAAAAAAGAAAAGAAAAAAAAAACAGCACGACCTTGGCCACAAGTTCCCATGTCTCAAATTTTTTCAGCACAACTGGACACAAAAACACAATATTTTGTAACTGATCTGCATTACAGATGGCGATGTTGAAATCTTCTCTTAACCGTCTGAGTTATGGAGATAGCATTCAGAGGTGCGATCACTGTCTATTTGGATTGTTGAACATTTATTAATTAGTGTTTTTTCCCATAAAATTTTCAGACCCAAAGAGACAGTCCGCTGTGAAGATAAACAAAAAAAAACATAGACAAAGCTCTTTCAAACAGGAACATTAACAAAGAAAAAAGAAAAATGACATGAAAGTAGATTGGCTGATAATGATTATATGCATGTGTAATCATGAGCCCAGCTGACAGATTTCAGTATGAGGCTGCACGAATAAAACACCTGTGTGTGTGTGTGTGTGTGTGTGTGTAGAGAGGCCGCGTTTATCTGGTCTATGTGTGTTTATGCACAAAGCACTGCTGTCACAGCCAGCTGTCAGTGGCCGTTCAGAATAGTCTGGGACGTGGACGCAGCAGTGGAAGGTGAGACTGAGGTGGAGCTGGCTGTGCTGGTGAAGAAGTTGTCGTCTTTTAGTTTGCGATGCTCTGGGACCTCCAGCTTCTGCTTTGATTCCTCAATGTCATTATTTATTGCCGCAATTAGAGCCTCTGTCAGGACAAAGGAGAAAAAGGGCAGAGAGAGCGTGACTAAGGTGAAAAGAGGAAAGTCAGTGCAGGGAAATGGGAGTCAGGTTAAAAATAAATTAAACATGAAGGAATGAAGAACAATAAAGAGAAACGTGTACCTAGTGAGTCGTAGGTCCTCTCTGGACGGATGTAGCCCACCATGACCACGCTGAGAATCTCCCCATAGAAGTCTTCTTTGAATTTGTGAATCACATGTGTTTCCTAGAACCACAAAACACGATCATTAGACCAGAGAACGACTGAGACAGATGTATTAAGTCAGTGCAAAACATTTCAAACTGCTGCACAAGGTGTACTCATGCTTTTGATACAAGTCTGAGAGTAAGACATATCCACAGCTGCTGTTTAGTCTGGGATAACTTTCTCATCCCACAACTGTGATTAGAGCAAAGCTACTGAGTGTAGTCTAAACGCTGTTTAGTTTAAATAAGTGAAGACAAAGAGGTTCAGTATCGTCCAAAAGCATTGCCAACAAACATCAGTTTGGATACTTCATCGTAAGCAGCTTTCAGACACACGCACATAAAAACAGCTTATTTAAAAATGTTGTTGGGAATGTCAGTAAACCAACATTTGTGATAAGATGTACACTTATTAACAGTAAAGGTTCCAGTGAACCCGAGACCACTGACTTTCATATTTCTTTTAAGTGAGCTGTTTGAACCGAAAACGAATGATCTTATACTTGCCATAGATTTCTTTGTGTTTTTGTAGTACGGGTTCCAGCCGATGCTCATCACCATTTTGTACACATCCCCGTTTCCGACACAGGCCCAGCCATAATAGATCCCTGTATTGATATCTGATGGAAGATTGTCCACCACAGAGTCCGGGAAGTTGGCTGTCCAACGAAAGCAAGAGTCGGAAAAAGCAAAGAGAAAGTTTAATAACAAGTACCATCCCACAAACATTGGTCTGCAATAAATAATACTAATTACTTCTAGACAGGACAGCAGAAAAACCTTACATTATGTAATGTAATACTATGGAATTCTGGCTACCATTTGACACATTTAAAATGGTCATTTTATATATTCTTTCAATTTCGATGTGTGCATTGCCGGTTTGCTAAATATAACACACACCTCCTGAACTTGGAATTTCAACAACATACAAACATTTTTTAAGAGAGTTTCTGAATCTTCCCATACAATTTTTTTTTTCTATACAGCTTGCAGGTCATAGCATCCACACTAAAAAAGACTGCAACGCAGAGAACAGATATTTTCAGACTTAATCATAATGAACATCAGGACAGTGTATCATTGTCATAGAGTAACCTTTCCATTTCTAATACCTCTGAAAGTGGGAGGTATCGTAAGAAGCTTAATAGTTTAAAATCCACAATCACATTATCCCTCATGTGAAACACACAAAGAAGCTCCCATGATGACCAAATAGGTGGACGGCAGCGCCTTTATTTCGTGCAATTTCCGTTACGCAACTCGCGGGTACAGCAGTCAAACATGTTCGTTACGTGAGGGGGTGTCGTAACGACTGCCCGCTGACGCTCAGGTATCAGCTTTTCAAGAACAGACGTGAGACATATAAAGCATCCGAAAAGAAGACACTTTCATGATAGAAATTGACATTACATTATGTTTGCTTGATAAAAAAACACACCGAACCATTTACACGGGCTTTACGTGATCTGCGTAGGCACCGCGTAATATACTAGCCAACAGTACAGCCAAAAGAGAAAGAGCCTGGTTATTTTCTTACCAGTTGGAATCCCCAGTTCCTTGCTTCCCCTTCCAAACCCTCGGATGACCTCTCCTCGACAGAAATACGGAAGGCTCTTCATTACTAGTCTCCCTTTAACAGCAGGCTGAGATGAAAGCGACAGAATGACCTCGAACACAAGGAAGTCGGACCCTTGTAACTCAAGCTGAACTACTTCTAATACAATGAACGCTACTAGGGGGAAAAGCCTCTCTCGTTTGTTGCTCAGTGTACTTGTATGAGGCGATAAGGTCAGCTTCACCTGTCCAGCTTGCTGGTTTGCTTAAGTTGGTTAAAGTTGAGCCTTCGCAGGGTATGGTAAAAGTTCACTAGCTATGCTAGCTAGCCGAGTCACAAGCACACCGTTCTTACAAAGGCTTCAAATCAAGTAGAGCTGGATAGTGAGACATTTGGAAAAACGACACGCCGTCTTTAAATGAGGTCCACTCGTGGTCGGATGGTAAAAATGAAGACTACAGAAAACCGGTGATGTTGAATGTCTTCAATCCGTCACGTCAGTTACGCTCATGCTGATGTCATTGACCGTGTGACCACCTGAACGTACCCAGAGTTCAGTGGTGCCTTCACGGTTGTTGGAAATATAGCCACTACGAATTTGGTTTTAAACGATCTCTTGCAAAACATCATGTAGGTTACTTATTGGAGTGAATATTTTGGTGCTGAAACCTTAGTCTTCATATCACACAAGAAAAAACTATTCCAAGTTCAGCAACGAATTGCAGGCTTTTTGTCAACTCTTGCACCTAGTTTTTCCGCTTAATCTTGCTTCTATCTTTTAGGTGATATTCAAAAACTCGATCCCAGAATAGGATTATTTAATGATTAGGTGAAAAATCAAATAGTTATAGCGTTCAAGACTCAATTGGATGGTGATTGATGATATGGTTAATGGCTTTGCTTTCCGACTGAAACACGGTGGCACGACTTCAAATGATGTAATAGATTCACGTAGTGAGATCTGCAGAAGGTTAGGCTGCAAATATTAAAATAAGCTTATTTGTTTTTGTGTTTAACAGCAGCAAAAATGTGATATTTTTGGTTGGATTGTGTGGTTGATGTGCCTAAGTGTTTTAACTAGTTCTGAGTTATTTTAAGAGGAACTGTAGTTATTACATATTTATTAAATCCTACTATTAAATCCTACTGTTGAAAACCGATTTAAGGTAGTAGCTGGTACTGAATTTATCCGCACTCAGTGACAGGAGAAAAAATAAGGAAAAGACTGTTTGGGAGGAAACCATATTTAATTTCATTAACAACTTTTTGTATTTTTCAAAGGAATACAGTAACACATACAAACATGTAGAGGTAAAAGTACATATGGCCCCACCAGTGAACACGCACACACCCCAAAGTAATATGTCATATCATACACCCATCCTCCTCCACATTTTGGCTGTGAATATCTCATATCTGAAGCTTTCATGCAACACGTTACTGCAGCTTCTGATAACTGCTTAAGTGCTCAATAACATACTAAAAAATCTCCCTTTACCTGCAATGATCATTGCTTCTGAATAACTATAATCAGGTTTGCCCTTATTTCATGCTACTTTTATTACAATCAGCCTCTACAATAGAATTTTCAAATACATTTTTTAATATTGCAAAATCATATTGTTCAGATCATATCTTTTACAAACCTCGATAATCTATGATTACAGTCTAGACAAAAATCCTTTAACAGTGTAGCAACAGTGTAACCCTATTTTCCAAAGAAGGCTAATATCTTTTGCAAGCAGATGAGATGCAGTCCATCGCCTGTTTACAGACATGACATTATTACAACTTTAGCTTGAAAAAATAGGCTTTTTTAATACTATTCATTGATTTTTACTGTATGAAGGCAATGAAGACAATGACTAGTTCCTGGAAGTACATCAAACAGACAAACTGAAGCAACAACAACAACTACAACAAAAAATGTACAAAAACATTGACAAACAAACAAACGAACAAAAACAAAAAAACTCCAACAAAACAAACAAAAAACAACCCAAAAAACAATATGAGCAACACAGTGATGTCTCAGCTCTGTAAAACTGTTTGGAGCATCTCCCCTCAGCACAGTGACAGTCTCCTCACACAGATACAGTCTTTCTGCACTGTACATTGAGCACCCTCAGATTTGAACCACAGCACCCCTTTGTGACCCATACACCATATGCAACATGCTGCAGTTTGGCTTTTATATTCGGACATGCTGTGGCAGAGAAAACAGCATAATGCAGAGAGCAAATAGGCAGTAGTAACACGTGGTGTCAAACAGCTGAGTTCCCCTTGTCGATTCTGGGTCAGAAAGGAGACAAAGAGATCACAGAATCATCACGGAGAGATCACAGACAATAAATATGAATTTATAAAAAAGTCAAACAGCATCAGGTCATAAAATAACTACAGTTATAAAACACATGACCGGTTTTAAATAAGTTCCAGTTTACATGGAGATGAAAAAAACAAGCGTTTCTGTGAGCTGTTCCAAGCATCCGTCGCTTTCTGCCACTTAAACAGAACAAAGTGCTGCAATGTGGGCTTGTGTCACACCAGGCATGTGGCTGAAAAACCACTTCGGGGGGAGGATTCAAATCCAAGTATTTGCAGATACAACCAAATATTTGCCCAATAAATGGAACTTTGAAAGACCAGCCTGAGGATATCAGTGAAAGTTTGGATAATATAGCTTGGGTTTCCATGTTGAAAATCTGCTCTAAATATGGACTGAAATTTAAAGAATTTTAAAAAATTAATATAAATGTCAGAACAATCAACAACATAGGATAGATATGAGATTACTTGCTTTTGCTTCTGTTCAAATGAGAGATTTTTAGCTATCTTTGGGTCGGCCTCACCCACATAAAGATAAGCTGTTGAAGTAGAAGTAGAGGTAAAACAGGTAGTAGTCAAGTCTGTGCAGGTGTGAGGGTAATTCACTGCTACATGGCATGACCTACGTGGAGCTCATAAACACGTTACAGCAGCATGAACAAACGGTGAATGTCAAAATAGCCAAGAACTGAATCAAAGATACCCAGATTGCAATAGGAATATAGTTAAAGATGATGTCAGTTTTTCTCGTTTGCATAGAGAAAATAATAATTAAAAAAGGCTCAAGTGAAAAACCCCACAGTTAACCGAGGTCACGCTTTTGTTCTACTTTCTGATAGTCTTTCAGTGCTGTCTTCAACTCCTTTGGAGGATCTTTGTCCATGCTTTAATTTTCCTGAGATTCACGTTAGTTAGTCTGTCTTACTTTGCACAGCTGTCACGTATGTTCACAGACTTTTTGTGTCGTTCAGATTGGGGGACAGTAGAATATTCTAACATTATGGAGAAAAGCATCATTATTGAATTGTAGGTCTATCGTAGCTGTTGCAACACAGACAAAATTGATCTTTGTGTTATTTATTTGCAAAGGATGTGCTTTAAAAAGTACTGTGAGTGATGATCGTTAAAAAAAGATATTGATGGTCAAAATATTGTGATTATGAATAGGTTAAAGCCCCTGAAAAGTTAATCAAAAGTTATTATGTCCCTGATAAAAATGCTTACTAACTAAAAAAAAAAAAGGCACAGCTTTCCACTTACTTAGCTGACGTGTCCTGCAATTCTGTATCCAGTCTGCTTCAGCATTGGGTTAAAAGGCAGAAGGCAATCATTAGTGGGGTGGGTGGGGATTAACAGGTGGAGGAAACTATGTCAGTATTCATGCAACTATATGAGAATTAGTGGTGTGTATTTAAGGCGCATTACAAGTTAGGGAAAACAAGCTTCAGTGCACTTCTGTATAAAATGCATCGATAATCTGTCTAAAAATACTGAAAAGCAAATTCCTCATTTTTTGCCAGACAACAAAGTTCCATACAACATTAAAATTGAAGAAATATGAATAACACAACTATAAGATAGATGTTATTACTTTGTAATAATCATACTACTTACAAGAGAGGATTCGTTTGACATTTTCTGAGTATTGTTTATAAAAGTGTATATACAACAAAATGATAGATGCAATATGAAAACAATTTTACTAACATCTAAGGCCTCTGAATAAGTACATTTATGAGTCTGAGCTACACCACACAATACTGTAGCCTGATCGATGGTCTTTCACTGTTTAGCGTGTGGTCCTCAAATTGTTGCTTGGAACGTCCTCAAAACCTCAGGCCAGTTTTGCTTTGAGATTACTATGAAATGTTTGGGTAGTGGTAAGATTGTGCTGTTTGTTAGTCAAAGGTCAGACGTCAAATGAACCATTTCACATGGAAAATCAAATAATAGACCAGAAAAAAAACACAGAAATCAATATGATTTATTTTTGTGTTGGATTAAAAAGGTTAGTCAAAGGTTAGTGCAAGTATGAGAGAACTCTTAGTGGCATTCAAGGAGTTTCAGAATCAGAATCAACTGACATTTTCAAGCAGGTTTGCAGGTTTACCTTAAGCATGCAAATTTGTGTGTATTCCACTCCACGTCATACCTTAGGGCAGAGTGAGAGATGTGTGAATGTGCCTAAAGTGTGCACTTGCCAATAGAAGTTCTGTTTTGTCCTTTTCTTAGAAAAACCTGCTTTTCTGGAGCATTTATGATTGACTTCTGCCCTTAAAACCTAACTATAACAGACAAAACAGAACTAAAAAAACGTTTTGTTTTTGTTTTTACACAACTCTGCTTTAAGGGAGGGACATAAAGACTTCACAATCAAAGCTTTACCTGACTTGAAACTCATTTCCAAGTAAGGCTTGTCAAATATAAGGATTGCAAGAGGAAGGTGATGAATTATCTGTTTTTAACCAAGTAAGTAGAATAATGTTAACACTTGTAAACATGGCTGCCAGCAAAAGGTAAGTGAAGTTTCACACATTTCACACAAACTCACTTGACAATGGTGGGTGGAATGTGGACATACTCCATTGGAATTATTTTCCCAAGTTCTTGCAAGGTGTGCACATACTTGATTTTGCTGCTGAACTTTGAACTGTAGGAAATAAAATGATTAGGATTTATGAGGGTGACAAGCATTTCATTGATAAAGTATGGTACCGTAGTTACATAAACATTAACTGTGTATCTGATAAGGTCATGACTGTTATTTGCATAAATTGTAATGCATTAAAAGAAAATTTATAATTTATGTCATTAAATTACGACATTGAGACCTTATGAAGGGCCGGGTGATTCCTAACAAAGTTCGAATGAACCAGGAAGGATGAACAATGATGAACATCTTTAGGTTTTTCTTCAGTCTGTGAGAAAAGAGGAGAAACAGAAGTGAATTAAATTACTTGGAGAAATTCATAATTCCCTGCAACTCAACAAATTATACGTGCAGGGGGGTCAAATGCTCATTACTCATGAAACAGACTAATACAGAAATAGAGATGTACTGTGAGATAGCTCCAGTAAATTTTACCTCCGGTCAATCATTTGGTAGCACCTTTTCATCCAGGTGAAACCAGGCATTCTCCTACGAGGCGTGGCACCATTCAGGTACACAACCATGTAATCGTCTGCCACCATTAGCTCCAAGGTGCTGATTACATAGCTACAACCACAGAAACAACAACAACAGGTGTGTTAAAGCCACATATTTTTAGGAACAAAATATCCAACCAGTTTTCAAGTTAATTCAACTTCACAGTTCATCGCTGTCGACATTTTAACAAATTTGTGCTTTTTCGGAGTGAATTGTGAGCCTCATTTTTAACCAGGTTTCACTCAGTCTCAATTTCGGTCCACTGAACATCTTTATTGTAAAATGGGTTCTCACTTTTCATGCAGTGTAATAATATATTTTATCTTTTATTCGGATGTGATGATTGGTAAAACTTTTCGATTTATGCCGTGCTTTACTTACAGAAAAAGATTTTCCATTACATAATTATAATTGTCACAGTCGCTGTCTGGTAGGAAACATGCAGCAAAGACGATGATGGCATTCTGCTCAGCGTAATAACCTGAAAAAAATACGACATAAACAAAAAAAAGGCACTACAAGTAGGTTTTGATGCTGGAATATTTAAACAAAAATAACTTCTTAAAAGAAATATCTCCTTAATTGTCAACATCATTATTTTGATCTCATTCATCCCATACATAAAAAGTCCAGCAGAAATTCAACTAAAAAATGAAAAGTTGCTCACATTATAGTTATACAGGCTAAATCAAGACAAATAAATAAATTAAATTAAATTAAATCAGACGACCCAGATTAGTAATTGCCAGCTCTACAGCTTTCCTTGCTATGTGTGAGGTAAATTTAAAAAAACCAGAATCACCAAAACAGGTGGGATGAACATTTAAGTATTTGCGTTACCTCCGTGAGAAATGACTTTTTTGTAGGGCTCAATGCACTTCATGTCAATGCGATGCTCCTGCTCTCCAATCACCACGCTCCTCCAGAGCCCGCCGTCCCTGCTCTCCTCTGATACTTGGCGGCCTGCGGAGGCGCCACCGGAGGCCGCTCCCGCGCCCACATCAGACTCCTCCGAGTCCACTGTTATCATATCAGTGACAGGGCTTCAGGACATGACACGGCAAACAAATAAGATGTGATCTAGCAGAGTATTTCCACGGTTGCGTCTTACCATGTGTATTGAAATCCAGAGAGTCGGCTTCATCAGGTGTGTCCATGTCATCAATATTCACATCCAGGTCGTCCCCAGTATCTAAGGCATCGTCCTCTGTGTCCAGAGCATCCTCTGAGAGAAGAGAGCCCTCGCTGTGGTCCAGTGACACGTTCATTGGTGGAGCTGTGAGCTTCCTCCTCTGATTAGACCCGCCGGATGTATCTGCTGAGGATGGTGGGTCTGCTCAAGAAGAGTGAGTTTCATTGTTCAGAGATTCCTCAAGTGTATTTTTGTGTTATTTTTCAAAGCAATGTGACAAGCAGGAGTCATAACTCAAAGGAGTACTCTCATTTCATATTCATTTCAGCATTACCCTTATTTTTGTTTTGCTGTTTAGCCATTTGAAATTTTCAGCTAATTTCTTATTTTTCTTTTGTTACAAAGGAGTGTTATCATGGCATGTCATTTCGATATTTTAAACAACCAATGAAAGCTTTGACACCCATTAAAACACAGAACTAAAACTTCAAACCATAATTCAATTGTAAGAACAATTCAAACCTTCTCTGTTTTCCAGCTCCTCAGCCGTTTCTTCACTGGAGGCCGTCTTCAGCATCATCCCTGCTGAACCAACTCCCTGCTGGGAGTGTCTGCTCAGAGGCACAGAAATACAATAATGAACCAAAACATAAATTATCGTTGCTAAAACCAGTGCCACCAGAGGCACGACCACACATAGGATTGGGCCAAACAAGCTAAAGGCAATCATCTATCTACAAAGTAAAAATACCGAACTGCTCCCATGACAGTGAATCAGGAAGCGTTCACAATCTGTTCATTTGACTCTGGACGTAAAAGAACTGACAGAAGATGGAGAGAAACCGACTCAATGCCTTATTCCCAGGCTGCACGTGTGGGCAGAGGACACAATACTGTGCAGTGTTGCTGCCTCCCCCCCAACTAAAGCCCCTCTAACAGTCTCTGATTAGCATAAGGCCGAGTAACAATAGAGAAAAGCATTACGGAGACACTAGTACACATGATTACAGATACAAAGACACGCACAAGTTCTTTCTGTCATTCCTGACTAAAATCTGTTTCTGGGCACCTACCTTTCTCTCATCTTGTATTCTTCTGTCATGAGAGGCATACCCTGTCTCTTCACAATAGGTCACATGGCTAGTTAATTATGGAAAGGTCTATTGTACATGTGTATACACAGACAGAGTAACAAAAAGGGGAGGGTCATGTATTCCAAAGAGGGGGCAGGTCATTGTGTCATCATAATTGCAAAGTGGGGCAAAAGGAGCCCCATGTTGCCACTGCTAATGGGAATAATTCAAATGCAGCTTACAATTTACAATTGCACATACATACAAAACACATGAACACAAGTCAATAATGACTTGAGAAAATGACTTTGAATTTGAACTAGTTATTCATAGAAATGAATTGATCAGGTCTGAAATATTATAAAATGATCTTAATATTTTCTTTGACTTTTTTTTCTTTATCTCATCCATTAGAAGCTATCTTGGGAATGGATTTTTAAATATAGACAGGACAGATGTTTGAAGAACAGAAAGCATGCTTAGGGCACATCGGTCGATTTTTGGGAAGACAAAATAAAACAAGCGGATCTGACCTGAAAGACAATGTTTTAATTGATCTGTGCTGTCACACTGTGGTTAGAATCGGTATTACAGGTCTGAAACACCTGAAAATGCAGTTTCTTTCGTTTACCAGTGGAGATCTTGAAAGAATACCTTTACGGATGGCAACACAGATTAGCAGCCAATAAAGAGGGTTGATTTTTTTTTGCAGATAGCAGAAACGATTATCGTTAGATCTCAGTGAGAGGTGTGCTTATCAGAGACCAACTTACTTTTTGTGTAGCAAAACTGAGTTTGAATGAGTGAAAACTCACCGTGACAGGAGAAAGTGAACATATCCTTCTGGCACATATCGTGCTTTGTCTTCTGGCTCAGGATGGTTATCTGATTGGTAAAACTGCTGTCCGTCACACTGATAATGAGCATGCTCTGGGTCATAATGACTTTGGCCATCACCTTGCTGCTCGGAGTACTGGAGTTCTGATGAGCGCATAGAATCACTTAGACACTGGCTTTCGGCCATGTATTGATGCTTAAATGATGCCTCGTCCAAGTTGTATTGAACATTATCACTAGCTGCAAGACAGTTGTCAGGCTGCCTGGGACTATACGCAATAGGAGAAGCATCAGTGGTAAACTCAGCATAGACATCTATGGTATTCTGCTGACAGTCATTTGATTTGGTGTCTGCGCACGCTGAGTAAGAGCCCTGATTTTCAGTTCTTTGGTCAATGTGGTGGTAGTTGTAACCGTATTTGGCTTGACCCTGAGTTGTGTTCTGGCTTTCTGTCCACTGGTATGCAGCATTTCCACTGACTGGCTGTGATACATTTTGTGTTGTCCCATCTTGGTGTCTTCTATAAAGGGAATAAGATAACAAGGATTAGTAAAAGTTGGCTTTCTTGCCTATATGTAAGGACACACATGCATGTGCATGGGATCTCAAGAAATGTAATAGATATTTTATATCTGCCATTACTTCACGAATCCACATGGAGCAGTGTTTTGCTAGAAACACAGCAATGCCCCAACTAAAATAATGACAAAATACAAGGAAGGCACAAGGCTTTTCTCACAAATCTATTGAGGGCATCCTCCCTCCTTTCTTCATTTGCCCGTGACCCCAAAATTGATAGAACATCAGTATGATTGCTTTTCAGTAAATGAAAGGAGCTGTTAATTTTGTAGCACAAACTGCCTGGTTTCATGAGCAATACGGAAGATACCCATAAAGTGTGTTTAGATGAAGAGGTTTAAATTCAAATAAATGCATGGAAGAACATTTCTAGCCTACAGCTTCACATCAACAACATTCACTCACAAACAATTTACACATTCTTTATTAACGTAAATCTTTGAATTAACACGGAAAATTCTCTGTTGCATTTGATGTTACGTACAAAAACATTACTCACACTTGCATTCACACACATACACGCAGATCACCTTGTAAGAAAGCTAGGGGAGCCATTGCCATCAGCTGTGGAGGGGCTCCAGCTCTAATGAGGCAGGTAATGCATATTTAATGAGGCAAGAACAGATTTATAAACACACACCGAGCAGCTCAAACCTTGCTTCTGAACACATGAAATGCAGACCAGTGCACACGCACTGTTTGTTCTCCACACACAAGTTAACATAATCTCACTATCAAACCACAAATGCATTCTTCATTCATTCTTTCTTCGTGTCTGTCAGTCTCACTGTGTCACTCATACACACAAACAAAGATCACCAGACTCACATCCTCAGGAGGTCCCCCAGCTAACTTTTGACAGTCTGCTAAGACATGCAAATATTACCCTGATGGGTCTCTGATGGAAAAAAAGGAGACTAAAAAAGTCCCACCGGAGAATTAAGAGATAAGAGATAGAGAGGTGGGGCCCGGAGAGTCTGTAAAAGGCTTTGTGTGTTTAGCAAGAGAAAATGAGAGGACCATTTTGTTTGGCTGTTAGCAGTCTGATAATAGAAAAACCCTACCATGAACAGAGGCAAAAGTGCAGGAAATCTTGTTTGCATGTCTTCCCAGGCAGTATGTGCACAAACAAAAATGATTCCAAACAAGATGGGCACATATAAATCAATAAAAAAGACTTGTGGTGTCTTTCTTACCTTAAAGCAGGTGAATAAATATCATGTGAAGTCTCATGATCTCTTCTCTGATGCTCAATAGACCATTGTTCACAATTATCTGTCATAATTGGTTGTTGGTCACAGTGGACCTCACTGTTCAGCAGAATCCCATCCCACTTTGGTTCAAGTGTCAGTAAATCTGTGTGCTGAAAGGAGGAATCTCCGATCAAGTTCTCAGTAAAACTCAGCAAGTCAGGGCCTCCAAATGCTTGTCCTTCCCCTCTGTCGCTTTGTACTTCCGGAGTCCATTTTGAGGGGCTAGTACCTTCTATGTAAACTTCCTTTTCATGTTCTTCTTCATCATGTTCTTCCTCCATTAAGTCCCCAGAAAATGGCAAGCCAAGTCCTTTTTTGGTACAAAAGCTCATTTCATCCACTGGGGTGGCAACCAGAGAGCTGGTGTGAGAGAACGAACTGTTTGAGAGTGCAGGTGATTGTGGTTGAGACGTTTGAGAGGTGTCTTGGGTTACAAACTGCCCTCCCCAGACTTGGAAGTCACCCAAGGAGGTAGCGCTCGGTGGAGGTGCTGATGGTGCCTGCTCACCCTCATCTGAATCTTCCATTGAGATCTGGGAATGAACATAAACCTCCTCCCTTGTCTTCAGGAAGTGATCGGATGGATGTCTTAAAGACGGTGACACACTTCGAACCACAGGGCTTGACTCAACTTCATCGTTTCCATCTTCTGCTGGTCTTGAATGTGACTGAAAGGAAGCTGCCGAGTCTGATTGATTAAGACTTATTATTTCTGGCACCATGTTGTCATCATCAAGGTTAGTTTGGTAACGAGGGGCAGACACAACATCATTCAGCTTCGGGTCTGCACCAGATGTATTGTCAGATCCTCTACCTGTTTTTTGACTGCTTTGCAGTGTATTTGCCTGGGCAACTTGGCGTGCATGTTGGGCATGAGTCTTTAGAACTGTGGCAGCACTGGACAGCATGCAAAATGTCTCCATCGGCTTTCTTGTCCCTTTCAACGGCCTGTCACTTTCTTCAAACCTATCAGGACACTCTTTATTAGCTTCTTTTACTGTGCCAGGGACATCAATGTATTCCATTTCTAAGCCTGAGAATGAATCTCCTTCTGAACTGGACCCAAGTTTATCATTACTGTTTGTATGAAAACTGTCAGGGCTGTGTAGAACATCTCCCCTCCCCCCTGGACTGACAAGCAGAGACAATGCCTCAGTTATTTTGCCCTGTACATCTACATTGCTCTCTTTGTCGCCCTCCTCTTGGCATTCAAGAGTAGGACCATCTTCACTGTGGGCCGTTTTGTTGGAAAGAAGTGATGATGAAGCTGACTCTAAGCCTTCAGGTTTCTTGGATGGAGTATTCCAGGCCTCACAACTCGGGGATAATGGCTGGGCTGTCTGGATTTGGGTTTCATGAGTTTCCTCTGGACTTATCAAAACCTGCTGAGTGACAGTAGTACTGTCAACCAGAAAAAATGGGGAATTATTCGTGGGTATATCCATCCAGTCTTTCTCCTCCGATTCATCTCCACTCGTGTTTTCATAACTTCTTTCAAATTGGCCTTGCATGCTTTTAGTCGCATGACTTGGCTTTTCATCAAAATTAAACACCTGGCTCAAAGTTTGGTCTTTATTTGAGGTAACTGTTGTGTGTTCTGTCTTTCTCAGAAAGTCAGGAGTCTGGTCATGACTTTGCCCCTCCTCTGTTTGTAAAGGTTTGCTAACAGCCATAAAAGGGCTTGACTGCCCATCGAGTTGGATCAGATCTACTACAGGGCTGGCATAATTGTCAGGGGAGGAAGACAGGCTCCATGATGCAGCTCCTACATTGTCATATTCAGACGTGGACATGACCATGCCAGGGACAGGCAGGTCACACAGATCAGGGTTTTGCTGAGGAGAGGTCTCATCCTCTGATTGTTGAGATGTCGTATCATAGCCTGCACACTGAATCTGAGTACTTGGCGTGTCTTTGCTGGCTGTTTCCTCAGCCTGTGCTCCATCTTCTGCAACCTCTATGACTATTTTCACATTATGTTCATTACCTCTCCACTCAACTTCTTTATTAATTTCACTTTCACCTGTGTATTTTCTCTCTTCTGCCTGTTTGCTTGTCAGTGCTTCCACAGAATTCATAGGATCCAATGATCCCATGTGGCTGCGGTCTTTTCCATTTTCAGGTCCTTCTGGGGTTGTTGTTGTCGATGAGCTGTCCTCCTGTATGGTTGTGTTCCACATCTCCATTCCACCATCTGAGTATACAATTGGACTTTCAACAGATGGATCTTTTTTAAAATGTGTGTTCAGCCCACAGAAGGAACCTGAGTTTTCAGATAAGTTGTCTGGGGTGGTAAGAGGTGACAGACTGTCATCAAATATAGTCATATTCCACATATCCAGAGATTCAGGGTAAGAGGTGGTTGTTCCACTATCAGATTTTAGAAATCCCTTCTGAGCAGAGTATGTCCAGAAGTCTAAGAGCTCCATCTGTTGGTCTCTTTTTTTACTTGGAATACTATCGTCTTCTTCTTTAGACGTATCTGGTGTTAAAGTATTCAAAATAGTTTTCTTTGTTGAGATAGGGGTAATTCTCTCTTTTCCTGCAGTTTTCCACTTTCCAGTAGCTTCATCCTCTGGTGGTGTCAGCTGAAGATCAGCCAAAGTCACAACATTCCACTGATCCGTACGTACTGAATGTGGGTTCCAGTTGTCACCAGATTCAGTCTGCTCGGTGATCAAACTAAGCTGAGGTTCAAGACTCTTAACCCTCTGATGGGCAGTCTCTAGTTTTAACACCTCTTCTCTACTTTCATTTTCCGTCGCATCACTGACTGAGTATCCATCTTTTACCTCATCCACAATATTCTGGGGGCTCTCTGAGTCTTTCAATCTATTCCAGCCACTGTTATCACTTGATGACAACACTCCTTGTGTGTCAAAACTAAGTTCATCCCAGGTCTCTGACAGGGAGGAAGATACGCTGTCCTTATGTTGTAGGCCACTGATCCTTTCAACTACATCCTCTGGGAAGAATCTGACCCCGCAACTGCTGGGTGGACGGCTACCGACAAGGCTGTTGACCGGGGTTGGAGGAACCATAGTGTCCATCATCTCATTCCCATGCATCTGGCATTGGTGATCCACTGAAGAGTTTCTGCTCTCAAGCCCTCCAAATGAGTTGGGAGCAGAAAAATCTAGCAGGCTAAGCTCATCAAGCTCTGATAAGCTGGAGCTTCCTGCTCTCCTTGAACCTTCATCTCCTCCTCCTCCAGAACTGACCAGCTCTCTTCCCGCTGGCAAAGGGTGGTCGACGCTCTGAGGCGAGTCGAAACTGAAGAGGTCTAAGTTGTCACTTCTGTTTCTTCGAGAACGGTGCTTCCTTCTCTCAGGTGGGACAGGTGGGGAAAGGGATGACAACCCGAGGGAAGACGGGTTTCTAACGAAGAGTCCTCCTGACGCTGCTGTGGGACCTCCAGCTGCAACAGCTTCACCGACTGGACTGTCATCACTAAGGAACACCGAGCCCTCTTTGGAGGACCGACTGCTACGGATGGTGGTCATGCCACTATCAGGACTTAAAAGCTCCCCACCAGCATTGATTCCCACAGCTCCTGTGTCCTCTTCTCCATCTGCCATCACCCTATTTACAAAGAAAAAATACTATCATTAAATACGACAACATGTATCATAAATAATAAATCATTTGCTCTGTGAAGTGACTTACACTGACACTTGCTAAGCCAGTTTATACCTTGCCTCTGAGACCATATCTCCATTTCCTCCTTCAGCCCTTTCTGTGTCAGAACCGTCCATGTCATTGATCCCAGATGATCCCTGGGAGAACTCCACACTGCCTGCTACGCCTTCTGTGGAAGAGGTCCTACTGCTTGGGTGGCAGGCTAATACGGAGCTCCGCCTGTCGACAAAGTCTTTTAGGAGGCCCCGGATCTCTTCCTCAAGCAGAGGAGGAGTACCAGAAGATGAAAAGGTGTTTATAGGAATATGGTAGACTTGAAGAATCTCCCTTTCCTCCAGTCCACCTGAGAGAGACCAGCTGGAGGACTCTTCCAACTCAGTGCAGATCTGTAATTAGAGACTCTAATTTCAGCATCTGGCCTGTTATGATTTATTTTAACTCCCTGAAATTGTTAATTGTCTGACATGAAAACATACATATTATTTACTGACAAGAATGATGTGCATTACAATTAAACAAAAATGTATTTAATGAGGAGGGCCATGAGGATGAGCAGTCTGTACCAAAGGAATGCTTGTATTTAATTTGTTACGCTGACAACTGGTGACCTGTAAGGCGTTGTTACCTGGTTTAACATGTCTGTGTTGTTTGAGTAGACAGCCATCTGCTGGCGGGGATGATGAACTGTGTCACTTATCGTCAAGAGAATGACAAGTCCATCGTAGCCATGGCAAAGGCTGAACGATTTCAGCCCATCCATATAACTACGCAAGTCCTGAATTTGAATGAAGAATGACAAACATTAACTTTCATCACAAAAGGCTGATAATTATCAGTTACTGTTTTCTGGCATTTTGGTGACAGCCTTTCCTAACTTTTTGAGACCTTGTGCATTTCATTGCACATATGATTTAATCTAATTCAAAGTGGTTTGAAAAGAGTCTCCGTCTGTAGCAATGAGAGACGAAGCTGTCATTGCTCACAGAGGGGTAGAGAGACATTTTGTGATTTATTGTTTGGAAATTAACTGTTTGCTCTTAAAACAGCCACCATGCACAGATTATGGTAATTTAGTGACACACACAATGATTGATGGATGGAAAGTTGCATTAATTAATTGTTTTGTTTGTCAAGGGAACTTGTTTTTTTCGTTCTTTCTGAAATGATTAACAACAACGTTATTGCCACCATAATTTGCCATGCAGGGTTATGCATAAAGTCTGCAAAGTGATATTTCTGAAAACATATTTGCTTGATTAATTTGGATTTGTTGTACAACTGTTTGCCTTGTGAACTTCTCAAAATTGTTGTTGAGCATAATTAAATGGAACTTTTGTTCCAGTAATGGCAAAAGTTTTTGTGTTAGGCGTGGATGAGATCATATCTGTTACCGTGTCACCTGATGTATTCAAATAGTACAAAGATGTCCGGAAACGAGAGATTTTCAGTGTGTGTGGTCCTCCTCACTGACTGCGTGAGAGTGGGTGCACAAGTGTTTTTGAATGGGTCCACTGAAAATGATTGATGAGTGCTCCAGCCGTATCTGCCCAGGCTGTGTCAATATTAACCTGCGAGGATGAGGGGGCTACAATACTCCTCCCCCTGTGCCACCCTGCAGCCCTCCATCCTTCTCTCTCGCCACAATATGGCTGCTGTCAGATTTTGGCCCATCAATCCTTGAACATACACACACAACTGTCACTTCACTGACACTGCCATTTCTCAACACCGATATCCCGATGAGTGCAATGAAGCCTCCCAAGATTTAATAAAAACACACATATTCATTCACATGAGTAAAAATGCACAAGTAAAGACACATGTAGCTACAACGCATGCAGCCACACACATAAATCCACCTACAGTTACCAACAACTACAACCCTCGTTTATGAGCAAACATGTAGCAGTATAGACACCAAACATAAAAGATGTGGTAAAAGTATTCACCATTTACAGTATATTAAAAACAAGAATGTTGAGATTATTCTGGTACTTTAAAGCTAAAACCCTATTGTGTGTATACGCACACAAAACTACACACCAGAAACACACACAAACACATGTGCAAGCAGGGCGATAGTGTCAGAAAATGAGCAGAGTGAGAATCTCTGCGATAACACGCAGGGCGACAGTCTGTCTGCCATTTGGCTCTTAACTGAGTAAATTACTACTCATATTGTTTCCCCTCCTCTTCTCCCTCTGCCACCCCCAGACACACAGATTGTCTTTTATTATAAATTATCAACATGTTAGATTTAAAATCCACTTGCTAACTGTTTAGAAGAATGTTAAGATTCTTGCAGAGAAACCTGTATCTCGTTTGCTGAGCTTTGCTGATGTGTCACAAACAAAATGTTCATCTAAAGCTGAAACTTTATTTCAGTTTTTTGCGCTGAGCAGGTTGTCTGAGAGCTGGCAGTCACTTGAAACTGTCCCTTAACCCAAATTGATAACTGATCTTATTATTCATTATACAGATAAGTGCCATAAAATCACAAAGTGAGCATTTATGTAAATTCATAACAGTCATAAAATCTCTGAAATTTCATGTTAAATAAACAACATCAAAAAGTGATATTGTACTCATCTGCAGTGATGCTGCTGTTGGCTCTGTGTTTACATGGAGTTACGTAAATAGTTGTGACAACAAAATTTAATTAAGTTTTCGGATTGGACTAAACTGAGATATTGCAGCACACAGACCTAAAAAAACAAACAATATACAAAAACAAAATAGCATAAGGAGTTTGCTAACTCATTCCAATATGCTCAATCACTTCTGGTGTAGGTCGTGCTCAGGTTTCCTCCAAGTTTCCAAAACCATTTGGTGTTCATTTTAACAACTGATTAAAAAAAAGAAAAAGAAAGATTAAGTCAACAATATTTATGCTCGAACGTCTGAAATAAAAAGTGATGCGCACATAGTCATAGAAGAATAGCATTGATTCCTATTGGTTCACTAAGTTTTCACTTAGGAGCTTGGTAACCGACCCTAGAGTAACGGCTTTTATTAAAATGTTAAGTGTTGTCAGAGTCAAAAAATTCTGACAAATATTTTAAAGTTTGTTAAGCGTATGAGAGGGCAACTTTCCTGCTGTGGCTACCTTTTCAAACAAAATAGTCACAAGCCAACTGACCTCATCTTCAGGTTCAATTTAACGCACATAGGGAATATACAGCATGTCCATAATGTGTATTTTTGTTTTCTCATCAACTTCTCTTTCTCTTACTTTACCGCGCATCTTGAAGTTCTTTTTCCCTCCCTCACCTGCCTCAGTGTTTTTCTGTCACACTTTGCCTATTCATATCTTGCTCTCACAGTTTGCAGCTTCATCTTTCTCCCACACTGGGCCTCAATGCGCTCACACGCATGCACAAACGCACTCCTTCCCTCTCTCATTGGTTGTCTCGGCTCCACAGGTAGCAAGTCTTTAGCGGCTGCTTGCAGATCTCCCAACCTGCCGTCATTATGCACAATAGCCTTAGGTACAAAACTCAGGCCTCATAACTCACGCCCCGCGTGCGTAAATTCCCGTGCAAACACAGTCAAAGCAAAAACACATTTCCTGCTGTCGCCAACATCTCCGGCAAAGAATTAATCAAGCGTTCATCCATTTAGGCTCTTTGCATACCCTTTCTGTCAGAACACAAAACGCTAAGAGAGTTGCGAGTTCTTCTCAGGCGATCGTTTCGCCACCCTGATGAATCCATCAAGCAAGCTTTGATTTATACATCTGTCTGTGATCACAGCGGTACAGCTACAGTAAATGGGGTGGCAAGGAGCGAGCTGACACCACCCTGCTCAAACACACACACGCATGCAAATGTGCAAACACATGTGCAGCATATACCATTTGCCACATACACACGCTCTGCTGAACTCACACACACACACACACACACACAAGCACACACACACACGCATTTGCTCACATACCAACAGTCATCAGCTCCTATTCACACTCCTACTTACAGAAGAGTATTACTGTTTATGAAGTTTTTGGAGAGAAAGAGGGAAAAGGGGAGGGTGGTATAAAAGTTTGGCAAACCCAAGTGTCTATCTGTCTGACTCTTATGGGCCCTCTCCACATGCTTTTTTCACTCAGCTCTAAGTGAAGGGATTTTGGGGCCAAGTTGCAAGCGCTGAGTCTATAAATGTTTTGCTTTGTTATTTGTTTGCCCTCAAAGCCAAAGGAAGCCACAGGGGGAGAAGGAAAATGGGGAAGAGAGAGTAGTAAAAGATTCTGTTTTTCTGCAGAAAGGGAGGAAACATCAGTGCAAGATACTAAGGATGAAGTGGAACAACTGCTGCGTGAAGCAGTTTTCCAAACTTGTTTAAATAAATGTCATGTTTTTATACAATGTCTGTTGCAACCAAACAGATTTACATCTTAGAATGAATCTTGGTATCATGTTAATGTGTTTTTAGTGCAAGTTTATTACCATATGAAAAGCCTCAAACCATTAAAACAAGTAAGGAAGTAGCTGTAATAAATCTGAGGCTATAGTAGCATGTTTGGGAGTATAGAATAGGGATGAATCATCCAACAGTTTGACATGGCTACAGCAGTGCGGACTTCTTGGACCACAGTGAAAAATTCCTTTACCACAGAAAAAAACAAAACAAAGAGATTACTCAATGCAAAAACTAGAGAGATGGAGCAAAGAGACACCCTAGCTTCCTGGTCTTCAATCTTAGTCCCTGGGAGGCCCACCATGCACCTGCTATCTCCTAGTGCTTCTCATCAGAAAGGCATTTACCGAGTGCTGTGGCTCCGGGCCACTTCATTAGCAAGCATAATTATTTGTGCAAGTGGCGTAGGGTAAAACTGGCCCTGCATAAACAAACAGAAGGGCCGGAGGACTGTGAACAAACAAACGCATTAGAGACAATCAATGTGGCCAAAATGAAATTTAAAGCAAGAACCATACGCAGGGACGGACATATCCGCACCCTGATGAGGAATAAAACAAATTGAATAAGCCGGTGACAACAAAAACAAGTAAACAACACTAAAGATGTTAGCTCATAGGCAATCAACTACTGTAAAGGCAGGATTGCAGGAGCCGGTATCTGTTGAATTAGTCAGAAACAGTGAGAAATCCAACAGAGGCCAGCACTGATTCTGTTTGTAACTGTCATGGACAGATTGCCCGGTCCCATTTGGAGAGAACGGTGTCCGGTCTAAAGACCTACGAATTGTACATGATGTGCATCTGCTGGCTTCATCAGACTGTGGCATCAGGAAACACTGAAGTGGATTTCAGGGGAGTGTACAGTATCAAGTGTCTTAATCAGAGACAATGACTCTCTCCCCTTCTCACATTCTCAAGAAAAAAAAAAAGAAAGAAGCTCAATTCAGTCCCAATCTTGAAACTTTTGTCAGGCTCAAAGTGATAAGGAAAATAAAGGTTTTGCATCATAACGATAAGACAAAACAAGACAAAGGGCAAAGGTAAATGTTTCTTTTTTCCAACCTTCGTTTTCAGATAGATGCAGCAAATGCACCAACAGAGGCAACACTCACACAGGACAAAAGATGATAGATTGTGTTTACCATTATGAAAAACAAACATAATTAAAATCATCATGGTTTCTTATCAGAATTGTGGATAAGTATGTGTTTATGTGGGTGGTCAAACTGAAATTATGACTTTTTCTATGAAAAGAAGAGAAGCGGAAAGGCACAAAAAACTTGAAAAGTAGAAAAAGAATTCTGAGAATACACTGGCACTTAGATGTCCATATTAATACATGCAAAAAACACATTATTCACATATTCATGGATGTGTGTGTGTGTGTGGCTGTGGGCTCCTGTCCCTCTCACAGTTCATCAACTCCACAGCAGGACAACTCTTCATCCAGCAGCAGCTTCATCTGCTGGCGCTAATTTTTGAGCTACGAAAAACTCAAAACACATACTCACTGGCATGAATGCGTGAATAATGTGCTTTTGCTATGCTTCCTGTCTAGTCATTTAAATGCCATGAGAAGAAGTTCAACAAAATCTGATTTTGAAAAAATCACAGCTCAAAAACTGTGTTTCTTGAATCAAGGCACTTAATATCTACGTCCTCATAGATGATAACAGACTGCTTTCACAAAGAGTCTGTAGGGTTGCCAGGCTGAACCCACTCTTCACTAAAAAAGGACACTAAGTTTACAAAAAGATGGCTAGATGACTTGCATGATATATGCTTTTTTTCTGCTGAACTTCTCCATGGTTCGACAACTACTGGGGGATGTGTGTATTCCATCTCATATGGTCTCCATCATAGGAGTTGACATACATCCTAGGTTGTGGAACGTAGTTTAACAAGTTTTGAAATCTCCACGTAAAAGAGGTTGGGAGCAAAAATGGGACTACCCATGACACAAAAGAATGGCACCTGTTCCAGATAGCATGTTTATAATTTGAGCACCACATCATTATGGCTTCCCCATAACATGGAGATTAATACAACAGCAACCAAAAACAGTACATCCAGGAAAACAGAAAAGTGTCTCTGAGAAAACTCTGTCCGTCTGTGGTTAGGCTGGGAAGGGACCCACAAGGGAAAAGTGTGCCAAACTTGTTGGATCCATACATAGAAGACCTGAGGCTGCCAAGGACCAAAACACCTGAAAATGTATACTCAAGTTTTATATTTGTATTTTCTTATCTAAATAATAATAAAACATTCCACTTGTTTTCGTTGCGGTGGATGTGAAGTTTATAAAGAATTTGCATTTACAGATTCAGCCGTAGCAATTCTGCGAGATGGAAATTTGTTTAATTCGTACTTCTACAGTAGAGCAGCATCCAGGCTGACTGATTTATGTTTGCATAGTAAACAAAAAAACATTAGACAGTGTAAATGTGGCCAATATGACTACCCCACACATCGCAATCCTTTTCCCCTACTAACTAGGCAATCACTGCCATTTTTTTCCTCAAAAATTTAACTCAGTCCTCTTTAACTGCCATCAAAGACACACACAGGGCACACTCTGACAAACACATAGCACATAAACCATTAAAGTCTAATTGAATCTAATTTATTTAGTTTTCTGGAAAGAATCATTTAAGGCAGAACTTCCCTAAGCCCCCTCAATAAGTGACTCTCGTACCGTTTTACCCTCTTTTCAAACACAATTAAAAAATAATATATAAATATATACACACTACAAATGACATGCATATGAGAAGTTCATTTTGGAGCCCGATCTCAGGTCATTAGTAACCCACCATGACGCTGTGGAGTTGGGGTCCGCTGGCGACATGCAGGCCCCTGGCCATTTATTCTATATTAAGTCTTTAATGGGTCCTCTCTCTCCCTCTTTCCTCTTCTGTTTCTATCTCTCCCTGTGACACGCAGCATGTAGGCACAGCACTGGTAAAATATGCACAGAAAGTCCGGTGCGCACACACAGGCAAAGCCATTCAAATGAATGGTTATTTATTCGCTAAACGAGGATCTGGGTGTTTAATGTTCCTTGGACGTTAGGTAGTTTTCCGGGGGAGGCAGAGCCATACCCCTACGGCTACAGACATAATTTATTTTACACATAGCCTAATACCACACGCTAGGCAGCCGCTGAGAAAAATGGGCTCTGGGAAGGAGATATAAAAGAAATAATGAATGATTCTTTTTTGGCTGGTTTTGGTTCTTGTAATGGTGGAGAGAGGGGTGAAGACATTAGAGGCTGCAGAGGAGAGAAAAGCAAGGCATAGACTTAAGTCTTAAAGCCTTTGTTTATGTGTGTGTGTGTAACTGCAAATGTGAAGAAAAATGACAAGCAAGTGACACTGATACAATTGAAGACGAACATTACACAAATGAGAGTATAAATGAGTGTATGTTTGAATGTGTGCGTTAGATTTTTTATATCAGCGGGGAGGATGGTGATACATGACTGCGTGTGCAGCTTTTGGGTATCCATCTGCATCTCATCCAAATGCAGAACATCAGAGGGGCTCAGCTTCTACCCAAAAATGCCTCCCACAAGCAGCACAGTGCAGGTGTGACGTAAACAACAAATCAGAAGTAACTTTTCCAAAAGTGAAAAATGATTTTATGTAATTTAATTATGTCTGTAAAGGTTTTTATCCTCCATCTGTCATTCAGGAGAAAGAAAGCCATCATAAGTTCTTCTGTATAAAAGTGAACGCCAACATATCCCGCTATGACCAACTTAATGGATTGAAAAACAAAACTTTGGACAAATGGGTGTGCGAACTTCAGCAGTAAGTCTAATAAAAGTTCATTTATCAAAATCACTACGAGTAGAGGCATTAACAGTGGATTTGTAAGGTCAACTTTGTCTTAAATTTGACACAGTTAATGAGGATAAGAAACAAATCTACCTCTTCATCAGTCGTCAGTGAGGTGAGAGCTATGGTCATCTCTCCATCAGAGAACTCCTTCAGTCCCACCGTCAGCCGCTGCATCAAGTCTACAGCCAGTCAGCACACACAAACAGACTAACAGTTATATGAAAACACACAAAAGGATACAAAACGGTTTCACAACAGACAGGGAAAAACACAAGCATGAATGCCTCCTCTGGAGATGAAAGGAATGTTGCCAATCATACACCAAAATGAACTTCCACTAAAGCAAAGTCCACAAATAGGTGACATTTCTGTATAAAGACTTGCCGCTCCTGTGTTATTCGGTACAAGATACCAGCAGATTTTTAAAATCTTTTTAACCACAAAGAGCCACAAAAACCTACAGCTAAAAAACAGAATGAATTTTTTTTCAAATAAAGAATCGAACAAATTCACATAAATCTGAGAGAACATTTCTATTGTTTAATGTAGTTTACTCATCTTTACTTATTTACAGCAGTCATCATCAAAACCTAGTGCTGCAAATAAAGAACCCTTAACTGATTTTAACATCATCAGATAAAAGTTGATTACCATCAAGAACTCATTGTCTGATTGCTGTGGAGTTGACTGAAATGAACTCTTTCTTAGTCTTGGTAATTGGTTCTCCTCTTAAGGAGTCGTGGTAAAAAAAAAAAAAGATTCCTGACACTGCTGCCTCCAGCACTGGAGGAAGTCTCCACTCTTGTTATATAATTAGGTATTTTGTTTATAGCTCCCATACTCATTGGTGTACAGAATCTGGTAACACTGCAGACATTCAAATATATGTCAAATTTCAGTGTGGATGGACCATATTAGTCTGCCAAGGAGAGAGCTGTGGCACAGGACTTGGATCTAAACTTAACAAAAAGCAGATTGTTAAATAGGTCATTGGCCTCTTTAAGGGATGAAAGACCTTCCAATCAGCCAGATTGACTTCTCTGGTCCCTTAGCAGTGCTCACATAAGACACACAGAAGGAAAAAACTGAGACCATTTTCATTCCCCATAGCCAGTTAGCCAGTTTATGGACATAAATGTCATACTTTGCCAAGATTTGGTGTTAATCAGATGAAAATTTCAACAGCATCATTATTAAACTTTTTTTTAAAAAATTGGTGCAACTCTGAGGGTGACTGACTGGGTTTAGTCTACAGGGTAACAGACTTTACGAACAGAGAATTCTTACCGCCTTTAAAAAACAATACTTTATGCTACTATCTCATAAAGGCTGAAACAGCAGCATACTTATTCATGCCTGCATTGGATTATTTGTGCTTTGATACGCTGCAGGGTCCTTTTCTTCCAACAGTCTTTCAAAGAGCGATCAACCCCTTGCAGTCAGCACCTCAGTTATTCAGCTTCTCTGGGATGCTCTTCTTAATATTTAGAATCATGTTACAACTTTGTAACCAGATTATAAATGTGGTAAGCATTACAAAGAAAATGAATATTTCTTTCATTCACTTTCTTTTTACTTCACACAAAGAAGTGCAAGGTCTTCTCTAAGACATTAAATGCATTTCTCTGTGTATTTTCAATGCTTTGCAAGCTGTTGTCTCACTTTTCTTTTTACTAGTTGTTGTACACTATGTTCTGTTCAGATAAATCCCTACATGCTCAGAAATTCAGAAATGCACCTTGTTGCTTCTCTTCGTCGTGCTGATCAACACAGACTCCACCCCATTGCTTCAGGGATCTAATGAGATCCTCCAGCTCTCTTGAGTGAGAGCCATGTTTGTTCCACAGTGTCTCTCTTTGCAGCTGCAAGGCCTCTGCGGACCGACAAACACACAGCACAAAGAGTTCAGGTCAATATGTACATCCTGGCCCCGGTTTATACAGTAAGTTCAGCATAGGTGCATCGGGCCCAATTCAAATACACTATGCCAATTTTAATGGATGGGTAGTCCACTTCATATACATTGATATGGGATGCAAAAAAAAAGCTGTAAATAGCCAAAAGCCAAATGTCTCTGTGCGCCTGTTTCATGCTTTTCTTTCACAGAAGGAGCAGAGTTAAGCCACGGCTGTTCTTAGAAAGCAATGAACCTGAAAAATGCATTGTATAAAGAGCTCTCAGAAAGTTATGTGAGAAGTGGACTACTCCCAGGATATCGTTTTCCTGCTCTGTTTATCGGTCTTTGTCTGTGAGCTGTACATTGCTACTCTCAATCCATTCCTGTCCGTCTTCTCTGCCTGTGTGTAACTAAGAGTTATTGTGGTGGGGAAAACGCAGCTGAGGATTCTGAGAGAGGGCCAAGACTTGCTGTCTGTAAAAGTATTATTTTTACCCGAACATGCAATGCAGCCTGCCTGACAGACATCACTACTTCTTTCCTTTGGTTCATAATGTATAACTTTCCTCTTATACCTTTCAGCTTTTATCAATAAAACTCTCATTTCTAGAGACAGCCTTTCTCACTTTATTGGGAATAACAACTGCCTGACAGAAGAGAAACAACTTAACAGACTAACTTCAATTCTAAAAAGTCCCATTATGGGACTCGTCCTGAGCTCTTCCTTACTCACATTCACCACCCCTCATCTCACTCTTCCTCCATTTCTCCTGGTGGGTGTTAAGCGAGTCATGTCAGGGGATTTGTGTGTGTCCTCCTTCAACGCCCCATTACTCCCCCCAGGGGGGATGCCTCACCTCTGAGAACCTCACCCAGTGCTGCTCTGACGTGCTCCGCTGCCTCTTGAAGAATTTCTTTTGCAACCATCGTCACCACGGACAGCGCCCCATCCTCTCCATCCTGCTGCCCATCACGATGGACCACTTGCAGGATGCTGGACTCCAGAGAGTGGTACTCAGAGCTAGGAGAGGGACGAGACAAGGAGGACACGAATAGCTACTGGCTGAGGGGTAATGACAGGGAAGAATTTGCATAAATACAACTTTCCTTCAGGTCATGAGAGATGAACACACACAGACCCCAAATACCCATAATACAGAACAGTAAATCTTACTCTCACATGAATGCATTCATCTTCTCAGACAGTGATTTACATGTGTTCTTTAGTACTAACATACCTTAATCAGCGTTAACCCACTATAGCATAAAACATCCTCAGTTTAGTGCAAATGCTTTCAGATAGGTGACAGAAATTAAATTCATTTACATGCAAACTAACTGGGGTCCAGATGTCTGGATCCAATTTGCACATTTGACCGTGTTCACCTGTCTAACAGTCCGTCTCTCAGCAGAATGAGGGAGAGCTTTCCAGCCTGATGAAGCCCAACAAGGTCGACATCCTCCTTCCACAGCAACAAGCTCTCGCTAATTTTCACCCTCTGCAAATATCTCACAGTCTCTTCGGGTAGCACAGCGTCATTTTGCCTGCTGCACAGCAACGGTACACACACACCACCTGATGGTTCCCTCTGGAGCACAAAGGGAGCATCAAGATTAAATGAATATAAAATCAGCCGATTCGGATTAACATATGTAAATATGCAATATGGTTAGACAGCAATGTGAAATTTGAAGGGAATATGTTAGGAAATTGTAGCATGAATATGCTACAGCGTTACAATTAAGTATTCAATTATTTTCAGCTAGAGCTAAAATTACCAATAACATGTAATATGTAGCATAAAAATTCTTAAACAGCATGAATCAGGGACAAAAATCTTTACTTCATCTGTGACACACATTAATGGAAAACATTTGGATTCTCTAACTACAACCATCCAAGACATAAATCACACAAGGAAACCCAAAAAAGTTTTAATTTTAAAATTAGTTTTAGAATGAGTTTTTGTTAGTTTGTTACCTGACTTAGGTGTAGTGCCAAGCACAGTGTTGCAGCCACAGTGTCAACATCTGGCTCTGGCCCGCCTAAAACAGCATGGATCAGACCTTCTGATGGAGCTGCCTGAAAACAAACACACACACCGACACACAAACACAGTTACCGTGTTCCTCTCTTTGATTTTTAATTAAAAGAAATCTTATTGGTAAAAAAAATCATTCCATGATCTTGTTTTTTTTAAATCCAACACAGGAAGTGGCTGATACGAGGCGCTTATGCATTACTGTTTGATCTGGTAGCTGATACACAGAGTATAATGTATCACCCAAACCACATTAAGCCAGCCCAACTGTGTTAGATGACTGCAGCATTTTCAAAACCATTGTATGAATTAATAATGAAACCATGGCGCTGAAAGGTTTAGCTCATGCTTAAAAGAGGCTTCTTTTCAACGTGCATATTTCCAAAAACAGCAAAAGCAAGAGGCTTTTGCATTCGGAAGATCTTTGACCTTTAACCCTGAGGAACATAGTGTATTGAAGTGTATTTCCCAGAGAGGAAAAATGAGTCCTATCTTTGTTAAGTGGACATTAATGGGAGCTCTACAACAGACTAAGCTGCCATCTGTTTGTGGAAAAGACCATCCATCCCTCTTTTGATCAATTTATTAACTGATATTCTTCTCAGTTTTAAAAATGGCAGTAAACTAATGAAACCTTGGCAAAGCCTGATAACAGTATTATCCTCTGAAGGTATGCCAGAATGAGAAAATCTTGTTAAGAAAGTCAAAAAGTTAGTATAGCCTTCCTCAATCATTTCTAAAATAAGACGAACAAAGAGGCTCAATCAACTTCAGTCATTCGATCAAAAAACCTTCCACAACCATCTAATGCCTGCACTGGGTGTTCGTCCCATGAAAATCTGTCCTGTTTTATCGGAAACCGATAAGCTGAATCACCACTCGCACCAGCCTGGCCCGCAGCCGGTCCCATCAATCATGAAGCAAAACGTGGATGCAATGAATATCACATTCATCTGCTGCTCGGCTTAAAAGTGTTTGTAAGACACTACAATGGAGCAAGGAGGGTAAAAAAAAAAAACAGCTTTACAGTGACAAAGACTTATGGGAGGTCTTCTCTAGTAATCATTTAGCACTAAATTCTGCTGTAGAGCAATTCAGTGCATGTAGTTACTGTAAGCCAGACGGTATGTAGAAATAAAAGCGTCTTAAACTTTTCGGTAGTCTCTTGACGTTTCACAACAAAATGCATGTCAGCAAAGTCTTAACCATTAAAAAATAAGAACAGAAGACACAAAAAAACCTGAAACGGTTATATTTAGGGTAGGCTGGAAATAAAGGAGTTAGGGCTTTTTCTGATTTATTAAGTAACACCCTCGAAACTTGACACTAGAGAGAAAAATTGTTAACATGAAGGGGCTCACTGCTGACCCTTGATTGTTGAATGAGGGGATGGGTGACAGATGGAGATGGCAGGAAAAAGTGACAGTGATAAAAAAGGAGATACTGGAAGGAAAGAACTTGGCTAAAGGGAAAATTCACTGATGTGAAAATGGACGGTGAGACAAACGGGGACTAACGAGAGGCATAGAGAGAAAAAAAGTGTGTTGGTGTGGAGGAATATAGGCTGCATGAGGGGAACCAGTTCCTTCACTGGAGGGAGAGGGGGGGGGGGATAAATCAATACTAGAGAGCCAGAGAAGAGGAAGTGATGCATTAGCAGGAGAAAAGGCCAGTGTCTGTTCTACTGCAACAAGAGAATACTGGTGTGTGCATGAGCATGTATTAGCCATCTGATATCTCTCAGTCTGAGTGCTCTTCTTCTCCATCTTCCCATATTCAACTTCTCTCCTCTTTATCTGTTTTCTTTTTTTTTTGTCAAACCGCACTCTAAAACACACAGATGAGCCAGTTTACATAGAATGTTGCTTGTCTGAAATTGATGGCAGCGTTAAACACAACCCTCTCATTGTCAGTTTTAGGTTGGGCAGGTGTTTGCACAATGAGCTGACACACACAGAAGACTTCCTCTTAACACAGAAAAAGCAAAGAAGGAGAAGCAATGTTCAGATTTACACGACATACTGCAAATACAAAGGCGTCCTTATCATTCATCATTTCTTTCTTTAATTAGAGCAAACTGTCACATCCGATGACGCTTTTCTGGATTAGGTGATTCATGTTTTCAGAATACATTGGGTAAAACTTTTAAAGTGACGCTAAATTAAGCTCTTTTCTCTCCCAGCAATCATCTTAGGTCTTATCGGTGGTTGTGTGATAATGTAGATGGATTTTGTCAAAACACACAGCAAAATAAAAAGACTGGGAGGACCAGTTACTTGAAGAACACTCAGCACATTGCTTCGGCCCCACGCCAAATGACAAAGAGCTATAGAGATGAAAAACTGGGTTAGCAAGCACTGAGAGCCAGGCCAATTAGAGGTATGGGTGTCCTGGATCACGGCCATCCAGGGAGAGGGGAGAGAGCCCCAGAATGAGAATGACAGAGGCAGAGAGTGGTCGACAAAACAGTGAGTCATCAAAGCTCATAGTAGAGAGTGAGAGGAGCGAGATAAGGTGTGTGTGCATGAGGGGAAATAGACATGCGTTACAGTTTATCTGTAACCTCTGTGACACTCATCAACTGTCCTCCTTATCACTCAATTACTCTGCTGTGCTCTGATCTGCAAATCTTTGATCTTTTCATGTTGGCTGCTTTGCCCGTGTTTCTGTGAAGTGCATTCATAATTAAAACTCCTCATTTCTCCAGAAAATTAAAAGAGGAAGGTAAAGGTCCTGAACGCCTCAGCGTGTTTCTATATGGCAAACAAGCATATCGGGTTAGAAACACATTCTGGAGCACTCATCAGTTTTTCCAGAACTCCACAAAATGAAATCAGTTTATACTGATTATTTGTTATCTTTTAATATATAAACACCAAACAATATATGACTAGCCCCAGAACAGTGATTACAGAAATGTGCCAAATAGAATATCTTTATTTCTAAACACAGAAAATTGCCTTGGACAATCACATCATGTTTAAGGATGTTGTCTTTATGCAAAGGAAAAAGCCTAGAGACAGTGATAATAAAACTTGGAAACGCATCTGTTTGAGTGAACAGTAATGTTTGCGAGTGTCGCTATGCATGCTAAAACCTGAGATTGTGTGTTTTCCAAACCAGTTGCAATACTTGGGGAAAAAAGGGCCGCGTGATGTGGAACTCAATAACCAAAAAAGAGAAAGCCATTCCTGTGAAGTCACAGTGTGTGTGTCTATCTGTTTCTGGTGCTCGTGTGTTCCTGGGAATATTCACTCACTGGAGGAAGCTGTGACAACACCAGCTACACAGCCCATGTTTGTGTGTGTGGTGTCTGATTACTAAAGAGAGACAGTGCTCATGCATAAAAAAAATTTAAGCACTGCAAGTAGAAAAGGCCAATTTCAAAGGGCCCCATGTTTTAAAGCCACTATCAGGGACTGCCAAGTGGCTTCCAACTGTGAATGTCTGAGCAAGTTTTCCTCCAGGATCAAATTGTGTAACACATGAAGCAGAAAACGTGGAGGCCTGTCATTTAACCTGGTACTCAGGGGAGTATTTGCATGAGTTTTTTATGGGCTGCTATGTGAACAAAGAGTCAAGCACCCTGGATCAAATGCAAATGATGAGTCGAAGGCTATCTGCAGAGCAGGATGGTAGCAGGGAAGGACAGCCCTCTGCCTAAACTTGTTGATGTCACGACTTCCTCTCATTAGAAACCTGCCGGATTCAAATGAACGCACTGGTGTGCCTGCAAACACAACGTGCTTATTGTTTTGGACCAAACACGCCATTTCTTCCCCTTGTAGTGTCTTTTTTGGGGGAGGAAATCTACAGGTGATTGGGGATGGAGTGAGGGGTGGTAGGGGGTGGGGGGATAGAAGGTACACGAGAGGCTATTGGCGTGCCCGTGCGCTTTTTCGAGCAACAGGAACGCAGCCTGTAGCCCAAGCAGAAGCAGCTTTCCCCGTAATGATCTCATCCATTACACCCCCAGCCTGGTGCGAACGCCGCTAAGGGCTCTTGACTCACCCCGAGCCTGCTCTGGACCCTCCGCAAATACTCTTCCATGTCGGCCTGCGTCGCTACGGAGCCGCTGCAGATCTCTCCATACACCCAAGTTTGGGTAGTAACGATGCTGAGACGTGCGCGTGTGAGAGCGTGTGTGTGTCTCTCTCTCTGGTCGCTTCCGAGTCTCCCCCCCCCCCTGCTGCGCTCGCACTGCAGCACTGGCTGCCGCCGCCGTGTGAGCTCACGGTCCTCCCCCTTTCTCCACGGGGTGAGCCCACAACAGCGGGCGGTGGGTGTGACGGCGTGAGGGAAGAGGAGATCCGACGGACGCGCGCTCACTGGTTCCACCGGGCTCTTTGCGGTAGGAAGTACACCCACCAACCCAGCGCGCAATTGTACGCGCGTACACGCCCACGTTCAACCCTTACCTATGACTACGTTCTGGATGATGTATGGAGGCTGTCCAGCGTCACGCAGCACACCCTTTCCCCGCCAGAGGCGCCTTTGGGGTGCGTGCGCGTTTGGGCACCTTTACCTTTTCTGGCGCTCGGGGCGAAATGCCGCAATACGACCCCAGAGCGCAATCACTGCAAGAAATCTGCAATACCTCTCAGGGGGAGTGTTTTGTCAGGAAGCACTTTAATTAATCTGAAAGATGACCCCGTGCATACATGCACGCACGCACCTTCACATTGAAGTGTAAAGGAATAGTCGAATCCTAAAAGTAATCTTTAAAATAGACGATTTTTTAGGTAGGTTGTCACTATCTATCTATCTATCTATCTATCTATCTATCTATCTATCTATCTATCTATCTATCTATCTATCTATCTATCTATCTATCTATCTATCTATCTATCTATCTAGGTGTTTTTGGCATGGCTCAATTGGAATGACAAGAAACTCTACAGAATGTAATGTTCATCTGGAATGTGAACCAAAAAAGCAGTTTGATTGGACCAGACACAGGAGGACCATTGTCATCCGTGATGATTGCAAATGACCAAACAGTAAGACAACAAGGATGCAGGTTATTTGGTGAGAAAGGCATTTTATTTATCCCAAATATATTCAAAAAGTTGCCAAACCAAAATTCAAACTAAACAGGCCCTTTATAAAAGCACAGGAGGAATTTAAATGAGGGTTTGATTTAACAATGTGTAACACTTGAAGAAACTAAATGGCTGCTATTTTCTAAATTAACATGCTACCACACCAATGTTACCACTGATTGGTTCAGGCGAGGTCTTTAATTTGCTATGTCAAACTTGTGAAAGGGCTTGGGAGGAACAGTGAAACATCATTAGTGATGGCTTGCTTGAACAGGAAGTCTTGAGCTCCAACCATTCCTGTTTGTAACTGAAATAAATCAATTCACTTTTAAAATTCTGCATAGTTTGCATGTAAAACCAGCTCTTAAGAACATGATGGATCCAGTGTATTGCCTCGCAGCTTTAAGTGCACATCTTAGGTGGATGTGCGCCGTCTGTAACAATACAAAAAGCTTGCTGATCAGACAGTTGCTCCAGTGGACTTGGGCACAGTATTTCATCGTTTGGGTTCTTACAGAAACAAAATATATGATTCACATTTTGAAAAAAACATTCTACTGATTTGGATTAAGGCTGTTGTTCAATCCACAAAGGCTTGGAATCTCATATTTCAGTTTATCTGAATACATTTCTTGTTGAGGTCACACAGTAGTGGAGGCATTCTCTAGAAACTTGAAAATATATTGGACCTTTGTTCAGCATCCCTTTTATAGGATTTCCCCAAACCAGAGTAGTGTACTATCATCACTTTTTTCCTACTGCGATGGGCATGGCAGATGACTAAGGACTGGGGAACTCTGAGACCGACCACAAGCACTGCCAGACAAAAGAGATTCAACAATTTCCAGCAGGCTATATACTCTCATAACCATCTCAGATTACAATTTTTGGAAATTTGCTCCACAACAGCCAGCAGAATACAATGTATTGAATGCACAAGGGTGGTGTCCAAAGGCAAAGCTGTGAGTTTTTTATTTGAACTAATAGAGTTTGTATTTTATAACAAAAGTCCCCTTTCCACATCTTAATCCCTTTAGGATAACAACAAAACAACAGGGTATTGATATTAACTTTATAATCCACCGCTACGTCGTCCATCACCCAAGTCCAATTGTACAACAGCTTTAATGTGATTCTCCAAAACCCATTGAAAGAACACTTCTTTATTATTTTCAACATATTTTTCACTGAAATGATATTTTTCACATTCTATTTCCATCTCTTGGGTCAGCAGTCCAATACTCAAATATCACTGTTTCAATTACACATTTTAGAGACCTTAAATCTTAATCAAAGCTTCCCTCCAAACGTGTGGTCTGTCACAGCATATGCTGTGAGAGGAGCTGAGAGGAATCCATCAAAGCTTTCAAAGCACATTAATGTCAAAATTCCAGCAATAAAAGAAGTGCAATTTCTGTTTGTGTATTCTGTTCTTCACAAATTGTTTTCATAGTGCAAATTAGTGTATGTAATGTGCTTTCCATGCAGTTAATGAAGTCCATCGTGACATGCTGGTTAGTGCATTTCACAGAAAAATGGCCTCTGCTTGGTCACTGCTATAAAAGCCGGCTGTATAATGAACGTTGTACATCCATTAGGTTGTTTCATCACCACATAAAATATCTGGAAATGCTATTGTTGGTTACCAGTTTAACCAATACAATTATTTCCAAATAGTTTCTTTTGAATAGTCGAGGAGTCTTTGTGTGATTCAAGATTTCTAAAGTTTCACAAAGGTGACATTTTAGATTACGATTAAATTAAACTGTTTTCCTGCCCGTTTCTGTACCTTAGCATAACAGGTTTACAGATAATTCTCTTGAATTTGGCTTTTACCCTGATGGACACTTTAAGTGAGCATGAATCTTCCTAATTATGACAACTGACTTCAGTTTGAAATTGATGTTTCTTTATTTTCTCTCTATTTAGCATATTTTAAGTATGATGGCATTATCATCTCGCTTAATGCTACAGTTGTTGTAATCTACAGTTTTGGAGCAATACAAGCAACTCTGTTAGCGCCAGTTCTAAATGGAAGCTGTGTTTATAGTCAGTGATGCTAGAAAAGTCAGAAGGACCCAAACTAAATTTAGACATGATAATAGCATGCTTGCTGAGACACATATGTTTCCATATGTCTCAGGAAATGAATGCACAAAAACTCTTCATCATGATATAGAGCTAGCTACTTCTTCAAAACATAACTTTCTCGCTTTTAGTTCATTTTCCCATTCCAGTGATACTTTGATAAATGATTAATTCTTTACTGATAGCAAAAGCTATGTAGTTTATTAAAGGAAAATACAGAATGGCAATCTGAGAACAACCATTTTTTGTCATTGTGTGATTCTGATATTGTGTTTTTATGCCTCTAATAAACTTACAAAACAACCTGAAGTATTATTGTAATGTCTCTATTTCTAACCCAGATGCTAATGTCATGAAGGATAAAATGAAAAAAATTGGTTTATCAAGTATTGCATTTTAAGTGTGATGATCCCGATGTTTAAGAGTTTCTTTTGAGAACGGCAATTAATTTGTCATGCAATGGAAAAAAGGAGCCAGCAGCTTTTAATGATTATACGCATGCAGTCTGCCCTGGTCACCAGAAATTCTTCATATGTGAACTCTATAGGCTACTTTGAGACGGCCATTTTCTTCTGCCCCTTACATTAAATGAAGGCATTATTTTTTTGTCAGAGTAAGACGAGTAAAGTAAGCAGATGTGTGATAAACTGAAAACTATAACACCACAGCACAAAAGCCTTTAAAGTTTGCCATTGGTGAGATTACACACAAGCATTTCTCTGATTTGCACAGGAAACACTAATGTTTCGACCCAAATGCAAGAACTTGGTCGTATTTTAATTGTAATAAAAAGAGGTACCCCATGCTTTCCTCACACTTTTTTCAATCCTTGTTTTCAAGAGTGCAGAATCTGCCTTTACTCAGCTCACAGTTGGAAACAATGTTTACACATTTCATGAAATATTAAGAACTATAGGCACAGTGCATTATCTGTTTTAAAGTTTTAAAACAAATTATGCAGAAAGTAGAAAATTCTTAATCTAGTTTGTTTTAAATTGAGGATGAATTTCCTCTGCTCTCCCTGAGGAGAGCACCAAAAAAGAGTAATAACTTGTACATTTAAGGACTTGATATGATCAGGATATTGCTTTAGGAATAGTTATATATATGCATATAGACACTCATGGACAAGAAAAAAAAAGTGATGCATGCCCTGGAAGTTTGAATGAGGCCTAAAAGTTCAAATCTGCCTCAGCACAGAGAAATGAAGGCTGTTCCACCTGAGATGACGAAAAAAATCAACCTTGATGGCAACAGGCAGACGAAAAGCAGTTATGTCTATTAACATCCACGCTTTGTCGCTCTTTTATGGACAAATTGAATGATCTGTTGTGTTTTGCCACAGAAAAAAATTCTCCATTACAAAAGTAAGCCTTACAGCGTCTGCACTTCAAAGTCCTGAACCAGCTTAATTTTCCTCTGAAAACAATAGGCCTTACTAATTGATTTTAATGGCTCTCTCCGCGACGGTGCCCCCCTTATGACTTAGAGAGAGGTCTTTAAGATTATTATTAGTATAATTGCCATTACGCACTTTCCCTTTGCGAATGGAAGACAGAGAAAGAATATCTTTGCCCTTAAGCTGAACAAATAATTATTAGAGACTGGAAACAAACAGACGACCGTCAGTCACGCGCGCGTACGCTTGCACGCACAGGAATACACACAAGTAAACTCTCCACCTTTGAGAGGACCCCCTCCTGGCGACCCTCATTCCCTCCGCCGCCCTCTCCGTGCAGCGTGGTGCTTGTAATTTATGCAAAATTAATTGATACATCTTTTATAATTGATGTGCTGTAAACTTAATGAGTAATTTATGTAATTAGTCAATTAAGGATAATTCTAGCATATGTTCCACATGCCCAGAAGGTGTGCTTTACAACTAGTTATTTGTCCAGGAGTTTGGTGCACGCGAAGACTGCCGTAGACTACCTAATTAATTTTGTTATGCAGATCAGCCACAGTGTCTATTTAACGGCCCCCTTTGTGAAAACAGATTTAATATTGATCTTTCCCGGGCGTTTTAAGAGGATGCTTTTACCCATGTTGGCCTCTGAGGCCCATGGAGTTACAAATCTCATTTTTCACGGGCCTGGAAAACAGTAAAGAAAGCAAGAAAACAGGGGAAAAACTGTCTTTATTTATTGGATAACATATCAATGCTCTGTCTGTGTGATGTGGCGTTAAGAGGTAATTTTCCCTACAATTACTCGATGTCTTTAAAATATGCTCTCAGTTGACACTGCTGACCTTTTGAGTGGGCTTTAAGGACCCAGGCATAACGGGAGGGATGCACCGGCTAATTAAGTGACACAGTTTTGAATATTCATACCTGATACAGCGAGCTTGCCCTTAATTACATTGTTGGACTTCCCTCCAAGGAGGCTAAATCACGGAAGGCTTAATTATTTTAATGTATTCGAGGGCCCACCGGGGCATGGAGGAAGACAGGACCCCGTCATGACACCTGGCCAGAGACAAAAATATAGGGATGGGGAGTGGCTTTTGTTGTTCTCCGCTTAACAAAATTCAGAGCAGGGGCTGAAGTTTGTTTACATCCTTGCAGGATTCACCAGAGAGTGTTTGAACAGACAGACAGCCGCCGGACTCCCCTCTCAGCAATTAATCAACAACAGCCCCTCTCTCGCGCGCGCGCAGCGTGTTTTCCTGGGTTTCTTTGCGAACGCGCTCGGGTAATTGAGAGCAGAGGAGGTGTGCACTGATTATTTTGCGCAAAGGAAAACATGATTTATGGCTGGAAAAGTCTCAAAGTGCAATCGAGCAAATTTAACAGAGGATGTATTTATACACTCTCACTTTCCTTTTATTTCCCCAAGTTAAAAAGAGGCAGATTTGAATTCAGATCTGTTTCTATGCCACAGAAATTTTAAGCAGAACACAAATCATTTAAAAAATGAAACACTCTCATTCAGCCTATGTTTTAACACCAGGGAGGTCAAAGGTCAAGATCGTACAGAAAAACAGTTAAAGAACTTTTGCTGGGTTGGCATCTTGGTATAAGATATTTAAAAACAGGGGGACACTTCAAATTCAGTTAAAAAAAATAACTACAACTAAAATTAACTACTGTACTTCTATTTCTATACTTTATGCGATGACTTTGATTGGCAAACTGAAGACAAGAGGCAAAGAGTAGATCACCCCTCCTCTCTTTTTCTTTTTTTTTACCCCATTACCTCTCTTTTTGATACCCCCCCCCCCCCAACACCACCAACACGGCCACACACACACACTCACACTCACACACACACACACACACACACACGCTCGACTCTGCTTTCTTTGACGCGTCCCCTAAGTGTCTGGATAGTAGATAATAGAGCCGGCGACCTGCGGGGGTCTTACAAAAACGGCGCTCGGCGAGTGGGAGCAGCGCACAAGAAGAGAGGAGTCACGCCACGCACACACAGCCCCTCAAACTGCAGCCGTGGAAGCAAGTGCAAGCCGGAGGACCATCTCAACTTTTACCCGCGGAGGCTGAGTTTTACGCACACCTTAAATGAGCATCATTCGGCGAGGAGACTGTCAAAGACAGTTTATGTGGACGCAAGAAGCTCTCAGGATCCCACCTGGCAGCGGCGGGCCTCTGGGCAGGTCTCTGTTACGCAGGTAATCTGATTTGATGGCTCAGAACTTTGGGACAGATCTATCAGATGGAGACTAACGTGAGGTGTGTGAAATAGCTTCGCAAAGAATTTCTAACTCACTCAGAATCTAACTAACTTTTATTCAGTCATTTACATTTCAAGAGACCAGCAAACAGATATGCCCCGTCCAGGAAAAAACTCTTACAGCGACCAGAAGCCTCCTTACTCCTACATCTCTCTCACGGCGATGGCCATTCAAAACTCAGCCGAGAAGATGCTGCCTTTGAGTGACATCTACAAGTTCATCATGGATCGCTTTCCATACTATCGAGAGAACACTCAGAGGTGGCAGAACTCTCTGCGGCACAATCTGTCGTTTAACGACTGCTTCATAAAGATCCCTCGCCGGCCTGACCAGCCGGGCAAAGGCAGCTTCTGGGCGCTGCACCCGGACTGCGGGGACATGTTCGAGAACGGCAGCTTCCTGAGGAGACGGAAACGCTTCAAGGTGCTGCGCCCCGAGCACATGACCTGCAAGAGCTCCCCGATGATGCACTACTTCCACCACCACCACCACCACCACTCAGGCAGCAAACTGGCCACGGCGTCCGGTCACCACGACCCTTCGGCCGCCCCGGCCGGCGTGGGCCGGCTCCCTCCCTTCCAGGGTTACGGGGGCGTCACCTGCGCGCAGCCCAGTGGCTTCAAGCACCCGTTCGCCATCGAGAATATCATAGGACGGGACTATAAGGGCGTAGTGGCCAGTGGCTTGCCCCTCACCTCTGTCATGCACCACCTGGGCTACCCGGTGCCTCCTCAGCTCAGCAGCGTGGTCAATTCTATGTGGCCGCACGTCGGGGTGTTGTCAGAGTCCATGAGTGGCGTGCCGGTACCGGCCGCAGCCTCAGATTACGCACCCTTCGGCATGTCAGCCAAGGGCCTCTACCACAACGCCAACGGGCAGACTCTGCCCGCCGTCCCGGTGCCAATAAAACCCACCCCGTCCCTGGGTCCAGTGCCAGGTCTAACGGGGCTCCAGTCCGGTCCGGCCCAGCTCTGCGCGCCCGCTTCTGTGATGGAGAAAAGCGACCTGCTGGAGGGGAAAGCGAACCCTCTCCACCCGGCTCTCCTGCTCTCATAAACCGGGTAAAACGGAAGGTTCTTCTTTAAAAAATCCCTCATAGAAGAGACGCTGTGGTTTCTAAGTATAAATCAGAACAGACTAATAAGAGACACCGTAGTTTAATTTGAGTGCAACTGTATGAAAGTTGTAAAAACAGTGACATTGTGCTGTGTAATGACCGTTTCATTAGAGCCATGTTGATGAAATTGTACTTCATTTGCACTCTTTGCAAGGGCATTTACCACATATTGTAATGTGGCACTGATAAATACAATCAGCCTAGTTGAAACGCTAAACCCAAAGAAAGCTTTCATTTACTGGGACAAACTTTCTATCATTCTTTCCAAATGCCAATTTACACCTGTTTATATTTTTTTTATTTCTTGCTTTTTACTTTGCTGCCACGTCCCCCATGCTTTGAGAAAAACAACTGATTTAAATTAGGCCTGTTGCACTATTTGTCTGTGTGATTTAGCAGTGCATTGAACATGTTATGCTTGTATTATAACACTATTTATCTGAGAAAATATTTATAAAGAAGTTGAAACCGAAGCTTTGGTTTTGTATTTATTTAAACAGTCGTTTCAGTAAAAAAAAAAAAAGGAAATCACATTTTTCACAGTTAAAAGAGAAGTGAAATAATTCAATTGGACTGACAAGTTATTGTGAGATGAATTCTCAACGTGAGAGGTGGAAGCACAGAATTGTCCAGTTTTTATATTATTAAAAATTACTTCCATGTGTACTTTTTAGACAGACTTTAATTTCAGTTAATTTTAGTTTCATATATCATCCCCTCAAGATGAAATGGCATTAGGATACTTAGTTACTCTCCTGAAGACATATTTTAGAATTAAGTTTATTTGAATTTGATATGCACCAAAACCCCAGTTGAATTATATATGCTATCATTAGTTGTAAATTTTAGCTGTAAATGTAAAATAAGATTTAAAAGACGTGGGAAAGAAACTATTTATCTTGCAGCATTTATACAAGATTTTATAGAATCAGACATAAATGTAATTTGAGGTTTTGACCCAAGAAAGATGTTTACACACCCCTCAGACATCTAATTTTGATAAGCTCATGAAGGGGATTTATACAGCATGTCAACCAGCAGGAGATTAGATAAAATGTTTGCTTTTTATGTAGACATATTTTAGAAACCGGATATGAAAAATGAGACCATGAGAAGAAATTCATTTCACAAAACCGAAATGTCTAAAAAAACTTTACTCACAGGGATGATTACATTCACATCCTGCTGTCATCTTCCATTAATGAGAGTGTGGACATTAAAACATGAGCATCTGGAGCATATTGCTGATGCATGCTGTGTCCAGGGGCTGGTCTGTATGATCTTCATATGATGGATATAAGGAGCCAACACTTTGGGCCGCAGCTCCATATCTTCAAAAGCAAGCGGGGAGATCGGATCAAGTTTGCTCTTTTGTTTGCTCTGCTTTAATGAAGCTTTGAAGCTTCTCCTCTCCAACAGCACAAAGCCTCAGGTTCATCCCACTGAAAATGACTTATATTTAACCTCCTGTCCCCTGTTTAGCATTCCAAAGGCTCCCACAGCCGACACTATTGTCACACCAGCCTCTGAACAAATAATTGAGATGCACCAGTGGAGGAGATGTGTGGGAGTGGAAAATTAGAGCATATTTAGGTGCCATTTCTGACGAGCACAATACACATAAAAGTGTTTTAATTTTTCCTACGTCATGCAACATTTCTATATTTTTTTCATAAACCCTTGCTGACCTCTAAGGTTTAGGTATCTAGTCTTTTTACTACTTTATCTGCACTTTCTGTTAAATCTACAGACATGCACACACCAACACACACTTTCTGAGATTTTACAGCACAGCAAATGCGTTAAGGTGAAAAGTGTGGCTTTAGGTGTGTGTGTTTGTGTTTCTTTAATTCCCTGATCAGCAGGTCTCAGTGTCTTTAATAGCCCTCACTGCTTTAGTGCATAATTAGATGTCACTAATTAAGACACAATAAGAGGAGTAATAATGCAGCCATTATGACCGTCCATGATCCTTTGTCTTCACAACACTGTATTTGGATGCTTCTGGAATCATAATATCACATGAGGTCTCCAAATGTGCATACGTGTGATTAGGCACAGGGTAATAGGTGGTATATTTGTCATTTCATTTGAAAGGATGGAAACTGAGCTGCTCGAGTCAAAACATTAAAAAATGTATTTTAAAATTCAGTACAATGAAAATAAATACATATCAGAAGTAATTGCTTTTGTGCTCCTGTTGGTAAGGTGTCCGAACATTTATTTGATTTTTTGGGGGGTTTGTGATAATTAAGAAAACATTTTTGGCACTATTGACTGTCTTATGTCCTTCTAGGCGTAGCTTGATTTACTTCATTTCTCAATTTCTATAATAGAAAGAAGTTAGATGGCTGCATTTTTTCTGCAGAGAAAACAGCAATTAATATATGAGCCATGCTACTTATTATTTTATGTATCCTTTTTAAGAACTTGTTATTACTGATAACAGAAATGGGAAGCGAATTAGTTTTCACAGCACGTCTCGCTCCAAACTTACAAAAAGGAGTTTGTGAGTGTTAGTGTGATTTCAGTGTTCTGAGTGTATCAAGCAGGGACATCCTGTGCTCACCATGTCCAGCAGCTTCTACTCTTTTCTTCAAATTACAATAATGTTGATCAAAGATGAAAACAAAAACAGAATTTCAGATTCTGATGAGTCTCAAAATAAGTGTGACTGACCCTGCTGAAGCAGTTTTCTTTACACCCCACAAATCAGTGTTTCCAAAAGACTGAGAAAACTTAGAGCAAGTTAAAGAAAAGATGTTTGGTCCCATAAAATTTAAGAATATTCTATATAAAAGTCGACATTCCTTCCGTTAAAAGATTGGTGAAAAAATGTATATGATTTTTCCCCTTTATCCACACAAATGAAATTTTATCAAAGCCAATCGTTTTTACACTAACCGGAATAAATATTACATGAATCTTAATTTCTGCAAAAACTCTTAATGATGTCAAATTTGAATTGAAAACGAATAAGAGCAGGATTATGAATGAATAAAACATCTATGTCAGAGGTGTTTCACTGTCTGCCCAATGAAACGTAATGCTACGGTCATGCATAGACTATGATACATTAGTGGTAATTACCAGCACTTCATAGGGGCCAGGGTGGCAAATTCTACATGCGAATCCCTTAATAATCAGTAAGATTCATGATGATGATCAGTTTAACACATACATCTCACACTGATAGACATGCACACTTTAAAACCTTAAGTAGTGTTCTTTGTTCCAGACAGTAATTCCATCCAATGTATTGGTTGTCTCAAATGAGAGAAATTTGTTCTAATTTCTTTAAACTGATAATTGCCATTCAAGAATTCCTTGTTCAGTCACAGCTTGACTGATGATTGAAAATACCAGCTTATCCACTCTAGACAGAGCCATAAAACTACATCATTAACTTTGTTAAACAGTTTTATCACAGAAAAATAAATCAAATAGTAGCTAATCAAATAGTACCTAATTATGAAATGTCAAAATGTATCAAAACTGATGTCAAAATGTATCAAAACTGTGCTCATAATTTGCCGAATCCATTTCCAGTAACTGCCACACACTGCCGTAGTGGGAAATTTTCACAGGCTGACATTTCATTTCATTGACAGGCTCACATTTCATTAAGTGAAAAGCAAGAAAAGACAGAAAAAAGTAATAAAGGCAAAATATATGTTGTCAGAGAGATTTCTTGTCTTACACATGATGTAGCCGACAAAAATGAAACACAAATAGTTCAACAAATTAACAGATGCGGATGCAGAGGCCACTCGTGCTCTAAGGAAATGACTATTTAACCGATATATTTTATCAATATACATCATTCAGCGGGCGGCACGGTGGCACCATGCCTCACAGCAAGAGTCCATGGTTGTTTGTCGTTGTGTGTCTCTGTGTGGTCCTGCGTTGGACCGTCCAGGGTGTACCCTGCCTCTCGCCCCTTGACTGGTGGGATAGGCTCCAGTCCCCCCGCAACCCCATTTGGGAATAAGCGGTTCAGTAAATGTATGGATGGACATCAGTTGAGAAATATTTAGAAGAAAATGTGATCTGACCCTCGCTCCCAAAAAATTTTTAACAAAGCAAGATACCACACAAACTTTGGGAGAGGAGTTTAAACCCTTGTGTGTCCTCCAGGGGTCATTCTTACGCTTTATTTTTCTAAAGTCTGTACATTTTCTAATAATTTCATCCTCAGTTGGCTCTGTTCTCACCGAAGTGCTGCAGTGATCTCATTCACGTGGAGGGTGGAGGGGACCTTCTCAGTAATTTCACCCAGGAACCCGACTGAAACCCGCTGAAAGGCCCTTTGCAGTGATATATACTGCCCCACACAGCCATAAAGAAAGTAGCAGGAGGTCAGCACATCACATCTGGACAGATGTAAATCCTTTAAAGCTGCATGACATCGATTAGATTTAATCTGTTTTATATTTTTAATTATAAAAAAAGAATTTAATTGGATTAAGCACACGTAGAGAATTGATGTTCATGGCCGGGTTACTGTTAAGTTTTACGCGATAACTTTTATGTGCTCACTGGAAGCAGGCAGCTGACATACGGCTTCATCTGCTCTTATCCTAATGTAATAGTGGCCTTCTAATATTCATGACTGAGCTCGTTACTTAGGGAACAAGACTGGGGTCATCTGGTGGTGTCACCGGGAGTCAGCATCAGTCTATGAAAAGCGTGTCTGAGGGGATACGTGCTCTGGCATCAGGCCGGGACACAGACGAGTCTCTGGGAGGAGAAAGTCCGAATGACGGCTCACTCCAGACACCACAGATTGTTGTTATGTGTGTCCCTGGTTCATGTTAGTTTCATGTCTTTAAGTGCACCATGTCTGTTTAAATTTTGATTCTATTGTGGCGAGGCACCAAATGAAATAATAGAATGGAGTGGAAAATCAAAAACAAAATAACCCTGGTTCTGTGTTGTTGTTTTTGTTGAATTTGTATTTATCATATGTAATGAGAAATGTGAATATTTCCGGTTGATCTTTTTTATCTGGGCTGTTTCCATGCAGTAATTCTGCTCAAGTATGTTTTTTTTGTTTATTTTCTACATCTAATAACTTTATTTGCTTTTCCATCCAGTTCTCCTCTCATCAGAAGCACTACGTCCACTTTCGTTGCACAGTGATTCACTGCTGTTGGATCTAAATGCATCCATCCCTTGTGGCCTAAGTTCTGAGCTCTCAGTAAGGTTCCGTGATGCAGTGCATATCTTCTTCAATCTGCCACCCATATTTATAGGCTCAAATTATGAAGCTTTACCAGCCATTATTACACTTTATTATCAGTTCAGTACAGGTCAGGGACTCAGCCATTCTGGCCTCCTTCCCACAGATTCTCCTCCCCGACTTCAACACTTTCCTTGACGAGTTCTGCCACAAAGAAGTTCTGTGGCCAAAAAACGACACTGCCCTTTTGAGGTTAAGTGCTTTTGGAGAGAATGAGATGTGAGATAACAGACTCAAGAGAAATTCAAATTTTCTAAATTTAATAAGGTCATTAGTGCTGTTCATGCTGAGTATGAACCGGAAATTTCCAAGCTCATCACAAAATTTCCAAAACAGATCAACACTTACAACAAATGTTTAATTTTAGAGCTGTTTTGCATTCAGACAAACTGTGATATCCATGAGAAAACTACGAATCAGAAACAGAAAACAGTACCGACATTTGAATGCTACCATTTTCTTCAGAGCAGTCATCTCACAGCTGTAGAGACAAAGTTCCTACTTCTGCTTTTTGAGGTTTTACCTCAGCATCAGAAAAAGGTTCCTTTGTTTTGCCTTTGTGATGAAGCAAGGCTGAAAGGTCACCTCTAGCCCGGAGCTGACGGTTCCAGTGGCAGGATGAAGTTACAGCTTCTGGGAAAACATGCTTTTTTCTCAGTCATAAAGTATCTAGACACTGTGTAACCCAGGGGTTTTTTTTCATGTAAGAACTCTTTTTCATTCCAGAAACCGTCAATAACATCAACAGAAAGTCAATTTTACACTAAACAATGAATGTACATTAAAATAAATGTTTTTACATGTATCGTGCAGGAGAAGAACTGTGTCATGTGTCGCCCTTGTGGAGAACATTAATTTCACTCGGACAATTTGCCAGTAGTTTAACAAAATATTCTACAACTCTGTGGACAAAACAAAAACTGTAAAGCAAAAACTATAATTTTTAAGAAAAAAAAAAAGAACTCAGGAGCTTGAAGATTGCAACGTTTGGCCGCCTTGTCCTCTTGTTAGCATTAATTGCTGCAACGACAGTGATTAAAGACAAGGTCCTCCTCTGACTCCCAATCATTTATCTCTCCATTACACAGAGCACTCTGAGTTTTTATTGGCATAATAAAGTTGATCTCCACCACCACAAAAAGTCTCCTGACCCTGGATGTTCTAGAGGGCCCTTATTAAATGTACTCATCATCTTCATATTCCTCATTTTTCCACACACACACACACTAGAAAAACCCAAAGACCTAATCATTATATCAATCCTAATGCTGTCCAACAATGACATTTTCACGTCTTTTGAAATATTTTTCTATGTAAAATTTTTAAAAGAACTGTTTCTGTACTTGTGCCTTTTACTAAATGAGCTAAGGACCATAATCCATGTATGCCCTCTTGTGGTTGAAATAACAGATAAGTGGATCTCCCAGTTTAGCAACTTAAAGATGCTGGTACAGAATAAAAACACATAGATCCCCATGTGTTTACAGAATACGTTCATGGTACAGATGTTCTTTTCGTGGTTACATCCTCAAACAGACATCAGGACTCTAAAAAGTGTGTGATCTTGACTAATGTTTGGTAATGAGGTGTGAATACAGTGGTAATTATCAGGAACAAATCGTTCTGATAACATCGTAATGGAAATTAAACGGATGTGTGGTGGTGGTGTGCACTGACGCCTCACACCGAGGAGGTTCCCTGTCCCTCCCACAGCACTCATAGACATGCCCATGCTCCCTTCATCCCAGTGACGTTTTTTTTTGTACAGAATTGAAAGTGTATAAATGAAAGACTTCCAAGCTAACTTCCTCAGCTTTATTTTACATGGACCTGTTAAGTTAGTTACTTGGCTTTGGTTTTTGCTATTTTCTAAATCCTATTGTTAAACATCAGAAAGTTAGGTGTTATCTTAGTGTTTTAGAACGGCCCTTAGTTGTACAACAACATATTGACAAAAAAGCTTTCAGGTCAGTTGTGTTTCTGATGAAGAGCAATCTAAAGGTCAGTGGCTCTTTGAGGTGGTGGGCGCAGTCCGTGGATCTGGGGCATACTAGCCTTTGAACAAGAGGTCATCACGACCACCACAGCTGAAACTTCTAACCGGTTACTGCTTTTTCTATCTAAATGCCACGCCAGAGCGGGGTCACACGTCATCCACTCCAAGCATATGTCCTCAGATATAGAAGTTATATTATGAACAGCAGTATGAACCTATCATTTTTCTATTATCTGTACTATTTTATAAATATGTGCATTTTAATGTTTCATTCAAAATCATATTATTTTTTTCCTTTCAAGTTGTCTCCCGGAAAGATTTTAGTAGTGATGTCAGAAGAGCCCTCATGGGAAGCTGACACCACAACTACCTACGCATCAATGCACCTGATCTGATCTGCCACCCACTCAGTTTCTAAGAGACACAGAGAGGTCCAATACACTTTGGCAAGCATGTCTATTCTTGCGCATGTATGGACAGGGAACATATTTTGGTGCATGCGGGGGTGGCACACTGATGACGTGGAGCCTCTTGCTAACCTTTAAAGTCTGCTACTGACACATGCCTCGCACACTGCCGACCTGCCTTCTGAAAAGGAACCATCGCCGCATCAAAGGTGAGGGAAGAATATCTATTTCAATATCTGAAAAAGTTCCAAACAAAACTTGATTTGTTTTATTTCACATACAACATGTTTCACCTGTGCAGCAGAAAGAAGTTGGGAGTTGAGTGACCACGGTGACACCGTCAAACCCTAATATCACTATGTGGATCCTTGGGAAAATCAGAGAGAGCGTGGAGAGCATTCCTCTGGACTTGGACCGTTATATAGGGAAGACTGACGAGGACGTCTTTTGCCCCTCTAAGACCAGCTTCTCCCAGAATCTGCACAGCAACATCATAACCCCAGACAACATCCCAGAGTTTTGTCTGCCTCCACGACTTTGCAAGACAAGTACGCTGCAAGAAGTCGAGAGAACCCCCCCGTCAGTGTCTGGTCAGAGCCAAATACTAAGGAACAACACCTCTTTAAACACAACACAAACAAAGACAAGGGATGTGAGAACTAAGAAAGAGGAGACTGTAGCCTCTTGGAAGGCTATAAAGAAACCTTTGCCGTTCTCTGCAGAGGGTTATGGCCTGGCTGGTCTGTATGAAAGCCCAAACACGAGAAGGAAGGAGTCTTTATTCCATTCCGTCCGACCTGGGTACATATTGGAAAGAAGTATTCCTATTGCAGCACCCTCAGAAGAGTTGAACCCGCGCAAGAAAACTTTGTCTAGGTTTCTTCCACTGTTTTCAAGCAAAAGCCTGTCAGAAACAGGAAGCAAAGAGAGCGAGACACTTTCCTCCTGTGATAGCTCTCCTCTGTGTTCCCCTTACGGTGCCAAAACTTCAAACTCTATCACATTAAAAAGTGGCCGGCTAAAAGGAACAGTGTCCTGTCCTTCGCTGATCGACATGAATGATGTAAAAGGGAGGTGGAAAAAGGGAGGTTTAAGTTTAACGACTTCTCCCAGTTTAGAGGAAAGCTCATGTACCCTACACCCCCCTGTTCTTTTCCCCCTGGATAATATGCGGCGTCAGGAGAGACTTCAGCCTGAACACGTCCTGCCCTTGCAGGGCCGTGGCAGAGTCCGCCTCTCTGCTGAGCACTCCACATTCTCCGACGACATTTTTGCAGCCCTTTTCACAGTCAGAGTGCGTGTGGTGTCTGTGGACGGCCTGTGGGACCAAAGTGACAGACACACCCTGAACTGTGCACTGATTCTGTGTTTGACACCAGGGAAGCTGCAGCAGCAGGAGAGTACCACCATCAGGAAATGCTGCAGCCCTGTGTTCAATGAAGACTTCTTCTTCACAGAGCTGAGTCACAAAGAACTTCAGGAATTGCAGCTCAGAGTAAAAGTGGTGGACAAATCTACACATGGAATGCTGAGGAGAGGAACACTGATTGGGATGATCAGTAAACCACTATCTCAGTTGCTCCAACTTAAGAAAGAGACAAAGGACTAATTATTTCTGTAGGGATTTTACATAAAATTGTATGTTCTTATAGTAAAAACACTATCACTGCAGATAATAACAAAGGTAATTCACAATTGCAAAATAAAATAGGTCAACTTTGATTAGTTAGCAATGTTATTTTTGACATATGTGTTTTTAAAGTGTTTTAAAAATGAAAACAGAATATCGAACAAAGAGGATAATAGGCCGGAAATACCCAGGCGGGTATAACCAAAACTCTACAATGAATGTTATTATTCATCTGTGTATTCACAAAAGAGGAGTGTGGACTTTTTTCGGAAATTCCATGTAACACAAAAAAGAAAAAGAAAAAGAAAGGTGAAAATACATGAAAGAGGTAGTTCAAACAATTTTTGGTGCCTCAAATAATTATTGCTGCTTGTTTTTTGTTCTGACCTGTTACTGTGTCCTGCCATAAAGTTTTTAAACAAATGTTTGCACAGTTCAGCTTTTATGTGATATAATATAAATAAATGAATAGAAACACTGACTGTAATGTGGACCTTCTGAATGTAAGCGTTAAAATAGAAAATCTTATTTTTTAATCGGCTAGACTGCACTATTGTCCTTTTTTAGTTTTATAATTTTTACTTTTTTATCGACGACAACACACAAAACAACAGAGTGACTGTTTGAGTAGGAATAACTTTCGTTCCCCTGCACTGTTGGTACGGGGACCCTCCGTTGGCTGCACAACGTGTTTACGGCATGGCGTAAACGTTGCCTGCCGCAAGACGTCCTTCTAATTGTGACGTAGATGATACTTGCAATAGTTCACGGGATGTAAACATGACAGGCAGATGAGAGCGACGTCAAAATGGTCTTTGAAAGCGTGGTTGTAGATGTCCTCAACCGATTTTTAGGGGACTATGTTGTCAATCTTGACAGCTCTCAGCTCAAGCTTGGCATATGGGGAGGTAACACCTTGTTTTTGCCTTTCACCAGATTGTTTTTGGCGACGCTATATAGCTAAATGCTAAAAAAGATGTTAGCCACTAGGTTGGTGAATAGAGAGGGCTACCTCAACTGTCAGTGATATGTTTTCTTTCTCAAAATCTATCTTATATGCACAGTACGAGCGTGACAAAACAGACGAATGTTATTTGGGAAAATACAGGCATTTCTTTTCTGTTACGGCTTCAGACGTCTCAGTTTAGCCTCATGCAGCTGAATGAGATTATTGAAGTTTCTTATAAGTTCAGTCACACCCTTCTACGCAGCCAGGTCCGGACTTGCCAGTTTCATTTTGAGTCTTTTCATGCTTAGTGCGTCTTCCAAGTAGTCCTTACAGTTTCTCAAAATTGACCTTGCGAAAGACACAAAAAAGAGCCTTCGCTAAGTAATTAGTTTCTTAATCGCAAGGGAGGCAGTTTAAAAAAAAGAAAGAAAAGAAAAAACCGGTAGAACGAGACTGTGTATTTAGTTTTTTTTTTTCGCAACTAACATTTGAAACTGTATGTGTTTAATGTTTGCTAAGTCTCTTGTATCCACAATGGTTAATTTCACCAGCTTTCTGTTCGTGTTTAGTCAATAAAGAAAGGATTTATTTTTGGAATTCAACAGATTCCTTTGAGTTTCTTTCTCCGAACAACACCCATCTTGATTGTCAGCATGCATTTATTTATTTCAATAATTGGTAAACAACAATACAGTCGAGGAAGACAAATAAACAATTATTCCTGTCATCACAGGGGATGCCATTTTGACCAATCTGGAAATAAAGGAAAATGCCTTGGTAAGTGGGGGATTAAATTGGTAAGATAAATTATAAGATGTGTTTTGCCTTTGTATTTAAATGGATATTTACTCTGTCTTTGTAGAGTCAACTTGATATTCCATTCAAAGTGAGAGCAGGCCACATAGGTAAGGTTGCAAAGTCTTGCATCACTTGACTCGGTTTGGTACGTTTCATAGAGTGAAACAATTTTTTACGTTGGGCTTGTACTCACAGGACGTCTGGAGCTAAAGATACCATGGAAGAACCTCTACAACCAATCTGTGGAGGCCACACTGGATGGTGTCTACTTACTTATTGTCCCCACAGCAAGTATGATCACCATCTATGCCCACTATGATGCATAAAGACATAGACTTAATTGTTGTTAAGTCTTCAAGTCTTCAAGTTGTTAAAGGTTGCATTAGTGTTTTATGCTTTTTACAGCGGCTGCAGACATTATCTAAAAAAATTAACCTGAATTCCGCTAACAATATTTCCGTTGTTGGTATTACACAGCAGAAATGTAAGGTGTTTCATATAACAGGAATGTCAACCATAGTCTGGTGTTATTAGCTAACACATAAAAATGAGTTTTCCTTAATTTCACACACCCTAAATGTTCTGATAAATAGGTTGTGATTGTAACGCAGACATTGAGTACATGGGTGGCATAATCAGTCTGTTTTTTGCTAACCTTTTTTTCCAGGCATAAAGTACGATGCAGAAAAGGAAGAGAAGCAGCTGCAGGAGGCTCGACAGAGGGAGCTACAGCGAATAGAGGAGACAAAACTTAAAGCTGCTGAGCAAGGTGAGCTCTGGTAAACGCATGAGTCCTGCAAATACTTTCAGTTTGTTTAAAAGAAAAAAATGAAAGAAATAGCCTCAGAGATTTTGAGCCATATGGTTAGAGAATATCTGGCTGTGAGTTCCTGTGAAGCCACCAGCTGAATGCTTTCCTTTGTGTGAAACAGTGGTTTAGCAGTTCATCTGCGGTTTAACACCAGCTAGCTTTAAAAAAAAAAAAAAGAATAGTGACATGCTGCTTTGTTTTAAAACAGGAGCTTTATAGACATCGGTGTGTCGGCTACGTGGCGGTGTGGTGGTTATCACTGCGATCTCACAGCAAAAATGACCTTCTTTTTTGTGTCTAGAAATAGGAGATCAAATGACTGTTCCCAAAACAAAGCCTCTAGAAAACTTTTTTATCAATCTAGATTTTGATATTTTTGTGTGACAGAGAACCCTAAGCTTGAGAAGCAGGACACCTTTGTGGAAAAACTGGTCACCCAGGTCATCAAAAACCTGCAGGTGAAGATATCCAACATCCACATTCGCTATGAGGATGATGTGAGTATTGTGGCTGAGTTTCCCGGGTGTTTAAATCACAATTGTGAGTACAACTCCTAACAACACATTATTTTGTTTTTACACAGGTCACAAATCCAAGCTGCCCTTTGTCATTTGGAGTGTCCCTGAAAAACCTGAGCCTTCAGGTAAAGTTCTGATATGATTTGGAAACAGTTTAAGATGTGTCTGTAAGTTTGGTTGACTCTAATACCACCCTGCCTTATTGACACTTACAGACAGCTGATGAAAACTGGCATCCCAGTATTTTGAATGAGAATTCAAGGCTTTTCTTTAAGGTGAGAACTTACCGTAAAGGACTTTTCATTTGAAGTCATAAACCATTCTGTGTAGTTCATGGATTAATTTCTGTCTGTTTTAGTACTGGGACCCCCTCCACTCTAAAATTTAGGTCATGGTTAGCTTTTTATATCCACACAGTTAACAGTGACATTTTATTTCTCTCAGTTGGTTCAACTGGACAACTTGTTTGCCTACTGGAACGTCAACTCAGTACTCTTCTCTAATCATAGTGCAGACGAGGCCTTGGTAAGTTATGAGATGATCTACCGGTGTTCACACATGCCTGTATTTAGTATTTTAGAATTTAAAATTGAATCTGAACCTTTGTTCTGCATCCACGCAATATTAAGAATGTGTCAGTGCTGTGTGCACACAGGACACATGTGATAAAGTATATGAAATCTCCATTTAATAAACCCTTGTTTTAATGTATGAGAAGGCCACATCGATGGGAGGTTTATAAATATGGCAATCGAGAGACAAAGAAGAATAAGTAATACTGAAAAATAACATTTCTCTCCTTATCCATTTTTAGCGGTGTCTTCAGAGGAGCATGGATATCTCCAACTCTCTCACCATTGACCATGATTTTAGTGAGTGGCCCTTTCATCCTTTTCTCCCTCTTTTTTTCTCAGACCATCTTTTCAATCCAAGTTTAGCTTAAAACATTAAAACTATACAGCTAAAAAAGTAAATGATCATGAATATACACAGCTTGGACACAATGTCTGCATCACACAGTTTTAATTACCAATTAAAAAAAAAAAAATTGCACAATAAAAAAAAAAACTGGAAACATTTATGCAATTATGCAAGAGAAAAATATAACCATTTGTTTTCTGTTGCTAGTTTTTCGTCCCATCTCAGCGGATGCTAAATTGCGGATGAATCCCCGGTCAGATGTGGATTTCTCTTCTCCTAAGGTGGACTTGATTGTCAATCTTTGTGAGGTGGCCATCGAGCTAAACAGATGTCAGGTAGGCTTGTGTGTAAAAGGCTATAAACTTGTGTGGGTAAGCGACTGGTAAAAACCAGCCCGCTGGGAGATGATAACTGCTCTGTGCTGCTGTGTAATTGCTGGCTTCCTGTCTTTTTAGTACATTAGCATCTTGGAGCTGCTGGGCTCGGTCGATATGATGTCACGGAACCTTCCATACAGGAAGTACAGACCTGTCGTCCATTGTCACAAGAATACTTGCCTATGGTCAGAAACCACTTCAGTATTTCAAAACATAATGGGGCATTTTACCACCTCTGTGCACTTAAAATGACTGATCATGAAGTTGATAGTGGGGTTACATGTGATTTTTTTTTTTTTTAGGTGGAGGTATGCAATCACAGGGATCCTAGAGGTAGATGTGAAGCCTCGTCTGCACATGTGGTCATGGCAGCACATCCGGCGGCACCGACAAATGGTTAAGTGTTACAGAGAGATCTACAAGGCGAAGATCACCAGCAAGAAGCCCAGTGATGAACTTCTGAAGCAGCTGGAGGTGGGAGGGAGCTAAAGTGACCTCAAATAAAACAATCTATGTATAAATATGATTTGAAAAAGAAATTTGCTGTTTTTTTAATATAGATATGGGCTATACTTCTACCAATACATGCTTTTAGATTGATTTATTTGAATCAGGGTGCTTTGGCAGGATGTTTATGCTCTGTGATATCGGCAGACAGCTGCTGAATAACTACCCACATGTCAAGGCCAGTACCATATGCAGGGCTTCTGTAATACTTTGTTGTCGAGTTGTTAGTTTTAAATTAATGGATTTCCTTTTTGCCGATCCTGTATCAGTCCTTATATTACATTTATTGGGTTTAAAGAGGGTTAGATTTTGGAGAAGTCTGTATCTGTATATGTATATAGGGGGTCTTCCTCTATGAGCAATGATGTCAGTGATAACATCTACTAAAGGCTCTACCTAATTTGTCCTGTGTGTATTTGCAGGAGACTGAGAGGAGCTTAGATATTTTTAACATCACACTGGCCAGACAACAGGCTGAAGTAGAGGTAAGGCTTACGTTCTGGTGTATAGTTTACTGACCTTGTGTCTGTCCGTGAATTGTATCAATATGCTCCATTGGTTATGCAGCCCTGACAGATCCAAAATAAAACGTTCACGCCTTTTGAATAATTAGAAAAAAGACAAATTGTGTAGTAGATGTTCCTTCAGATTAACCAAAAATTACCAGGAAAGAGCACAAAATGCAAAGTATGCAATTTAAAGTCAAATTAGTCTTTTAGAATCTATTAGTTTCTTGTTGTTTGCAAAAGAAAAATAATTTATCTGGAGTCTTTCTTCCTTAGGCAAGCAAGGCAGGACTTCGTATTTATCGTCCAGGGATAAAGATGGAGGAGGAAGAGTCTCAGGGATGGCTAAACTGGATGTGGAACTGGGGAGGAGAAGCCGATACACAAACAAAGGAAACCAAGACTGGAGGTAAGAGGCCAGATATGTATGAAAACCACGTAAAATATTATTTTTGTGAAGACGGGATTTTGAGTTTGGTGATGAATACTGTCAGTAGTTGTTATTTTTGTGCTTTCTTTTCTTTGCTGCACTGTCTCTGTGCATCAGGTTTTGATGAACTATTAACCCCTGCTGAGAAAGTGAAACTCTACACTGCCATTGGATACAGTGAAACTGCCGTTAATCCTAACCTGCCAAAAAATGTGAGTCACTTCCTAGTCTCACACCCACTCGAAAACTAATTGAACATTCTGGCTTGGCTCTCTTTTGGCCAAAACACAAATATTATGTTACATGCTATATTTGTCATTGATCATTTTCTTTCAGTTTGAGGACATGAAGGTTAATTTCCACATGGAAAAACTGTCTGTGTCGATCAAAGACGGCAAGGACAGGAAGGAGATCATCAGACTGACTGTAGGAGAACTCAAGTCCACGCTCACACAGAGACCTGGAGCACAAGCCATCAAGTTAGTCAAAGCTCTTTGTTTTCAGGCATATTTTGTGCTCCGTATTTTACAATGTAATTTATTTGTCTAGATTTCATGTTTCATTTGTAAACATGACCTGAACTACAATATTTTCTGTTTCTTTTTCTCCTTCAGACTCACAGCCCAGCTTAGTTTGTTTGAAGTCACTGGTCTGGCCAGTAACAGGCCTGCACCAACCCTTCTTTCCTCACGGAAGGCAGCTACTGGCGCTTTGACACCGCTGCTCTGCATCTTGTTTGAGACCAATCCGCTGGATGAGAGTGCCAACCAGCGGCTTCACGTCGAATCCCAACCACTGGAAATCATCTATGATGCTGTGAGTGCTGTCTGTCAGGTGCTTTGAGTGTGAATGACATCATGTTAAATGCACTGAGTCTGTGTGTGTGCAGATAACAGTGAACAGTATGTCAGCGTTCTTCATGCCTCCTGACGACCTGCAGCTGGACGAGCTCACCAATGCCACCCTCATGAAGCTGGAGCAGTTCAGAGACCGCACAGCCACTGGTGAGTTTCACATATGTTTGAATATTTATTTTACAAAAAGTAGCACGTACTTTTCTTTCTTGTTTTCACTGAGGTGTATTTGTCTTGTCCTTAGGCAACATTCATATCCCAACCACTTAGTCCAAATCTAGTGTTCATGTTCATGCTTTTGAAATGGATAGTTTCAGACAGGTGTTAACTAAAGTTTCAAGCTCTACTCTTCTCAATTTATATTCTTGTTTGCATTCAAGTCTGAAAATGAGAAAAGACATTAGCTTAATATTTACTCAAATTCCTGCCATTCGATTAGATTAATCTAATTGATATTAGCACTATGCTGATAATCTTAAAGTGTGAAATGTGACCAAAAAAAACATTTTTTGATGTTTAAGAGAAACATAGCTGAAACCTGTAGTGGTTTCTTAGCAACATTTTACTGTACATATATATATGAGAAATAAAAACAAAATGTAAATTTTATTTTTGTCATCATGATGTAGACAATTATTCACATTATGAAAGTTTCATTAAACTGTTTCTTGTATTTTTCTGTGATTGTACAATATGGAACCTGTCATCTTGACATCAAGCAGCATACCTCATTGATTAATGTGTTTATTTATTGGTTTTCAGGTTTAATGTACGTGATCGAGACACAGAAGGTTCTGGACCTGAAGGTGAACTTGATGGCCTCTTACGTCATCATTCCTCAGAGCGGCTTCTACGACGGCACTCAGAACATTTTGCTGTTGGATCTTGGACATTTTAAGGTCAGAAAGTGTCAAGTATGAAGACATAAAGTGGGATGAGCCTCACTCACTCATCTGTAACTCTCCCCATTTCTGACAGTTTTAATTGTGTTTTACACGCTTCATGTTTAAGATGTTGAAGTCAAAGGCTGAAACCTTTCATTTTTAGAAAACCTTTCCTTACATTTGCAGATGTCCAGTCAAAGCAGGAAGAATCTCCCCCAGTTGTCAGTGACATCCAGCAACATTGAAGACATCATTTCCAGGGCATATGATAGCTTTGACGTACAGCTTAGCAGCCTACAGTTCCTTTATAGCAAACCAGGTACGCACAATACAGACACATGAAGGTGACCTGCAAAATTTGAGTTTGTTGAACCTACTATTCAAAAATATTTGAGCTCAAGCTAAATTTGACTTAGAACAAAACACAAAAAACACACAGGACTTGTTTCTTTAATCAATTTTCTAAAATTCTAATTCTTACATTTTCTGACGGATCTCAGAAAACACTATCTCACAGTTTTCATGATCTTCTCACACAGAGCATACTTTTCCTTGTGTGTGTGTCCGTGATGATATTTAAACTTGTTATTAACTATAGATGGTGACTGGAAAAAGGCCCGCAAACAGAAAAAGTCACCACTCCACATCCTGGAGCCTGTGGATCTGAAAGTGGTTTTCAGCAGGGCGATGGTTGTCAAAGACTCTCGCATGGCAAAGTAAGGATGTCAGCTTTTTCACATATTTGTGCATCAGTCCACGGTTCAAATGTCTTCTTGTGGGTAAGAATTTACTTTGATTTCTACCCGAGGCAAATTACACATGAACAACAATTTTCAATTGTTAGTGAAATAATGCACATTGTGGTCATTATGTTAGGGCCATACCCATCTACAGCATCACTTCTTTCTTACCTTTTTGGTGCATGGGGCTTCCTGCTCTGTCAGTTTATTCAGCTAATTTTCTGTGTTAAGTCTCTGCCTGATTTATCACTGAAAGAAACTGTTGTCTCTTTCAGTGACAACTGTCTCTCTTTTTACATTCTCTCTTTTTCTCTTTTCTCTTTTTACATTCCTGCCTCGACCTGTCTTTTTTCATAACCGGCATGACAAGCTTCACTGTCTCTGCCCATTCAACAAAATTCTCTGTAGTGATGTCATTAAACTCGAGAGGAACTTCTCGAGAGATCACAGAAAAATGATGTGCCCTTTGGTTTATTTCACTGAGTAAACTGTCTGGTTTTAACTTCATCTGGTAGTGTGCCTCATTTTGTTTCTGTGTTTCTGATTGTGTTTTAGGTACAAGATGTCAGGGGAACTGCCTCTGTTGTCTCTCAGAATTTCTGACATTAAACTTCGCAGCGTTTTGGAGTTGGTGGAAAGCATCCCACTCCCTGAGAGCAAACCTGCTGCGCGCAGCTCTTCATCGAATCCAAAGGTGAGAACCAGATGTGCAAAGATTTTTTTAAAAACATTTTCTACTGCTTTATTTCTTTTATTTTTTTAATTAATAACATATTTTGACACATCTTTGCAGTCAAGGCAGTCGTTCACACCTCAGCTGACTCCCAGGAGACCTCTGAACTTAGCTGACCAGCGCTCTTCTCTCATTTTTGAGTCGTGTGAGACCATCAGCATCACCTCATTGGGTGAGACTGTTGAGCACATAAACGCAACTTCCTAACAATGACCTTCTTGGTAAAGTCCTGTAAAATATTATCTGCATTTCTGTAGCAAAGTTCAGATTTTTCGCAGCTTTTGAAAACAGTTGACCAAAATGTCAGTTCCTTTGGTCCTTTTAATCTTTCTTTATACAGTTTTTTCCTTTAAACCAGGTTGTTGTTTTTTTTGTACTAAAAGAACATTTTAAATGGCGTAAAATAAACATGTTCAACAGTGGGTGACATGAAAGAAAGTTCATACAAAATCTGTTGGATGGATAAATAATTGTTTTGTTTTTCTTGCTGTGAAAATCTATCAGGGTCAGAAGAAGATCTGTTTTATGACGCCCCAAGCTCTCCAATTGGGGATAAGCCATTTTTCGCGGACAATCCCATGCCGCTCCGCTACGCAGATCTAAGCAAAAGAAGAAGTTTTATCAAAGAAGACACTCAGAAGAACATGACAGACCTCATCTTGACATTTGAGATCAGTGAGGTAAATAAAATTGAGTCTTATTTGCCAGCCGTTGTCTACATTATTCTATGTTCTTACCATATGAAATCAAGTTTTGCATAGACAATATTTAATATGGAATATTTGCTATTGAGACTGAACAAAAACAATTTTATTAATTATTAATGTAACAATAGGTACATATAAATTCCTCTGCTGTTTTCAAATGCTGTTAACTATACAGGTGAAATCCTTTTTCCTCTTCAGCCCTGCTTTATCTCTGAACTTTTGTGGAGGCCATCACTTTGTCAGACCCGTGTTTAAGATTATTTCCATATATAGTTTTTAAATGTGTATAATTTTAGAAAGTAAATTATATCGTTGTCCTCTCCATTCAGTTTTCTGTACAGCTGTGCCGTGTGTCTGAAGGCCAGGAGGTTACAGTGCTCCACCTGGACATAGAGGGCCTGGGTACTGAGCTAAAGCTGCGCACCTTTGATATGACATCGAACACCTACCTGCGAGAGATCTGCCTGAAGTGTCCCGAATACATGGGTCAGTAGATAACGGAGGCATTTTTGTTTGTTTAATCCTGGATCCGTTTTTATTTTCCATGCTTCATCTGTTTCTTTGATGTGTAGATTCTGAAGAGAAGCAAGTTCAGCTCATCACCACTCTGGACAACACAGAAGTTGATCTGCTCACCTTGGAGTACATCAAAGTACTTGTGATCCACTACATTCATTTAGATGTTTCTTATTTACTTCACTGAATATTTTCCAGTTCTGGTGAATAGTCTCCTCATGTAGTATTGTCCTTTTTAGGCTGATAAGAATGGTCCTGATTTCAAATCTCAACACAACAATACAGAGCAGCTCATCAAGGTGAGAGAATTTTTCATTTTCAGGCTACAAGTAAGTTCAGTTATTCAATATTTTGCATGTTATGAAGAACAGCTGCATTGCTGAAAATTTGTTTTCCTTTTTTTCTAATTAGGTGACCTTCTCATCACTGGATGTTCATCTCCATACCGAGGCTCTCCTCAACACCATGAATTTCCTCAGTAACCTCCTTCCTCCGTCAACTAAAAAGGAGGAAGGACAAGAGGAGCTTCCCACAATCCCTGAGGAGGATGAGGCTGAGGCAGAGAAGGAGGGAGAGAAGAAGGAGGAAATTGCCATAAATAAGAAAAAAAGTGAGTTCTTTTTCCACGTTATTTCACTACTCTTACAGAATCTTATCGACTATCAGTTGTGAAGATAATTACAACCTAAGCAAGTATGATGATGCTTTATCAAACTGATCTGGAATATTTTGTCATTTTGAATAATAATAGGTGTTGAAAATATCCTATTTTCCACTCACCTCACCTTTTTTCACAGCTTCAAAACGTTCAAAGTTTGCAGATGTGATAAATCTGCATATAAGAGCTGATCTTCGGAGCTTGAAGGTGTTCATTCGAGGACAGAAAGCCAGAATCTCAGAGATAAGTATCGAAGGTATGGATAAAAAGATGCTATGCTACAGTGCTTTGTTTTGTCTTCATCACACAAAAAAGGATTCTCAGTGTGTGACCCTCACAACTCTCCAGGTCTGGTTTCTGAAGTCCTTATGAGGAAAAAGGAGCTGGAGGTTCAGGCCAACTTGAAGAATATTGTCATCCTGGACTGCAACAAAGATGCCTTTTACAAGAAGGTACATCCTTTAATGGTTATCGTTTTAGTAATCATGTTTGCAGGACTTATTTTTGACAGTGTTGGTTATACCATGTATAGTCATGTAGGTTTTTCACTTAGTCCCCCCCCCTAAATCTTCCAAATTTGGCTTTGTTCGTTCACTTCACACATTTTACTCTTTGGAAGACTTTCAGCTTTGTCATGGTTTACACTGCTTCCATAAATCCCCTTCATTTCCACCCTGTTCTCTTATTTTTTTTCCAGGCTGTGTCCATCGCAGATAAGGAAGTGTTTGCGTTCCGGATGGTAAACTATACAGATGCAACTGAGGGGGACGCTTATCTGGATATGTCTAAAGTTGACACCTCAGTCACACTAACAGTGGGATGCATTCAGGTCATATTTCTCAACAAGTTTGTCTCCTCCATATTGGTAAGAGGGATCAATCATGAAATGATCATTTATTTAGTTTGTCTGTTGTTTTCACATGTACATTTGTCAAATGTCAAATATTATTTATTTCAAGGCCATTCTTCTTTTCTGTCTTCCTCCTTCTTCAGGCATTTATCAATAATTTCCAGGAGGCCAAAGCGGCACTGGCTGAGGTGACGGTCCAGGCTGCAGAAAAAGCTGCATCGGGTGTGAAGGAACTGGCAGAGCGGAGCACACGGATTGCTCTCAATGTCCACTTTAATGCGCCTGTCATCTTCCTCCCTCAATCATCTTCGTCTTCAAATGTCATTGTTGCTGATCTTGGCCGGTTGTGTGTCAACAACCATTTTGCCAAGCAGCCGTTTAACAGTGATACTACAATCCCACCTGTTGTGGATATAATGGCCGTGAGACTGACTGACCTCAAGATGTACAGGTAGGAGACCAGAGGGAATAACAACTTTAAATAGATGGCATTTACATATACTGTATCTGTGCTCTATCTGTTTCATACATATTTCTTTATGTATATATATATATATATATATGTATATCATCTGACAGGTTGATGCATTTTGCTTCCAGAACTACATTCATAGATGAAGGTTTTAAGGGGGAGACTCAGCTGTTGAAGCCAGTCAGTCTTGACTTGGAAATCCAGAGAAATCTTTCCTCCAACTGGTACCACAGTATTCCTGACATAGAGATTACTGCTCATCTGAAGCCCATGAGTGTAAGTCATAATGTGTGCCAAGAAATATTAAGGCAATTGTTGCATATTTAATTGTTTTCCTCTGCTGTTTCTTATCATGCTGTTTTGAATGTTTTATCTAATGGTTTTGGCTTTTCTGATGTCCGATCCCTGATATTAGTTGGTAAACGGTTACAATGATTTTAAGAAGTGTTGTGTGTGTTTTTTAATTATTTAATGTGTCTGTTCCCAACAGCTAATCCTCTGCCAGGAGGACATGATCGTGGTTTTAAGGACTCTAAGTGAGAACCTGTCAGAGAAGTGTGATGCCGTTCCACCTTCAGCAGCTCTCCCTCCTGCTGATCACTCCTCTGATTCTGTATCCAACAAAGAGAACCAGGACTCAGGAGCTTCTGGACCTGCTAGCAGTAAACTATTTTTATTTCTACATGTTTGCATTTGTGTTTGAAGATTAACTCCACAAAGAGAGAAACCATAATTTAAATTTAGAGTTTGAGATTTCTGAATAATTGAATCCCCAAATTACTAATAGAATCTGAAAATATGAAATATGCAATCTGTTCTATTGCAACCAAATCCAAAGAACTTCTTCTCTCCCATATGTGTTGACAATGCTGCTTCAGGTAACACAGTGGTGACAGCTGCTGTTGTGGAGACTCAAAAGAAAGACATCAAGCTGAAGACCACGCTCAAATTACACTTCAAGTTTGACTCCATGACACTGGTCCTGTACAGCCCCAATGAGAATATGGTATGCAAAAGGGCAGCATATTACCATTCGATCATCCTCCCTTATGTGCCTGCTAATATCTTGCTGCTTTATTTTGTTCAATAGATGCAGCTGTTAGACCCACACGATGAACAACTGAAGCTTGCAGAGTTCACTTTGGACACTATCTCCACTTCCGTGCACATGTTCTCCGACAGCTCCATGAAAGCTTCAGTCCGACTCACTACATGTCTTCTAGATGACGAGAGACCAAGCATCAAGATGGTCACTCCAAGGTTCAGGATGACTCTTCACAGTTAGAACATAGACTTATCTGTGTTCCTGCTGTAAATAAGCAGCATACCTCCCCTCTTCTGCTTATTTACAGCAGAGGGGAGGTCTTTAAAGTGTCATGAAGGACAAAGGTGTAATGGCTTTGTGTGGTGTTTCACAGCAGTTAATTAAGTTGCTGCACTTTTTTCCCTTCTGCTGTTTTTAAAGAAGGAATGTCCACTTTGTGTTCAACACATCTTAACACTGAGGCCTTTTATGTTCTCTGGCAGGATGATGGCGATGCGTCCTGGGGCAGAGCAGAACATGATGGTGGAGGTGAATTACCGTCAGGGACGTGATGGCACCGTCATCAGCACAGTGGTGCAGGATGTGTACCTTTGTGCCAGCATGGAGTTCCTGCTGACGGTGGCAGATGTCTTTCTAAAGGCCATCCAGCAGGGATTTGCACAGGCGCCCCAACCCAAGAACAATTCTGGTGGGGGAGACAAAAAGAACATCAACTCCTCAGTGACTTCTAAAGACTCCAGTGAGTTAAACTGATCTGCTTTATTTTTGACCTTATGTAAGATAATATAGAAATCCCTTTATCAGATACACTTGAGCATTCACATCATGTTAATCTATTGACTAAGTTGTGATGCTATTTTAAGATATGAATATACTTTCAAATGAATAAAAATAATGTGCAGTCATATCCCATCAATCAGAGCGATTTGAGAATGACTATCATTCATTTCCACATAATTCAAACTAATAACCAATGCCTCCTGCTGCCCTCAGGTGCAGCTCCAGCTCCAGTGTCAAAGACAGAGATAAATGTTGTTGTACGTAACCCAGAGATTGCGTTTGTGGCTGACTTGACACGTGCTGATGCCCCGTCCCTAGTGATGACCACACAGTGTGAACTCCTGATGAAAAGTGGTCCAGAGGGGTCATTGATGACTGCTATAATTAATGACCTCAAGGTTTGGCTTTTCATCGTAATGTAGCTTGAAAAAAAAGTTTGAAAGTACTCAAATTCGGACACATATGTTTATGATATATATAAATATGGTTCTTTTTTAGGTTATGGCATGTCCATTCTTAAGAGAGAAGAGAAAGAACAATGTGACTACTGTTCTGCAGCCGTGTCAGGTGTTCTTTCAGAGCACTCAGCCCCCAGGCTCCCCGCAAGCTATGGAGGTTTCCATCAATGCTCTGTCCCTAAAGGTATTTCTTAAATTAAAAAAAAAAAAACATGTACAGAGTACGGACCCATGCAATCTGCACCATTTACAGAAATGACAATAGTCTTCAATGGTCCGTGGTTCTTTTTCTTTTTCTTTTAGATGAATAAATCTTTAAATTGGCTCAATTTCTAGCACATATAACAGTTGAGCAGTTATTTCTGTCTATTTAAGTAAATAACATTTGCTGAGGGGTTAACAAGTTTAACTCCCTGCTCAGGTGTCTCCAATCATCATAAACACAGTAATTACAATCCAGTCAGCGCTAACTCCCAAAGCAGAGACCCCTGAGGAACTGGACAGCCCTGTTCCCGTGGACTTGTGGGAGAAACGGAGCTGGAAGGAGCTCAAACTGTGGTTTTTAGAGGAAGGTGGGGAAGAAGACATAAAGTCACTGACCCCACTTATACCACAGGGAGAGTCCTTAAAGGTATTTTGCTGCATTACCTTAGCATTTTGTGATTTATATTTGGTCTTTTGGAGTATTGTTTATTCACTATCTGTTTTTTATAGTATTCTATAGATTAGTTGAAAAAAATCTGTTACAGTTTGATGGTAAAACAGTTTATATTATGACTCTTTGTCTTTGCAGGTGGACATAGAATCAATCTGTGTGGCTCTGGAGGCTGGAGTGGGACACCGCACTGTCCCCATGCTTCTGGCCAAGTCCTCCTTCCACGGAGATGTGAAAAACTGGTCCACACTCATTAACCTACACAGTGAGCTTAACCTAGAGGTAAGAAACAGGAAGCATGTAAAGTGTGTAAACAAATCTGACAGCATTCAGTCTGGCGTTTCACTTGTATTTGACTCACATTTCTGCTTGTCTGAAATCCAAAATATTCAAAACGGTTCCTTTTTTTCCCTTTGTCTTTAGGTTCACTATTATAATGAGATGATGGGAGTGTGGGAGCCACTGCTGGAGCCCTTAGAAGATGAGACAAAAGATGGATTCAGACCTTGGACACTTGAACTGAAGGTCCTGACATTAAATAAGAATGAACATGTACAGTCCATAGTACCACAGGCACAATTAAATAGTGTAACATATTACTCTCCTTTAAACAGATGAAGAAGAAGCCAATGAAGCACAGTGGTGTCTCAGATGAAGTAGACTTTCTTGTCCCGGACTATAAGACAGTCATTGTCATCAGCAGTAAAGACCAGCTCAACATCACACTCTCAAAATGTGGACTGGCCATGCTGAGTAACCTGGGCACAGTAAGTAAAGGATTGTCACTGTTTTTACATGCAAGTCTGACTGATTACATACATAATCTGTGTCTATGTCTTTGTGTAGGCATTTGCAGAAGCAGCCAAAGAAACAGCAGAGTGTTTTCAAAAGGACGAAGCTCCTTTTGTCATTAAGAATAGGCTGGGCCTGCCCGTATCTGTTCGCTACAGTGAGATGTTTTGTCCCATCGATAAGCAGAGCGTCAACAAAACAGTGAGCCTGGATGATGGTGAAACTCTTGGGCTGGACTATTTAACCTCAACTAACTCTGATCAGTTCTCAGCCATGATCTCCCTCAGTGGAAAAGACTACTACATACAGCCTAGTGAGTACCAGACTGTGCTTTTGGTTATGTTGTAGTTAGTGGTTAGTTTGCTAGTTTGGCTGTTGTTACGGTTCAGGTGTAGTTACTACTATTGTATAAATGCAAAGCCAGTGTCATCTCAAGCAGATTAAGCATTTGTTGTTGAGCCAATAGCTCAGCATGAGAGGATAATCAAAGACCCAAAGTCAGCACCTCCTGCTGTTACTACTGTCTACATTTCTAAATTTAACTCAACATGTCTCAATCCTGAACCAAAGTATGTATTTCTTCTGTTTTCAGCTCCTTTGGGCCACACCCCAGCCAGTGTCATCCCCCTAATCAAAGTGGGCAGAGGAATGTACAGTGTAGTGCACAAAGACTCTGGAGTCACCCGTTTCCTGGTCTGTCAGATTTACTCTTTGAAGGGCAGCAAGTACATCAAGATCCGCTCTCCTTTTCAGGTACATCACATCTCACCTGGGCACTTGTTATCTTCATTTGAGGAAATAATACAAGGCTAATCATTCTCTGTGTTGTGTTTGTTTTATACTTCTGTGGGGGCAGATCATCAATCATTTTTCAATACCGTTCAAAGTTTTTGAAGGATCAGATTGTCTGGGTATAGCTCTCCCGACTGAGGAGTTCTGTGTGCCTCTGGACTCATATAGGTACATTTCTGCAGACTTTTTTTCCACTCCTCTCTCATGTTTCTCAAAACAAACACCCAAGTTACAAATGTCCCCCTCAGGTCTGAACTGAGCCTTCAACCACTGACGGTAGGAGAGGCCGGTGACCAAGCGGAGGAGTTTGAGTACTCAGAGGGCTTCAGTTATGAGGATTTCAGCAGCAGCCAGCAACCCGAGAAGCACCTTCAGCAGACCTGCCGTCGCCAAGGGCATGAGGGTGGCGTTATGACGATCAACATGGTGCCATTACGGGATTCAGTAACATTCAAACACACTGGGGGTGTGGGGGAGAACTTTGATGTGCCCTTTGTGCTTCACCTGTGGCCTTCTGTCCTGCTGCGCAACCTGCTGCCTTACCCCATCTCCTACAAACTAAAGGTAGCCTCGTTGATTTACCTTTGAAGTTGGACTGAGCTCAAAGAACAAAATAATGTATCTATGTTATTTTTTAAGGGTTTCTCTTAATGCAAAGAATGCTGAGAAAATTATTCAATACATACAGATATCTGAACATTCTGAAAAACATGAACAAAATGTTTACTTAATTTATTTGATCTGAATGCTTGTTTTTACTCCTAGTTAATGAATATAAAAAAGTAAGATGCAGCAGATTGAATGTGGTACCTTGCTGCTCTCTCTCTGCCTGAATAGGACAGTGGAGTTTCAGCTCCTGAGGCCACTCTGAAACCAGGTCACTCGGCTCAGCTCCACACTGCTGTTGTCAATCAGTCGAGACTTGATCTCTGCCTGCTGGACTACTTGGCTCAGGATTGGTCTTCTGAATACAGGTCTGAACAAAATCTCATTTGTGTGTCCATTTTCAGTTTTCATTGTATTATTCCTTGTGGTTTACGTTCGATACAACTTGCAGCACAAAAATAATTTCTAAATCAGTATGGGGGAGGCATTTAATCACTATGAGAATAACTATTGTTTCTTCCTGTTAATGTATATCTTGCTTAAAGTATAATCCTATCTCCACAGTCTCCTCAGTGACCAGGAGGAAATCACCTTCATTGTGTTCCAATCCCTCCGACTCGATGATGAAGATGATGGAGAAGAGGAAGAGAGGAAGAGGCCTGAGTTGGACATAGCGGTCCATGTTAAATATGATCCAGGACAAACTGTTATTGCTATCCATTCACCATACTGGATGGTGAATAAGACAGGCAGATTGCTGCAGTACAAAGCGGATGATATCCACCGTAAACACCCGCTCGACTATGACATGCCCCTGCTCTTCTCTTTTAAGCCTCGGAACTTTCTGAGAAACAACAAGGTAAGTAGAAAAGCTTCACCTCCAGTTAAAGTTCATGATTTTCCCCCGCTGTCCATCTGTTCAATTTAAGGATAAAAGTTGTTAGAGTTAATAATGTATTATGCTTTTTCCTCATGTAATTTAAACCTGATCTGCAGGTCCGTCTGATGATCTCAGACAGTGAACTGTCAGATGATTTTTCTCTGGACACAGTTGGTAGCCACGGAGATGTGAAATGTAAGGGCCGATACAAGGACTATTTGGTAAGCTTTTGGAAGATAGTGACCTTCAGGAATTACCTGTTGATGTTGAAGCACATTATTATAACCTATTGCATTGTTGTGTTCATCTGCTCTCAGGTTGGGGTTAAGATTGATGCCAGCAGTTTCAGTCTGACCCGCATCGTGACTTTTGTGCCATTTTACATGCTGGTCAACAGAACCAAGCAGCGTGTCTTCATATGCGAGGAGGGACAAGAGAACTGGACTGAGGCTCAGCCAGAGCAGGTCAGAGCCAAGTTTGCAGGCGTGTTTTTGTGGGGTGGCCATTTACTGTATATTCATATTAAATTAGATCAGCAGTTTATGATTATAAAAATTGCCTGTAAGGTTTTGAGGGATAGGGTTTTAAAACGTTGTTAGTTTGGCTTTCTCGCTGTTTTCTTCAAGATATTTTTCATTCCCATTTTAGTCAGCCGTTCCTTTCTGGCCTGAAAATGACACCAAGCGGCTGAAGATCAAAGTAGACGGTTGTTTAGCACCTCCTTTGACTATCGACTTCACACGACCAGAGAACTGCCTGTTGCTGCATTTGGACAACTCTGTGAGTTGTGCAGTTATATGTTTAACCCTAAGCCTGTTAACAGACCATTTTCTTTAGATGAATTTTTTTAATGACCTACTACACTCGATTGTGTGTTTCTTTTGTTGCAGGTCGGAGGGATCATCGTAGATGTGAGTTTGTCAGAGCACTCGGCAACAATCCTATTCTCTGAATACCATGATGGGGCAGCCCCCTTCCTCATCATCAACCATACCAATGACAAGATTCTTCAGTTCCAACAGAGGTGAGAAAAAACAAAAGAAACACAGTTAGCACCGACAAAGGGTTTGGGGCCGTGTAGTTTTAAGTTAGCACTGATTTTCCGGTTAAAGGAATGGATCTGACCTGATCCTTCACTTTTACACGCCAGCATCATGATCAGAACAGTCCCTGTTCTTTATGCCCCTGATAACTACCAACTTTTTCAGCCTATATGATTTTCATATTAATCGCTAATATCTGATGTAGCTCCCGTTTATCAGGGTTTACAAATCTTTGAATTCTCTTCCTCTTATTCGCTCTTTCCCAAGTGCAACATTTCATTATTTTGTAAAAGGGAATATGTAACCCTCCCAGTGTGGGGTTAACTGTCTTGTCTGCGGATGCGTGGAGGCGCAGGAGATGACACTGCCCATCTTCCATCTGATGGACGACTGCTCTGCCCACCTGAGCCTTGGCCATCTGCTTCCAGTGATTCCACACTGTCTCTTCTGTGTGTTTTCCAACAGTTTTTGTTCTCACAACACTCGCAGGAAACAGCAGCCCTTAACCACCAAAGTTATCTCTTCATGCACATTCTACATGTTTACACTGCCGTCATGTGCATTGTACATATTTGTTGAATGTGCTGTATTTCAGTTAACAATAATAAGCAATGTGTGTTTGTGTGCGTCATGCAGTGCCCAGATGGAAACCACATGGGTGGCTAATGAGCTGCTCGACTTCTCCTTCTCGGAGGAGGAGGACAGGTAGAAAAATAAGATAAGGAGAAATTGTTCTGACACACCCTGGACTCATGATATTTGTAATAAAAAAAAGAATACAGCATTACATTAGCTTTTGTACAGTATTTTTCAAATGTAGAGAATTTGTGAAAAAAGGTCAATAACTATGAGTTTAATTATGAAGCACTGACATATACATCAGATGACTGCTGTCACGATATCTTTGAAACACACTTGAGTGCAGGGTGTGCAGACAGAGACATGTAGCAGAGTACTGCTTCAGCTGTGAATCGGGATTATCTGTGTAGGCTGCTCCTTTCACAAAGTGACATGTCACTTCATTCATTAAATAGTTTATGTGTAAAAACCTGTTGGCACTAATTCAGAAACGTTGAATATCAGTGGGATAAAGTGAAAGGAGCAGGTTAGACATCTAAAACCATCCATGCTCTTCCTAAAACCTCTGTTCTGTGTAATCTGTATTTATAGAAATGGCCAAAGGAATTGCTCTTTCTCCACTTTTTCCACTTGTTCTGTGACGTTGACTTTCCCATGTGTCCTTTCTTTGTGTCATTTTCCAACGTCGCCTTCCTATCTGAATAGAGATGCCTGTATGTGTATAGAACATCTAACATTCAAGGACAGTTGGGAGCTTTGGTTGTCTAAGCAGTGTTACCTTCATGTTTCTCTTTGAGCCGCTTGTTTACTCTCGCAGACATACTGTATTTCTGAAAAGTTTGATTTTGGTGGATGGAATCTGTAAGAATATTGTTTGTTTTACTCTATAATCTACTTTCATTCACTGTTCAAAGTCATGTTTCTGCAGTAAACACTGGGCTCTGTGTGGGTGGGTTTCAGCTCTCAGCAGCAGGCCGAGCTGGAGGATCTGGAGGCTGGGAAAGCTGTGCACTACACCTGGACGGCACCCACTGGATCTCGAGAGCTTTTCTGGAAGTGTGGCACTTACAGTGGGAAGTTGACCAATGAGAAGGTAGAGTACCTGATTCACAGAGTAATCTTTGACCGAACATCAAATACTCAGTTTTTCACATTTTTAAATTCATACTGTGGTTCTTACCTTTAATACAGGATCTTTGATGAAATTGGTCGCTAAAGTGTCAGTAAATGGGCTTAATGAGAGAACATGACCTGCATAACCCATTATTGGTAGATGATAACAGATTAAATAATGATTTTGAAATGTGTTGAAAATCCAAAGGCGTACATAGTAGTGCTGATGGGTCAGATTTGTACATTTGTAAATAGATTTCCACAGTTTGTGTGCTGTTGCATCTTTTAGGATCTACGCGTGGACATGAACAACGAGGGAAAACTGTACGTCATTTCCTTTTATGAAGGTAAAGTTTCATAATCTTTGATTCTGAAAATTGGCAATATCCGTTTGTTGCTGTTTGTTTAAAAGTGAATAATGTTACTTTACATTAACTAATACGTTAGGGTGGCGTATTAATCACTTATCTTGAGTCTTCGAGTGTTTAACCTAATTTATTTTAATAACAAAACACTGAGTTCTTAGCAGCTGAAAAAACAGATCTTGATTTTTTTTCCATATTAAAGAATAGATGTTTTTTTTTTTGTTTTTTTTTGTTTGCTTGATGATGCAAAGGTCTTCAGCGTGTTGTCCTGTTCACCGAAGAGCGACGGATCTTTAGGCTGCTCTGTGAGAATGAAATGGTTCAGCTGGCCGAACAGGAAATGCTCCTGTCCCTTCAGAACATGGGCGTGTCTTTGGTTAACAACACCACGGGTCAAGAGGTTTCCTTCATTGGGATCACAAGGTATTCAATAAGAAATGACTGTGTGAATTTGCAGCAGAGATGAGCACAGGGCTCATAGGTTTCATTCAATTTTCTTAATGTGTTGTGTGACCTTTGTTCTCACCTGTGGTTGGTACATGACAACTCTCCTCTAATAATTTTTCCCTTTTGGTTATTGTGTTATTGGGATCTATCTCTGCTTAACATCTGCGAATGAATCAGCCTGTGACATGACAGAAATAAATAGGGCAGCTGGAACAGCGTAAGGAAAGGGTCTGTGTTTACACCTAACTGGGCACCCTGTAGTTTACACTCTTTTGTGTTTCCCTGTCTTAGCTCTGATGTGGTTTGGGAGATGAAGCCTAAGAAGAAGAAACGCTGGAAGACTCTCCGCGCTAGTGAAATGGAGCTGTTGGAGACCAGATTCAAAGAGTACACTGAATCTGGGCCCATAGACAATGCTATCGTTGATCTGGACAACAACTTCCAGGTAGATGTCCAAATATTGCACAATAAATGATAAAAGATACAAAAATGAGTTTCAAAACTTTTGGACCTGAAGAGTTTGGCATTAGTCCTGACGGGTGCAAACTAGGGTTGGGCGGTCTCCACATTTTTCCCCGGTATATGGTATTACCGTGACTAATAAAAATGATGACTGCAGGTTCAGACAGCATCACCAAACTATTATCATGTGCCTACACCATTCAGAAACTGAATAACAAACACTGCTAAAGAAACAATAAGAATATTGCCAGACTGCAGAAGACGTGTTCTTCTTAGCGACGAGGTGCTAGACTTGCCATCTTTCTCTCTTTCTCTCGCTCTCTCCTCCACGCTGTCACGTGATGACTTCACGTTCATAAACTTTAAAGCTGAAAATTCAACCACCTATAAGTGTTGCTGGGCATTGATTTAATCATATTTAATCCTTATCTCCTATATAAGCGCATTGCTTTTTTAAAAATGACAGTATTGAAACTGATACCGTTGCTTTATTACTGTATTACCACCCAACCCTTGTGCAAACTCATCATTAAATCACCTAGAATGATGTGATTCAATGATGGATGACTTGTTGCTTTAATCATTAAGTGTGCTCACTTGGAGACCTGATTGTGCTACTCTTTGGTTGCTTCCAAGGTGTCTTTCACTCCCAATGGTATGGATATGCGGATGCTCCAGCCATGTGACGCTCCTCTCAGGAGGCATTTCCTGCCGGGGGTGAAGGTGGAGTACAGCATCTCACCACGACAGAGAGCCTACCGTGTCCAAATCCACCACATCCAGGTGAAAAGATGTTCATTTCAAAGTGTTCTGGGCCAAAAGCATTAAGTCCCGCAAGTCTATGGCAGAAGAAATGAATGAATGACTAAATCCTTATCAGCATAGGTTACCTGTTTTTTGGAAACCATTCCAAGATCCATTTAACATAGGTGATAGCAGCACATATTAATATAGTAGCTTGAATATGTTTTTGTGCATTCAAAAGTTAGCAATTCTTATAGAGACAAGAGCAAAAACAAAGTTTGTAAGATTTGAAGATTGACAATGACAAAAGAAGATTCCGAAATGAGCAGGCTTGATTTTTTTCTTATTCTGCTTTAATTTTCTTGATCCTGTTTAAGTAGATTCCCATATGTGATATAGGCCCCTCAAAAAATTAAATAAACATTTAATAAATCTTTTAACACTACGAGCCTTCCATAGGTAACTTATTGAACACATTTAGAGTGCCACCTCCTTTTTATCCACACACTCGAGTTCCATTTACGTCCTCTCTTTGTGCAGATCCAGAATCAGCTGTCAGGAGCTATCTTTCCCTATGTTTTTTACCCTGTGAAACTACCAAAGTCAGTCACTATGGAGTCAGGTATGTCAATGTCTATATTGTACATTTTTGATGGGTGCTTGTTTTATTTTTCACTATCTGTTTTCATTTTATTTTTCCTGTAGAGCCCAAACCACTAACTGATATCAGCATCGTGACCAGAACAGCAGGACACTCTGATATCTCTCGCATCAAGTATTTCTTTTTTTTTTTTTTGCACTAATCTTTATTATATTGTTTCCCATTCCTTTTAATGTCTCATGTTCCTCAAGATTTTAAAACATAAAGAAATGTCTGCTCTCCTCAGGTACTTCAAGGTGTTGATTCAGGAGATGAGTCTAAAGCTGGATCTGGGTTTCCTGTATGCCATCCTGGACCTGCTCTCCGCTGAGAATGCCGGCATCATGACTGCAGAACAAGAGGTCAGCTACAGATAGTTACTCACAGACCATCACCGGATGTAGATTCCATGATGTGTGAATATGGTCATTCATCTGATATTCCTCAGATTTGTATTATTTGTTCTTCAACTCTAAGGTGGAACTCTTTGAGAAGGACATAGAGTACATACAGATGGAACTGAACCACGTCTCAACTACTGACACGTCTCCTATCAGCCTCTATGAGTACTTCCACATTTCCCCCATCAAGGTCAGAAATGTCTAGTAATCATTGTATCAAAACACCTTTTGGTGTGAACAGAAAAAGAAAAATCACAAGTCTGACATCAAGTTTCAAGACATGAATTCCAGCACATTTTCATTATTTGTTTACTTTTTCTTTGAAAATTAAAACTAAAAAAATAATTCTATGTTTGCAGCTGCACTTGAGTTTCTCCTTGAGCACAGGAGGAGAAGATGGCCTGAAGGAGAAGCGAGATACGGAGCTCATTCCTGTCCAGTCCCTCAACCTGCTGCTGAAGAGCATCGGAGCGACTCTCACTGACGTGCAGGATGTTGTCTTCAAGTACGAGTCCGAAAGAAGGCTCAGACGGACACACACGTCACACTGTTAACAGACATTCATTGATACTGTTGGGATTCGTTTTTAGAAGAATCTAAAGAATGATTGATTGCTATTTTTTTCCAGATTGGCTTTCTTTGAGTTGACTTTCCAGTTTTGCACCACTCAGCAGCTGCAGTGGGAGGTCATCCGACATTATTCCAAACAGGTGATGCTCACGTGCCGGCATAGCCACGCTTACATTTACACACTTTCATGGCCATTTTGAAGCTACTTCTGCTGTTGGAAATAAAAAGCCAAACCCATAAGTGCAGAAGTGGCGAGTTGTGTTGTCATATTCAGCGATTTCTGTATTCTGTGCAAAATGAGACATTGGCTCTTAAATTTCTATTTACACACATTCCAGGCTATTAAACAGATGTATGTGCTGGTGCTGGGCCTGGATGTGCTTGGGAACCCCTATGGGCTGATAAGAGGACTGTCGGAGGGCGTGGAGGCCTTCTTCTATGAGCCCTATCAGGTAAGAAATTACACCCTGGATTTGACCTTTTCAGAGGAGATGGCTTGAATACGGTCTTTCTAGTGAATTCTGGAGTAAAATTATCATTACTGTGAGCTACATTTATTTATTTCAGAGTGGATCGGTTTGTGTGCCAGCGTCTTTTGAATGTTTTAACACCCTGTTGTTCGGCATTTCAGGGAGCCATCCAGGGCCCGGAGGAGTTTGTGGAAGGAATGGCTCTCGGTGTGAAGGCTCTAGTTGGAGGAGCTGTAGGTAAGCACCAACCAGTGGTCAAATGGCAACGAATCAGAAGGAGGCCTGAAGCAACTAAACGTGCAAAAATGCATTTTACACCATGGTGGAACTTCATCTTTGTGCACAGGCGGTTTAGCAGGTGCAGCCTCCAGGATTACAGGCGCCATGGCAAAGGGCGTAGCTGCAATAACCATGGATGAAGAATTTCAGCAGAAGAGACGAGAAGACATGAACAAACAACCCAGTGGCCTGAGGGAGGGGCTGACCAGGGGCGGGAAAGGACTCGTATCTGTACGTAAAACAGTTATTATTATTCAGACAATCGGACTATAGACCAGAAAATTGGGTGACAGAGTAGGCATCTGTGGGAAGTCTGCTGGAAGGAGTACAGTGTTGGTAACGGTTGTTTCTGTTGTTGTGTTTTAGGGGTTTGTCAGTGGAATCACAGGGATTGTTACCAAACCGATTAAAGGTACGTCAAGGCTGACCTCTGAAAATTAGTTTAACATTTGAAAAAGAAATGACTGCATCTTTACTTTTCGGGGATTCTGCCTGATTGACAAAGCGGTGGTCCTTTGATTAGAATGTCCATAATGATTTGTTTGTTTTTTCAGGAGCCCAGAAGGAGGGTGCAGCCGGCTTCTTTAAAGGTGTTGGCAAAGGTTTGGTTGGAGCTGTAGCTCGACCAACAGGAGGCATTATTGACATGGCCAGCAGTACTTTCCAGGGGATTAAGAGGTATTGTTATTCCTGTCTGTGTCTAAGCTCACTGCAGTGTGTGTTTGTGTGTGGAATTAGTAGATAGCTTTATTGCCATATAACTGACTTTTCGACAAAATATCCCTCATCGCTTTCTCTGTTGCAATGGCACACTTTTAGGGCTGCAGAGACCTCTCAGGATGTCGAGTCTCTACGTCCTCCTCGCTTCATTCATGAGGATGGGGTCATTCGCCCGTATAAGGAACGGGAGGGCGTTGGCAGTCAGATGCTCCAGGTAAAACACAAATCTGTGCATCAATTATCCTCAGGTGGTTCATGTTGTTGCTTTCCGTGTTATGGTTTGGTAACCCTGGAAATGTCCCTGGGAAGATTTGAATTTAGTCTGTCATATGTCTTGAGATAGATAATTGGAGCTAAAGAAAGATAAGTAAGCAGGCATCATTAACCTCCAGCTTCATTAACTTTCAGCCCTTAATTGACTCATTAGGGGAAGAGTTGTGATTGCAACATGCATGCTTGACATTCTGAAGGTTTAATTCTTCTTACTCCTTAAAGGATGTAACACTGATGGAGGTATGAGGCATGAAAACTTTAGGACAGATGTTAAAAGCCTGTAAAACGTCTTTAACCTACAGTTCGGCCTTCTGAAATGTAATTAAGAGATGAGTTTGGCATTTATAAACCTGTACGTATGCTGGGCAGACAGACAAAGCAAAAGTTTCAGATGACTGCAGCAAAGGGTAGCCAACACCTCACTGATGTAGAGGGTACATGGCTGTTTTGGGCTTTGAACCCGGAGCTATAATAATCTTGGTGGTCTAGTGTCACTAAAATATAAAATAATATGTTCCAATAATGCACGATGATGGTGGGATTATGTTAAATTTGATTACAGGTACATATTAGCAGATGTTAAAGACTGTATTTTAGTGTTGTATTAGAATGGTGAATTAGAAGAAAGAGGAGGGCTTATAGAGTTTTGATCATCTGGATTGATAAACAGGATAATGAAGCTGATCAGTTTTTGCTAAACATCTTGTCAGTTAGCAAATAAACATAATGGTAGTTTTTAGAATTTAGGATAGAAATGTCTTAGTTCTGAATGCTTGACTCTTGATTTTCATCCAGCTGTCAGGCTGGCTGGAGTGGCTTCAACTTTCTGCCTATGAGTCTCAGGTCAGAGCTCCACTAGTTGGCTGATAATAAAAATCCTTTGTGTCTTTTTCCCCAGAAATTCACAGACAGGTGACAAATTAAAAAGGCCCACAGCAGATTTAGGCCGCAGCAAGCTGCTTCAGACATATTTTGAAATTATTCTGCAACTCCAAATCTATTGATTGTTTTCCCTAAAGGCTCATAATGCACACATTTCACACCATTCTGCCTTCATCCTCATTCCTTTTTTCTATTATCTCATCATCCTCAGATTTTCCTTTAATTTGCCACCCTTCTGTTTTACTGGCTTTAGAGGTGATACGTTTAAATCTGGTGTTGTATGTTGAGGAGTTTTTTAATCCCAAATAGAACAAAGGACACATAGTGCCATTAGAATGTAAAGTGGTTCAGCTGTAAACTGTAAACTCCAGTAGATGTCTTACAGTTTCCTGTTGTCTGATTGTCAAAGTTTCAGCTGTTTTGTTCCTGAATGTCCAGCTCTTTGTAGCTGAAGCCTGCTTCCACCTGCCTCTGGCTGATGGACAGCCTTTTACATCAGGCTTCAACACGTTTCCTCCACTAAAAATGAGCAAACTATTCCACATCAGTTTTTTGCTTTGGCCAGTTGACCTGGCATTTAAGATTAGAGTCCATCAGATTAGGTTTTCATGTCAGACAGATCGCATGGGTTTGATGTTTGGAAACGTCATTGGAAACCTAAAAGCTCTCTGAGATTCAGGTTGGATTTGGAGATTTGAAAGAGCAAGTGGATGACAGGACTAAAAGCCGGCTGACGTACTTGCATAAGATTAAAACACAAGTTTTCTCAGCACAGTGAGCTAACGCTGAAAGCTGCTCCCGGCCGTTTGTACGCACCCTGTTTCAGCTGCCGCGTCAGCAGAAACACACTCTGACCTTCACTCTTCTCTTGTCGTGTCCACAGAGGCGATTGGCTTACAGTGAATGGAGTAGAACTGGCTCAGAGGATGAGGATGATGAGTAAAAAATGTGCTTGAAGCGACCATAGATGTGACGTAGTGTAGTGACACTGCTTTGTCTGTAGTCTGTGCTGGAGCTTCTCAGCTCAGTTGCTCTCAGTTCACATCTGAGAGATTTTAGCAAACCAAAGAGACGCCGTCGAGGGAGGCTGATGTGTTTTGTGTATTTGTTAACTAGTTGTTTTCTTATTTAGCATCATTGTTATCTCTGTTCCGTTCTTTTCTGTTGGATTTTTTTCATTTTTTTCACCCATCAGAAACCATCTTGTCATTCATATTCTTTAATTTAAGGAAATCCTTATAAGTTTCATTTTCTTTACCTGTACATGTTCCTTTCATTATTTTCATCTATCTTTGCCATTTCATTTTTAATAAACTAGATTCCAAACTTCTGCCCTCCGTCTCATCTTTTTAAACTCCATTTTGGTGCACATGTTCATTCCCTCATTTCCTTAAACTATTTGAATTCAGCCATTTGAATGCTGTTGCAGCATTTTGCCATCCTTCATTGATTTCTCTCATTATTTAGCACTGCTTGTTTAGATATGTTTTCACTTTTAAACTTTCTTCTTTCAGAAAATTGAGAATGGACGTTTTGCCAAGTATAGATACTTTGCACATGCCAAGGTCAATGATTCCGACTTCTTTATGATCACCAAGAGGTGAGTGACCGCCACCTCCTGTGGAATTAAAATCCACAATTGATTCTTCAATCTGACATCTAATGCAGCTTCATGTGAGACAAACTTTACATCTTGTAACCAGAAACATGTAATTAAAAAGTACATGAGATAGTCTACTTTCAGAGGTGCTTTACGACATCTAATATTGTCTTGTATAAGAATGTTTTTGTTTCCATTACCTTTAAAAAAAAAAAACTTAGATAGTTAAAAAAACTTAAAAACTTAAACTCAGAATAATGTGCACTACATTTAGTGTTTGCATATTCATTTTCAAAAGTTATTAGATAAAGTAATTAAGTCATTTTACTAAGTTTTATAATGTGGATTCTGTCGTTTTTATGGCCCCCAGATTATTCATTTATCTAACCACCAGTCAGCCTCCATCCTGTGTGTCCCTTCAACATGCCACTCATTCCTTTCACCAGCCGGTTTTACTTGTTCTGTTTTCCAGGGGGATATTTTTCGTGACCAAAGGCACGTTTGGCCAGCTGACCTGTGAGTGGCAGTACCTGTTTGAAGAGTTCACAAAGGAGCCGATGATCGTAGACAGCCGCCGACTTCGCATCGAGGCCAAAGTACAAAAGCTATTACCTGCCTAGTAACAATGAATTGCCGTTTGCTTTTAAATGCCGCAACTTGCCTTCTGTGCTACAGGAGAGGGTGAAATCAGTCTTCCACGCCAAAGAGTTTGGGAAGATCATAAACTTTAAAACTCCTGAAATTGCCAAGGTAAGCTGGCCATTCAGGTCCGAAGAGCTCAGGACCTCTGGTTGCAATAGATGCTTGTTGTCAAACTCATGAGCTCTAACTGTGTTTTCAGTGGGTTCTCACCAAGCTGGAGGATGCCAGAGAGAGTTTACCCAAATACTGACTCGTCAAGAAGAGTTCGATTTGCTTAAAACACACACACACACACACACACACACACACACACACACACACACACACAC